ATATTCATTTGATAAAAGATCATTATTAATAATTAGTTTGCATTTCATCGCGAGCTTTTGTACATCATTTAAGAATATGTCAATGCTATCTGAAAGATGAGTCTTCTCCGTGTGAGAAATGTCCATTGCATTCCAATCAGAGAGCTGCTTCCGGCGTCTCCCTAATGACGACATTTTGGTTAACAATTTCTATATTACAGTGTGATTTAAGTAAAATTAAATTAGTTTCACAAGTTTGGTCGGATTTTTTGCTAAAGGAACATTTACTAAATAATGATAGAAGATGCGACACTTTCGTTCCACAAAAAGTATAGGCATCATACATTTGTATTGGAAAATGGATATTTATCTAACAAAACAATCAGGTGTTCCTGATTTGATGATATATATTTATGCACGTATGTTTCCAATCACATCCTATCATTTAAAAGCGTCAGTACAAATAAAAAGCTAAAAACTGTAACAGTTATCATATGCATAAAGGCAGCTTGTGTTTAGTCAATCAATAATGAAAAAGCTGTGGTGTTTGCCAGGCGTGTTTGTTCAAGATCGCTTCTTAAATGTTATTTTACGACTTAAACGAATATTGAGGACCATGAGTAACATTTGTAAGTTAGGTGACGAGCATCACAAGTAAACCAGAAACAAGATGGAGGCGATGTGTTCGTGTGCGGAATGAATTGTTTGTATGTTTTATCACAATGTTGAACTTTAACCGCATATTCCCCGTCTTCTCACTTCAATAAAATTATATCTATTTCACCTTCGAATGTTTTGGAAACATTAATTTGGACCACATGAATACTTCTCTTACATTTTTTCTGAAACTAACTGACATACTCAGTCGACTAATTTTGTTGAATAAGGGCTAGTTTAGTAGCTTCAATTTGTGGCTTTGTAAGACACTTAAGAATTGTCAAGAGAGGGCCGCATGAAAAATGCACCAGAACATGCCGCATTTTCTCTATAAATAATTTGCATACTTTCACACATCAGCTCAACCTTTCTGTTCTGCAATATACTGTAAACGACTGTGAACGGTGAACGGATATCTTTGTTAGGTACTTGCCGTTAGCTCAAAAACAAGGTCTGGTGAAACAAGAGATCGTTGTAAAGAATAGAGAGAACCATATAAGGAAATATAAAGCACTTGACGCTGACTGACCTCAGAAGCACTGTCAGGGGTGGCATGTTCATTCTTTACCTTAGTCGCAAGGATATGTCTCTAATTTTACCCAAACTTCACTTTTAATGAAACAAGGTTCATATATTAGCTGAGACCATTTAATTTGCTTGATGTTGATTTTAAGTACATGAACGTTATTTAAAGAAGGTGACTAGGAGAGGCCAACAGTCGTTAGTCCTAAAAATATATTTAATCACATATTTGCAGCCTCAAACCAACTCCTATCTTCTGAAAATGACTTTCAGTGACTCGTTGAACTAATTCTATTGGAGAAGGCCAATGTAAGGCATTTGTCATTTACTGTAGAAACAAGGTCAGGCGCCGTAACAGCATTTTGATGATTTCTACATGTATTTTGCACTGTGGTGCAATGATTGGTATCAATAAAGAATTACTCTTTCAAAGGAACATGAAAATGTCAATATTGCAAACATTTTGAAAACGCAGCCAAGAATACAATGTTTCGAATTCATATTTAAATGGTTTAAAAGGTGCAATTAAATTATGCCTTTTACAATCCGTGTACAGCTTAATATATGAGATTACGTGTTGTTCTTTTTGGAAATATAATTATATCATAATGTTTTCTTTTATAATTTCTTCAACTGGCAGAAACATTTTATTTCTCATGTTTGTATTGTATTGTATTTCTACGTCTTAAATTAATAAATATGTTACTAAAACGGTATTGACAAATGGAACTTGTAACACAAAAATTTAAAGATTCTGCCTCTATATCCGCTTAAATTTATTCTAAAGTACCTTTTTTGTTATATGTATACATGTTAATTTTAAGAGAACAGAAAACAGTAGAAGGAACAATCCTTTGTGCATTACAAATTTATCCAAACACTTTTAAAACAGAATTCACCGTAGTATGGGGGGTGCGGTATAATCCTTTTGCAAACTTAGACTTTGTTACTTCAGCAAGTATTTCCATTTATGTCTTCATCTAATTATTCAGAAACCTTACATTAATATCAATTTTAATATCTGATGCTTTTACTTTAAAGGTTTATCTGGAAAACCATTTCAAATCACTTTACTTTCGCCAATCAAGAAAATACATTTTTATATTTTCTATGTTTTCGTTCATTAATTCCGGCGGTATTAGCAAATTTAGGTTATAAATCTTAAAAGGTTTGTGTCTAAAAGAAATGTTTCAAGCAAAAAAACAAAGAAATAAAATTAAAAAGATTTATTTTTGTTATGATTAGCTTTACAATAATTAAGTAATGTCTATCACAAGTGTTTCATTCAAATTTACAGTCAAATTAAGGTTATACATCTTATCTTTTTGTCTTGTATCAAGCTGTAGGAAATGTTAATCTATGCGCGACAATGCGACATAGATTTAAGGTATAGTCTCAAGATAAGAATTTTGTCAATGATGCATGATTCCAACATTCGAGGATCAAAATCGATATAAATCCCAAAAGGGTCTCAAGGTTGAATTAACTTACGGAGCCATTAAGCATAATTAAAGTAATTGTCTCTCAGGAAAATGGTGACAATTATAGACCGTCATTCATAATATATGTACCAAACTCCTTATTTTTGTTTGTGACTTATATGTTTATGTAATTCTTCCTACTTTTAGTAGTGCGTACCAATATACAGAACCAAACGAGCTGAATATCTATAAGCTCTAGATTTTATTTTGAATTCCCTTAGATACATAATCAAATTTTCCGAACTCAAAGCATGCCCATTACACAAATTTACAAAAAAATGTATTACAGTACTTTATGGAAGTAAAGTCACAAGCCATAAAACATTAAAAGATTTGGGCGATGTGTTGTTGCGCGTCTTTCGATAAGTAAAGACTCGTTGAGTACATAAGACCCCCACTCCAAAACTATTTATGTCAATGTAGGGGACACGGTTTCAGCTCAAGGAACAAGCACAGGAGGAGCCCGCACTTATTGGTGTCTTTCCTCCATAACGTATCTACACTTGGTCCATATCAACGCTTATGTTCTGCAGCTCATTGTCACATTCTCGCAACGATTTCGTTAGACAAGAAAAGTTTGAACCTCCACTACATTGACATATAAAACAATTGACAATGGATCCAGGAACAATGTCGGGACAGGCACTTGCGAATTTTGCCTAAGCCTGCTCTTTGATATTGAGTTCATTTTTCCTCAACGGTCTTTGAACTAATCAATTAGTTTATTTAATTTAACTAGGACTTATTTGCGGCTTTTGCTATTTTACATATTGGCATACACATTTGTACCTATACTCTTTCATGCGTAGCTCAACCTCCTTCTTGCCAGCAAGTCGTTGCACCGATTCCAATAAACAGTGACTCGTTTTAACGCTTGGAGCATTTACTTAACCGCAAAACAATGCACTTGTCGTTGGCTCAAGAATTAAGTTCAGGAGAAAACAGATTTTCCATGATTTCTCCTATTCTAGTTTCACCGTGACGAAAGTGCTAATATTAATAATGGAATCAGTACAATGTCGTTTTACAGTGTTTTAATATAGACATGTCTTCAGAGGGTCATGAAATTACACTTGGGAAGACATTAAAAGTGAGAATTGAGAAAATCATTTATTATTTGAAGCAGATTCTCAAATCTTTAAGATAAAAAAGAAGCATTTGAATTCCGATAACACTAAAATACAAATTTATAATTTTATATCTTAACATACATTTTTAGTTTAACTTTTTAAGAAAAAAAATGATTATTTAATATTGAACGATACAATTGGACGATTACACAGCTGGAGAAACCATAGTAAAAATTTAATAATTTAATAAAATAGATGTTGTTTTTTTTTTTTTTTTTTTTTGTTTTTTTTTTTGTTGTTTTTTTTGGTTTATTTTGCTATAGTGAGCTTAGTTTAATGATAAATTATCAAACTTTTTTCAGGACTAGTTTATTATGAAAATTTACAGGTGCCATAGACCAAGACATGTCAAATGATGTCTTTTGACCAGTATTAATATACATAAACCAATGCAACATTGATTAAAGGCATAGTCTCAAGATAAGGATTTTTGTCAACAAGGCATGACTCCGATTTTCAAAGATTCAAAATCGATATAAATCCCAAAAGGTTCTCGGGTTGGAATTAACTTACGGAACCATTAAGCATAATTAATGTAATTGTCTCCCAGGAAATAGGTGATAATTATACACGTCATTTATTATGTATGTATTAACTTGTCCGCACTCTTAAATGTGACTTATATGTTTACTTTAGTTCCACTTTTAGGAAAATGGAGCTATATACAGCACAAAAGCAGTTGACATAACAACAGAATTATTATTATTGTATCGGAAGTTTGTGTAATTCTAGCAGAATTGTAACTTAACTCACACAAAGTGATAGAATGGTTGATTACTTCACCAGTATAAAGTTTTGACAGGTTACGCAACCGTGCAATAGGCTTTGTTTCTTAAAACAGCTTTGGGATTTTTTATCTGAAATATCTTAGTCTCATTATCAAAAAGCATAATAATGCCATTTTCTAAATGACACAAATAACAAAAATAACACAAAATTACATAAAGAATACAAATTATATAAATTATATAACTAACACAAATTACAAAAATTACACAAATTTCATTAAATACACTAATAATATAAATAGCACAAATTTCATAAAATACACAAATTATATAAGTAACACAAATTACATAAATAACACAAATTCTATAAATTACACAAAATTACATGAATTGCCCAAATCATATAAATTGCACAAATTCAACAAGGTAAAAATACTAGATGACTATTAAATATTTTCACAACATTTTTACAACATATTTGAGTACTTCAACAATTGACTTACTTTGCTAATGAGCGTTGTAGAGCTTTGTTGAAATATTCTCCTGATAACTTCTTCAATGCAAACTGATGTAAAACATTTGGTAATCTGAAATATACAAAAGCATGGTAATTTTGAGACCCATTATGCATAAAAAACAAATAACATTTTAGTTTTTTTAGAAAGGGCAAACATGAATTTTAGAAAAGGTTACGTGAATTTTATGTCTAAATGGTGCTTTAAAGGGAGACACATTCAAAATTTTCATTTCTTCGTTTTTGTATTTTTCATTCATTATTCTGTAAATGTCTTCAAAACAAATACACAAGGCAGTCACACGAACAAACTTTTTCTCCTTTTAAGGGATAAAATGGTGGTTTCCTTACTTGACACACGTGGGTCAGGTTAGAGCGTTAATATTTCACGATAGTTGACAAAGTGAACTCTGTAATCGTTAAAGAACATGTCAAATTAACGACTTAGACTTGTTTCAATCATACAATATCCAAAATATCTGTTATTGTAACTTCCGGGGTTTGTTCCTGCCACATGACTTGTTTTAAAACTGTTCGGTGATTCCCTCGATGTCTAAACTTCGTTCAACATATATAGATATATTTACACTTAAAACCAAACATATATAGAATTTATACAGAACTTCATGTTGGGACTTTAAATCATTTCAGCGTGATTTGAGTACATAAAACCATTTTAATATTTTTGTCATTAATTTGCCTGAGTATCCCTTTAAGAGATGTTAAAAAGAAGTAGCGATAAATGTAAAATAATTTTTCATAAAAGTAACAAAATATAAACAAATTAGTATTTGACTTTCATCCCAAATACAACACTTATGCCAAAAAGCAACAGATGCAAAATATGGTTCCGGTCATTGGCCAATGAGTAACTTTCTGGATACTGTAAAAGTACACCAAAATTAAAAAGGTTTTGAGAAATAAAAATAAAAGAATTTCTGATGCGTACTGGGCCTTTTTAAACTTATCTCATCATTCTTTATTTTCATTTATTTGAATATCCGGATCTTTTGTGAAATAGAACATTGGTCATCCGGACCGTATTGTACAAGCAACCGCCTACAAACATAAAATTTGAAATTTTGACATAGGTCACAAGCGGCACTGACACAAACGATAAGATAGGCATCAGATTAAAGGTGCTAGACGCATTGGTCTGACTTAAACTATGTTTAATCTTGTTATTCATGCTATATAATATCCATATTTTTGGTGTTGTTGTTTTTTTTTTGTCTGTTGTTTGGTTTTTTGCTGTTTATTTTTAAGATTTTTTTTGTTAATCATATTAAATTGTAAATTTGATTTAGTGCTATTGTTAGTCTAATGTTGGTTAAATACACTTTAACGCTTTTCATGCTTGGTCATTTCACACAATTAAGATGATGACTCTGGAAAGAAAAAGTGGGGGAATGATCTGAAATTTTGCACACAAATTATTGGTCCAGACCTTAATTAAATGGTTGATGAATCTCGAGAGAAAAAAATCCAGTTCTTACATGACAAAAAAAACCCTCAATTTTATTTCATAAAATCCATAAAGGCCATATGATTTTGTAAGTAGATTGTGTCTGTGTTTTCGGACATTTGCAGCTATTGCTTACCCATATAAAGGTATCATTTCCTTCCCTGTATTGATTCTTTAATCAATCATTACAAGTTTATAGCATGCCCGTCCGAAAAATCAAAATCGATAATGAAAAGTTCTTTTTTTCAGTTTTACTTTTTACCTTACACTTACAATTTACGATTGGATTGACATAAAATTATTTTAACTTTTAAAAGACATTGTTGACAAGCTTCCCATGCAAATTGATTGTGTACGTTTATTATACCTAAGAACATCTAGTTTCTGTTTTCACATGGTTTCTATTTATAGTTAGATAGAGGTATATCAATAAAAGAAAGTGATTGACTGATCTATATATGTTGTCAAATGCGGGTAATTTTATATTCTTCTCTTTGTTTATGTCGGACCGCTGGTAGCTATCACATATATCACATTTAGTACAATGTAATCTATAACTATCATCAGCGTTGGGAAACTATTTTATCCACGAGGACTACTATTTGTAGTTGTAATTAGTCACACTACAAATTGTCAATAGGCAATCTCATTGAAAGTCGTTGTCCCTAAGTGCATTTTTTTTCTTGAAACAATTGATATATAAATCATATTTCAATTAAATATAAAGTCTCTGAAATGAAAACGATATGTCACTATTTTTTGTTGACAGAATCGCATTTTTTTAAAGGAATCGTTCTCGTCTTTTAGTAGTTCTTCTGGGAGTTTAATGAATTTATTGGATGCAACTCACCTAAACAGTTACTTGTTCATGATATCAAGCGCGATTTAACATCCGCTCAATGTTATATATGTCTCGAGTAAAGAGGAGTTATGACTCTTTTACTAACGGGATATGATATTGGGATTTATGAAATATGATTCTTTATGCTATATAAATTAAGATTACCTTGGTAAGCGATGTTTTCTGAAGAGTAAACTATTAAAATTTCCTTGTCACACATTTAAGCTTTGCAACAAATGAGAAAAGAAAATATCCACTTCAAACTTCAATGATAAAACCGCCGCTTATATTGAATTCAAGGCATTTCATTTTCTTTCTAACGTATTTCTAAGTGTTGTAAGTTTCCTAATTAATACAATAAGCTATGGACAATGCGAACGTGTTACATCGAGCTGTCATATCTTCAGAGTATACAAAGGCTGTTGTTTCTTTGGACACAGTATCTTCAGGATTAAGCCAAATGTTTTTTATGTTGTGAGTGACGTAATATAGAGAAATAATATAGAGAAAAAATCAAATGTTGTGATATTGTTATATTGTAAATAATTTTTATTCTCTACCAAATACTAGTATTGGCTCATTTAACCAATAACACCGTGCCATTTTATAAGTTCACTTTAAAAATACGATCAAATAAATCTGAAAAAGTGTTTTATAATTGTTTTTTTTAAGTTTTGTTTTCTTTGGGCTGTTCTTTTTTTAATTTTTCACTAAATCTATAAAAATAATCTTGTGATAACATATCATCAGAAAAATCAGCGAATTTAAACAGGTATAAATAATTCAAATTTATTCAAGTACCAAAGCTCCAGATTGCAATATTTCTTATTCATCCTCATTAAAGGAAAGAGGTCTTTGTGAAAATGCTGTTGAAGAGGAAAATCATGTATAAATTAGTAGGAAGGATATGAATATTTTATCATATTCACAAACTCTACTCGAAATTCTTAAGGATGTTAAGCCACAAAAATGCATGTTTATAATAGATCGACAAGACAAAGGCAACATATTTCGCAGCTCTGACCAGATTATATACAAAAAAATCTGAATTGGTAAATGAAATAACACTTGCCGGATTCCGAAAGATGACAGTATCAGATGATTAATATTTGTCACGTCCAAATTACAATTGTATTAAGATTGTCAATCAATAAATGTTTAGACTGATGTTTTTCTATTCTTTTTTCATGAACAACGGACATGCACAGTAATTTTAAGCAGGGTCCAATGTCAATATTCTTGAAAATGAAGACTCAGTTTGAATGAGTATTTTCATACGGGTTGCTAAAAAATAAGACACCTTTAATGCCAAGAAGCATCGGTTTAAAAGCAAAATATTCAATGTACAATACTAGTAAGAATTGGACCCATTTTTCCCGAATTACCATAAATAAAATGTAATGAGATTAAGTATGGGGCAACTTTGTACAGCTACAAAACAGCACTTAAACAATTTGCAAATAAGATTGGACATTTCCAATCTTAAAACTGATGCTTTCATTAAATCTTTGTTAGATAAATTCTCAAAATATGGGCATATGATTGCGTAAATACTAAGTCAGAGGTTTTGTAAGGTGAGACAATCTCTAGTTAATGCAAAGGCTTACTTTTCTCCTGAAAATGTAACAGTTTCTGAATAACTTTTCCTGTGTTAATACACATCCAGACAAAATAAATGTCCGCGTGCAAACGAAAAACAAGTTGTGTTTTTGCATGAAAAAGACAATGAAAATAAATAAAATATAAGTGTTGTGTTGTGCCATTACAATTTGAACCCAAAGGGGTTAGTTTATTTATCTATTTAATTTAATGCTTTAAAAAAACAAATCGGTTTTTTACTACTTCACATAACTTATTAGCCATATTGACAAATAAATCTACATGTTATCATCGGACAGTTTTAAATTAACATTACACGTGTATTACAAAAAGTGAAGATACCCCTTTTTTCCCAATTACATTTCTGCTTGATTTTTAGAAAGTTTAGACATATGATCGGAACATCCGGAATATTGGCAACAAACGATATATGGCATGTCTGTGACACAATCATAGCGTTAGGTCAGTCGTCCGTTCTTCAACACACAGAGCTCTGACGGATTACTTAATGAATGTGTCATTCTTATAGTGACTGGAAAACAAATATAAAGTGGCATTGTGGCCGAGTGGTTAAATTTAAGTTGCGTTGCTTGATAACAGCTATAGTAAAACATGTCGATGCAATGAACAATATGAACGGTTATAAAGCGGTCATGCAATATGATTTTGTAGATTTCTTAAATCTATGTTATACCACTTATCAGTATTTTATGTGTCGACATTATTAAATGTACTTGAAGCAGGAAATCAGGAGTGTTTGTATTATTGCGCATGCTTGCGTGCAGGCCTAATTCTAAAGCGCAGAAGCTATTTTAACTATCTGTCATAAATCGCTACTGTCTTAATTCTGTTGACTCTTTTTTATGTTTTCAAACTCATTTCCCATTCATGGCAAGCATTTCCACTTGAAGCGAAAATAGAATTATGTTTAAGATTCATGGAAACAAAATTAACCGTCACGACAGGTGTTGTTTTAATGTTGTTATTTTGCTTCTGCTGTTGTTGTTTTGTTGTTTTTATTTTGGTCTTCTTTGCAGATGAACACCTAAGATGTCCCTGCGTGCCTTATTTAATGGACGAGCTGTCATTTTAGTAGAACCACCGATCGCTTTATTGGTGGAGGAAGACCTTTGGTGCATATTCGTGCATTATTTCAGGCATACCTAATTAGGCATGCACTTGAGAAGAGCCACCGATACCAATTAAGCTGAAGGTGTTCGAACATAAATTGGCAAAGAGCAAGCTGTTTGTAATCATTCGACCAGAGATATATCGATAATATGTTTCCTTTGTCGGGCGTTTACGGATTTACTCTTAAAATATGTAATAAAAATTCAAAGTTTGTACAATCGCGTTATTTTGATATTTTTATACCACGTTTATAGCTTAATACCCATTAACATCTTTTTTTATTTGACTTGATTTATTTATATTCAATTATATTGGTTTAAAGTTTAAATCTTTCATGGTTTGTTGGGCTTTTTACTGCGTAAAATTTGTTTGAAAAATGAATTTCATGACATGCAATGCTGTAATGGCAAGAATATTAACTTCGCACTTAACAGCGGTTTTAAACCTTTACAACATATAGTTCTACCATAACTTGCTTTAGAAAAAAAATCAATCTATTAACTTAAAGGCACATTTTGCCTCAGAAACGAATAAATGTTTCCTTCTTCAGAAAGTAAAAACATTTAAAACGTTAAAATATTGGTTTTAGAGGAATTTAGGTGCTTATCACATAAAGAAAGTAGCGTTGAATGTGAAATTATTGGTCATTAAAGTAGAAATATGTAAACAAAGCAGTATTTTGACTTCCATACCAAATAGTAAATCACTGTAATGGTATTAATTACCAGAAAGCAATGGCAGAAGAAGTTGGTTCAGATAATTGGCCAATGAGTAACTTAATTATTTGGAAAATATAGCATGATATCAAAAGTTGAGAAATGAAAATAATTGCGTTTTTAAGGAATAATGGGCATTTGATAGTGTAATTTTAAAAGAAATGCGCAAAGACAATATTTTACGGTGGTAATGTGGTATTTTGCTGACTGAAAATTTCCTGTATCGTTATCAAAAGATATGTCTAGTAGCATTGCATGGTCATTAAACAGTAACCAAAGATATCATTTAGGTGAGGCATTATTAAATAATCGTAAGTTAATAGTCTCTCAAAAGTATTAGACAGATAAATGCTGATATACAAAATCAATAAAGTATATTTGGGTGATATTTTATTTCAAAGACTTATATTAATCGCTAAAGAATTGACATTTATCAACATGTATCGCTAAAAAAATGTCATAAAATGAATGCGGCATTCACAGCTAAAAATGCCTCATTTATCGCTAAAAAATGCGATATTTATCTTTAAAAACCACTACATTTATCTCCTTTGTCACTAAAAATACAACACCTATCGCTAAAATTACATTAATCTCTAAAGATACATTTGTCGCTAAAAATACATTTATTGCTAAAAATACGATGCTTCACCGCTAAAATACGGCATTTATCGCTACTAAAGTGTTTTCTCTAAAGAAACACAACATTTAATTATCTCCTGTATTACTAAAAGTACAACATCTGTCACTAAATAAAGATACATTTGTCTCTAAAAAATACATTTATTGCTAAAAATACAATGCTTTACGGCTAAAATCCGATATTTATCGCTACTAAAGTGTTTTCTCTCGCATCTATTACTAAAAGTACAACATCTGTCACTAAATAAAGATACATTTGTCGCTAAAAATACATTTATTTTTACAAGAATCTTAGAGTACCGCTTTAAGACATCCACATTAGTAATGAAACGGATAAAATACATTTGAAATGGTCGATAACAACAATTATGAGCTTCTTTATTGTCATTTGAAATTTTCAAACATTAAGGCGTTTGAGCTTAAGACATTTATTTAAACATTAAAACCTTTAATTATTTGTGCAATTTTGTTTCTTCTAAGCAGTTTTGGGCATATTTGATTATCTTTCAAAATAAGAGAAATTTAATCTAATATTTTAGTACAAACCATTCCCTTTTCCAATTATTTATATCGCAGTTTACGTATTAACATGAATTTGTGCTCATTGGGTTATGTAAAGTGATAAAGCTATCATTTTCTAGGTTATTTAAGTGACGATGAGTGTGACATAATCATGTGACTTGATTTAAGTACTGATTTGTCAACTTTATCTTTATAAAAAAGATTATACATGAACACGAATATTAAGCTGTCTTATGTTTTAATCTTGGCATATTATATGAAGACGTTTATTTTTGGGTGTTTTTTATACTTAAAGTTTAAATAAGGTATGTCGTTCTTGTTTTTGTTGTTGTTTTTATATTGTTTAATATCATTTCCATTTTTATCTATTAAAAATTAATTCTATAAAAAGTCTTTTTCAATGTATTTATATAGAAAAAAGCCCTACAATGCTCTTTCTATTAATATTTTTTTAATAATTTAAAGCAAAATTGATTCTTAACAAGGAAGTATTCTGACAAGATTTAGCATATATTTTTTATGATTGTGTAATACAATAGAAAGAAAAAATATAAAGAATGGGCTCACCTTTTGCGCCTATCTAATTGTCCGTCACACAACACAAGTACAACTGCCCCAAAAATAAACATTCTTAGCAGTACTCGAGATGTATTGTTATAACACATGTTTTTCTTTTGTCCCCTTTCTACCTTAGTGTTCCTTCTATTTTTCTTTTCGTTTCTTCCAGTCTCACTTTTCCTCTTTTACTAACTTTTTCACTATGTTTCGGATAAATTCGAGCTATATATCAAGCAATTAATTAAAGTATACCAAAAAGCTTGTCTGCTCACCAAACGACAATAACAGATCACTCTTTTCAAAGATTTGTTCTTATTATGAACTCTTCAAAGGTCTACGCAGACGACATTTCCCGCCTTTTAGTGTTTTATTTTAAATTAACTAATTTTAATCACAGTCGATTGTGTCTGCTTCGCCGAAACTTTTTTTCTGTAAAAAAAACGAACAACTTTGAAACAATGGCTAGTCAAAGTACAGTTTTTAACCAAAATGAAAAACGAAGACAATTTTGATACTGTATATGTTAGTCCTTTCGTAACTCTGAATTGAATACAATTCTAACTTTGTTTGAAGTCAGCCTTTTCTTTTTAAACAAAAATATTGGTCTCCGAGGAAAATTCCGGTTAAAATATTTGCCTAATTTCAAGAATAAACATCGATTCGAGATTGAATTAATTGAACAAATGAATAGGAAGATGAAATCGCGCTGTATTTATCAGATCTTTCCTTGCCTATTTCGAATTAACGGTTGAAAACTAAAATGCGCGTTAGTATTGGCGTTTCTATTTGTTCTCATTCGTGCCGATCCTTTATTTTAGTATGGGACACGAAAGCACTACCACAGATCATCGATAGAGTAGGAGTAAATATTTTTCAGTCAGTTATTCTTTGCAATATTTTGATACTATTTTGTACCGTTTTCGAATTATATATAAATTTAATACGATTTATATAATATTATATACATGTCCATTATTATTGAACCAAAATTAGAAAGAAAATAATTAGTTCAAAAGTTTTTGCAATATATATTCATACTCAGTTTTTTAATTAATATTCTCAAAATGCTGTATTTATCAGAAAATTTATGCTTTTATATAAAGAAAATTCTGCCAATTTTATATCATAAGACAATATTAATTATTTATTACCTTTGATTTTGCTAAGATATGAAGAAATCCTGTAAAGATTATTTTTACACGTGTGTATATAGTTCTTTCTACATTTTATTTTAAAACAACCAAAAAATAACTTAAAAGTTCCATAACAACGAAAAGACAAACACCTATTATTACTAGTTTTAAACTGTTTGTTTCGGAATGTTAACACTTTTTATCTTTTGGTACCAAAATCACAAAAGATGATGCTAAGATATCCCAAAAAGTCTCACACTTTCAATCAGACAAGAAAGGAACCTTTCATAAACGTTCGCAAAATGAGTACAGCTTTCGCAATTCTCGTACGAATGAGATATTGTTCTCTTTTACAATAACTGATAATTCAACAATCAGAAATTAGAGCCGTTTTGATTGGAATAATTTCCGGACTGCTGATAGAGTCACTGTTACTAATATAATTTACCTGGCCAGTTATGATTGGAAACGCTCGGGGATATATTACACAGTGGCGTTCGCTCGTGTCACAGCACGAATGTCAATGTCTCCTAACTAATTAACTATAAATGATTCTATGTGCGAAAACAAAAACTCCTGTGATTGTTTGTATGGTAGAAAACTCTTCGTTGACCTACGTCATGTACCAAGTCAAGGCAGTCGGAATGAAATATTGAATTGAATTTTAGTTTGGCAGTAATGTTGTGGGTATTGTGAACGTTGACCTTATTATGTAATTGGACGAGCAGACTATAATTATGAAACAAGTCTGACAACAAAGGGATAGGTAAGGTGTAGGTCGTATAAAATCACGTGTTGGGAAGTTATTCTTAAAAAATGAATTACGCTATCATTCAGACATATCCCGTAACAAGTGTCCATACTTTTTTGTGAGTCATAATTTTATTAACTATGCTTAAATTACATGAGAACAACGTCAAAATTTAATTTCGTTTCTCTCATTAAAGAAATGAGATTGTAGTTTGTATAGCACAATAATTTATATTGCCTATCAGTCCAGGCAAACTTCGATACAGTTAAATGTTTTATTCCGTCTGCTAAGTAATATTATAATTTGAAATTTATTCAAGCACATGAGCATCATTTAAACAAAAAAATAAGATAGACAAGTCAAATCAATTACTTTATTGGCAAAAAAATGTACATGTAAATCGCGAAGTACTTTTTTAGCGGTACAAAACAAAGTGCCGAAAAGTTAATAAATTATAAATTATACATATACGTATGTTTCAGAGTACAATTATTCAAACAAATGTATTAAGTAGATTTAATACTTAGTTGCATCGCTGAATATACAAATTTTGTTAAGTTAACAATTATACTTTTGTTTGGACATTTCATTATTGATTAAGGGGAAATAGTAATAGACTCATATTGTATAGACAAAACCAACTAACGCAACGGAATAATACTTCGCATATGTGCAGTCTGCGATAGGTGCAAAAATAATGAAAGATTTACAACAGTGCAAGTTGAGTTAACGGTGACATAGAGGCGCACCTGTATTTCTTTATTGATCCCTTAACCACAACATGCAATTTCGTTCCAACACTACAAATGAAGACGTTCACACGTAACCTTTGTTCCAGCATAAATTTCACTATCAAAACGTTTTTGTTTTTTTTTGTTTTGTTTTTTTTCAAAATGCAATCACAACTTTCATTACGTTACCAACATCGATTTCCATTACCATAATATTAGAATGTTGATAAAAAAATTTGAAAATTAAATATAAAATAATATGAGAGATGAGAAAAAAGGTGTGCTTTGATAAATCACGTGATTTCAGACTATTGTAGATAAAAGAAAATATAAAATGTCTCTAACTTGTTGTTGTTTGTTTTGTTTGTTGTTGTTTTGTTGTTTGTTGTTGTTGTGTTTTTTGTTTTTGTTTTTATTTTTTATTTGTTGTTGTTGTTGTTGTTGTTGTTGCTGCTGCTGCTGTTGTTTTGTTTGTTTTTCTTAAACTGTAGTATATGTTGATATTCAAAATTCCATTTCTTCCTTGAAAGATTTATATTTTTTAATTTCAGTTTTCTTCATATCCTTTTCAAAGTAAATTGTACTTTAAATCATGCTTTGTTTGTTTCTGAAATAAACAATTAACTTAATTCAATTATTTTCGCAAGTAATCATTGATTTGGCATAAAAGGTGCTATATTTGATATTTATGTTTCGATTTGGTTTAATGGATTGTAAATATTGCATATTTATACTGTGGAATTTCAGCGCTCGCTCACCTACTGTTCATTTTCCTATATTGTTTCGTACATCATTTTTTGTTTATTACATGACATACTTAGTATATTACAGCAGAAAGCCTATGAATCTCTTAGATTAAAAGAATAGCTAGATATCGTTAATAACTACATATGTACGTTATCACATGTATATATGAATTATATAGATTTATGAATAATAAAATTGAATAACTGTTTCTTACTTTTTCTATATTTCGGATATCAATTTAAATATCTTTGTCACTGATATCACGGACTTTAATTGTAATTTAAGTCCGTTCTTATATTTTATTATGTTTTGTATTATGTGTATTAAATAAAATATTACGGATCTGTATGTTTGTCTTTTTGTTTGTAAAAAAACAAAACAAAAAAACACACACACACACATGCCAAAAATTATTTGTACAATATATTTTAAAAAAATGCATCGTAGAAATTATACGTTATACAAGTTTTATTTTTTACGGGGGGGGGGGGATTAAGGGGACTGTTCACGGAGTGGTTGCTTTAAATACAAATATAATTATAAGTGGCGGCGTGGCCGATTGGTTAACGTGTCGTATCAGTAATCTAAGGATTGCTGACCGCGTAGGTTCAAATCCTGACAGGGGCAAGCAGTTGTTGCCTTGAGCAAGAAACTACAGTTATTGCTTAGTACTTGTTGGTTCCACGAACGGGTTCGAGAGTGTTTCATTAGGCCTATAGCTTCCAACACAATCGAACTAAAAAACCTATATAAACTTAATTTTACTATTTGACTACAGCAAACACAAACAAACTCTCGTGAATGATATTTAGCAAACTATAGCTAGTTTGTGCTATAACCTGCGGTGTTGACGAGATTCACCATTGAACGAATAAATCCTGGTATAAGTCCTCTTCAGTATCTCACAGATGTCAGCACATGTTTGGGTTTTTTTCCTTGTAATTTTTGCCTTGTTTCTTAGTCGCTCTTTCTCTTGAAAAGAACGTAATCTATTATTTAGAAACAAATTGTTTATTGATGATGGGCGGTAACGGGGGTCAGTGACCAATGCTTTTCCCATTTCTAAACCATCTCATTAGTGTTTGTAATGGAAGATAACTTATTTATTTCACAGAATAATTTGATTTTACTTCTTTTTTTCTTTGTAGGTGTTTTGTAACTTTTCTTTACGTAATATCTATGTTAAACATTGTAGTATCCTTGTTAAACATGTTGATGCCTTTGTTAAACCAGGTTGTAACTTCGTTTTACATGGTTTTACCTGATGATGCCTTTGTTAAACCTGCAGTACCTTTGCTTAATCGTGAAGTACCTCTGTCGAACCTGATAATGCCTTCATGAGACCTTGTGCATTTATTAAACCTGTTTGTATAACTTGGTAGCAACTCTGATAAACTTGGTAATACCTTCAATAAATCTAGTGGAAACTTTGATAAGAATGGTAGTAAAACCAGCTAAGTACTACGTATACTTTTCATATTTGATTTACCTGGTAGTACCTTTGAGAAATATGGTATCAAACCATATGGAATTCAATGGTATTGACTATCCTCTATACGATTTTTATATAGAGGATATTGAATGGGTGTCGTTTCAATACTAAATTTATTGAACAAGTTGAATAAAACCATATTATGCGAGCCTCTCTGACACCGCAAAAGTCTATGACAAGGTCTCGTTCTAGACGATTTTTATCTAACTAAAATACAAATTTAGAATTTCATTTTTTTCATAACCATACAAAAATAAAAGTATACAAAAATTCATGATGTAAATGCAGTTTGCTGAAAAAGCTCGATGAAGGCAAAGAGAAGTTCTAATTGGATATCAATAATAGATATTTTAGGAATAACTTTGGATAACATCGACACATATTATACACACTTTGATATCAAAGCAATTTCTAATTTTGGGACCGGTCCCAATAAAGGGCATGGATAAATATTAGCAATAAAATTCAGGCACTGCGTCTCTTTAATTATTAACAAGATCTGATAATGGCGGCGACCTCTTTGATTTTTTAACGGCGTACAAGTTTTCTATATCCATACTGATTCATCTCAGTAATTATAGGAGCTAAATATTTATGAAAATATGCGGTATACGAGTTTGGTGTATTGACAAAGGTCCCTTTTATGTATCCAGCATATTATCTACAATATACAGGTATATAAATGGTCCCCTGACAATTAAACGGTATAATTTATTTAAATATGCCTATATGTACACAATATCTATACATCAGAATACGAATGCTTTCCATCTGAGAATACTTTCATAAACCAAACGTTGAAAATTAATCAATGAGAAATGTATTTGAAGTCTATGACTGCATGTATGCGTCAACTCTATAGCGCTAATAAGAACATAAATGAGCCGCGTCACGACAAAACCAACATAATGGGTTTGCGACCAGCATGGATCCAGACCAGTCTGCGCATCCGCGCAGTCTGATCAGGATCCATGCTGTTCGCTTACCAACTCTATTACAAGTAGAGAAACTGATAGCGAACAGCATGGATCCTGATCACACTGCGCGGATGCGCAGGCTGGTCTGGACCCATGCTGGTCACAAACGCATTGCGTTGGATTTGTCATGACGCGGCTCAAATATTAAACAAGTATAGATTCTTTTTAACAAAAAGTCTTTTATCGAATAAAGAGGCTGAACAGTGAAGTTTTCAAATTTAAACTTTTTTTCAAGCCTGGGCAATGTTTACTCACAGCAAACAAATTGTTCAACTGGCAGTATTATCAGGGTGGTCTCAAAGTTATCCCAACGGCACACTGGAGAAACCGAAAGACACGTCCGAACCGAGGTGACAAGTCATAGAATTATACCTCTAATGCTCCGCGTCAAACGATGAAGTCGCGAGTACGTTATCTGAAAATCTATATCAACCGCTAAGTCCCGCTGATTCCTGTAAATGTTCATCTTAATATGCATTTGAATCTTTTGAGAGAAAAATATATACATATTCTTAACGCTCTTGAAATCGTGTTGGCTAACATTATTAATAAGATGTTAATATGTGTTTCCTGTATAAAAGTTTATGTAAACTTAGTGACTTTGACATCAGGGTCATGATTTGTACAAATTGTGTACGTCTACAGAACTAGAAGCCAAATACCTAAGCTTTAGGCATTTTAGACCGAGTTTCATTTTTAAGTCTATTTAAGATGCTGTGACATACATATGCATTAAGCTAGAAGCTTTATAAATCATGTAAATAATAAATAATGCCATCACAAAAGCTCAACGCTAAGCACTGTGAGCTAAACTGAGATATATGTCAATAAAATTTGAGATATGTGTCAATTAGATGTAGAAAAAAAACAAGACAGGCTATTAAAATTATTTATTTATTAACAAGTTCAATTGATAGGCAGAATTTCAAGCTATTGCTCATCATATTTTAAAAATGGTACAGAATCTTAAAAACTGACTATGGTTCATTTGTTAAATAAGATTTGTTTGCCTTCTAAGCATGCATTTTCAATGAGTTAAAAAGAGTTAAAATCAATTGTTTGGTGGGTTTTAAGTCACACTAGCATTGTAAAAGTCCTATGACAAATTTCCTGCTCTACTGGCGGTGAAAGAACTCAGGTGTCCCTCCATACAAGCAGACAGTAAAACCAATGGAATTCCATTAAGCTAGTTGGATAGCTTCCTCACATGATGACAAAGACCAAAGTACCTTGCAGGATTCCAAACCACAGCAGTGCATAGGGTCATGTGGTTTTAAGTTAATGACTTTAACCACTAATCTGCAGACACAAAATCATACTTATTATTGCTTGTAGATTATGTACGATTCATAAAAATAGTTTACTAAAATCAGACAAATTGGTTTTTACTACAACATGATCATAAGACGTAAATGATATATTGTACATTACACAAAAATGAAATTAAATCAACAAAAGATAAAACCACACTGCAAGCTGTTTTATTTACAAATATATGTTCATAAAAACCATTGCTAATCACTTAATACATAAACGTTCATGAAATCAATTGCGCCTTTGTGCCTTTATAAAAAGCAATTTCATAAAAATACATTGCTTATACAAAACTTTCATGAAATCATGCACCTTGCAAATGCTGGTATAAAATGCATTTTTTTAGAACAAAACATATACAGACATTGATTTTTTTTGTTCAAAATCCCCTACAATGCTCTTTTTGCATTTTTAAGAAACTAAATGCATTTTTGTTGAAAAATAGGGAAAGTAAATAAAAGGATGGTCCGCTAACTTGATGAAAATAGATTGTAATGCATACACTAACAGCACAAACAACCTTTTCATTTTCATACACGTAACTTGAGAATACTGCTTATGCTAAAATTTTAAGTTACCATATAGGTCAACTGTGACAAAAAATATATACATATGATGAAACACTATCAAAAATAAATAAATGAACATGTGTCTAAGAGTTATTATATCTCTTTAAAGGGACTCCACTATCTCTTTAAAGGGACTCCACTGAGGTTTTTTTGACATAACTGGAATGATGTAAAATCATTTGCACCCTCTGTTTTTAAGGAATAATATTTCTATATAGCTATAGTCTGAAATTGACCGAAAAATGAAAAGCATTTAAAGCAGCTGCATGCCTCAATATTCATGCTAATTTTCATGAAAATTTGGAAAACAAATGTATTAAAAAATAAAATATTGTGCTAGCCAAGAAAGTAATTTACACACCGCAAACGGCATTGCAACCCACATTAATAAACAAAAAGATGTAAAAATATTAAAAAATATCCCTTACTGCATTAGTCACGCAGTAGAAATATGCTGATAACTATGGCAAATCACACACAACATGAATATTATTACCTGAATCCTTCAACTTTTCTTAAAAATCATTACATATTTCTTAAGTTAAATTTTATTGAATTTTATTTTGGTTCATCTGGAGGCATGCAGCTTTAAATGCCTTTTTAGTTAAACTGGGCTAAAAATCTCATAAAAATCAATTTTCAATTCAATTCTTTCTTTTATATTCTGTATTATCTTCTGCACATTTTATGTTACAAATGTTCAAGTAATCAATGGAAGAATTAAAATTTTTAAGCTTTTAAACCTCAGTGTAGATTCTTTAAAACTTTTGTTTGGAGAACTATAATTTTAAAGCTATTGTTTGGTGGTACTGACTGTAACACAGGTAGTCAATTGAGGTAATTCACAAGTACAGTACCAATATTTGACAATGATGGCATAAAGAGGGTTAGTAATAGGAAACCTTTTATTTAATATGTGCGCATGCGATAGCTAAAACATTGCCATGTGATATTCTGTGCGTATGCAATAGCTATAGTACTTGTACAGGCATGAATTCTTCCAATTCAATATGAATTGCTCCAAATTTAAAGCTGGGCATGTAAATGACACAAATTCAGCAGGGCAAGAGTTTCATACCTGAATAGTCATTGTAGACGAATAATTATCATTATGTAAATATTAGTATGTGAACAAGTTGTTAGTAGTAAAAAAATGACATAATTTGGAAAACATGATATACATTTGTAATCAAAATAATTCACATATAGACAAAATAAGCTGTTTTAGTTACCTTTCTGCAGAAAGATTCTTTTTTTAAGTGAACACTAACACACTAAACTACAAATCATGGATCAAGAGGAAAGTACCTTAAAGGGTGGATCTAATTAGTAGATTTAATTAATGATAAACAACATAACATGTATATTATGCATTTTGAGAAAAAAATACGAGTGTTAAAATTTATTTAGATCTAACTACTGCAATATATTCTACAACTGATTTTGAAAAAAAAAATGAAATCTATAAATATAAATAGTTGTTCAACTCACGGGGAACAAAAAATTCACCTATTCCTCAGTAAGCTAAAAAATTACTTTCACATTTATTCAAATCTTAAATAAAAGGTAAAACATACACTTTTTAAAGATCTGTCACTCAGTGCTTAATCACATGAAATTTTGTGATCTGCATGGGGCAGAAAACCCAATACAAAAGATGGTTCTGGAAGTATTCTTTTATTCCATATTTTCTTTTTAATAATTCTAATGTTTGTAAAGCATAAATAGAATGTTTTTTTTAACAAAAATAAATGGCTTTATTACACTCCTGTGCCACGGATTATGTGATAAAATATGTAATCATTAAAATATATGCATTTATTTCTTATTGTAAAATTTAACTTAAACTTTATGGAAAATGAATTTTTTTATTACCTCCCTTTATTTACATGAAATGTTAAATTCGGTAATGTCTTTATAAATAATGCTTTTTGGAACCTACAATATTGATAAATCTTAATTTGAGCATCATATTTATGATTTAAAACCATGAGAAAATTGTGAAACAGGATCTTTAAAAAGTTATGGAACCATGAACCATGTATGTATCTTTTTTTTCCTGTACCAAACAGATCACAAAAAGTCACATGGTATAGACAGCATGTATCATATAACAAAACTAAGCATGAAATAACTATCATGTAAAACCTGAGTATTTAATACATAAATGGTTAATTTAAACTTGCATGGGTGTTTCTTTAATGCTTGCTTAATGTAATGTCCTTGCCTTTAACTTTTTCTGCACGAAAATCAACTCTGATGGTATACTAGCATTAATAAATTAATATTTTGTACATGAAATGTTCAAATCTATCACAATTTAATGCCATATAAATAATCCGTCTTTGTAATTTGAGCAAACTTCTTAGGTAACACTAAATAATCTTGATGTAAATAATGTTTCTTAATGTCAAAAATAAAGCCATTGCATTTTTTAAAAATAATTTTACTACAAAAATGTGTCCTAAACAAAGTTGTGAAAGAATGTTAACTTTTAATTTTTTTGAGTATTTTACATTATATCTTCATCATAATTTGCTATATTATAACATATCCACGTAAATTTACTAAAATTTTCATTTACACTAATGTCAGTGAATAAATCATTTCTGAAAAAAAATACCTTAACAATAATTACAATAATAACTTAAATAATGAAATTGATAAGTTTACAAGCTAATGACTGGCAACAAGTATCTTTGCTATTCCATGTTATAAAATAGTGTGAGTGCTTAGAGTGCTTGAGGATATAGGAAAATATAAACGGCTTACTGTTGATAAACAATCTTACATACACATTCCAGAGGTCTTCACAACTTTAAACTTTTAGGTTGATTCATTCTGACACAATACTTCATGACAGTTCTAAATTCCAAACACAACATGCTAATGATTCAAAATAAGCAATATGCTAATTTAATATAAATAGATATGTACTTATAATTACGTACATACTCATACTTCTCATTATTATCTAAACATTTAAAATTTCTGTACTAAATAAGTTAACACAAAAAGAGATATGCAAATGCAAAGTTATTTGATTCTGTCATATTTAACAACATAAATGTGACATGACTGTGTATTTGTATACATGTATGCCACTGAGACTATAACCTTACATATGTGTAGAAAGATATGTTACTGACCATGTAGCAGTTTATTCGAAACTTGTTTATATGTACAAGCAAATATCATTCAAGTAAGCTACTTGAATGACACTGGAAGGATAATCTGCATCAAGATAATAAGTAATAATCCTAACAAAGATTATCAGTTACACTAATTAATGTATTCTCCCTGATGCTGCTTCTTTCATAAGCTAATGATATGGAGGTTTAACATAATTAAAAGTTGGAAGATCTATTTCAGCATCAGTGATATTGACCTACAACAAATGCTTTCTCCCTGACGCTGCTATTTCAACAGCTAAAGACTTCATATTTGGCTTAAAGTAAGTAGAAGTTGGAAGATTTTTTTTTTAGCATCAGTGATATTGACCAAATCAACCTAAAACCCCACACAAGTATAAAGGTGTATGTATTTATCAACGTGAAACCTCGCACAAGTGTAAAGGTCAATGACCCAATCAGCCTCAAACCCCACACAAGTGTAAAGGTCAATGTATTGACTAAATCAACCTAAAACCCCACACAAGTGTAAAGGTCTATGCATTGACCAAATCAACCTAAAACCCCACACAAGTGTAAAGGTCAATGCATTGACCAAATCAACCTAAAACCCCACACAAGTGTAAAGGTCAATGCATTGACCAAATCAACCTAAAACCCCACACAAGTGTAAAGGTCAATGCATTGACCAAATCAACCTAAAACCCCACACAAGTGTAAAGGACAATGTATTGACCAAATCAACCTAAAACCCCACACAAGTGTAAAGGTCAATGCATTGACCAAATCAACCTAAAACCCCACACAAGTGTAAAGGTCAATGCATTGACCAAATCAACCTAAAACCCCACACAAGTGTAAAGGACAATGTATTGACCAAATCAACCTAAAATTCCATGCAATGATAAAGGTCAATCAACCTGAAACCCTACACAAGTGTTAAGGTCAATGTATTTACCCAATCAACCTGAAAAACCCTAAACAAGTGTAGAAGTTTGTCTATAGTACCAACAGACCAAAGACATTAGACAATAAACTGAAATGAGAAAGTGTAAGTCCCAGTAGGTGTGATTAAAGAACAGAATGAAGGACAAATTGGTAACATTATCCTTCAGTGACAAAAAATTTCAAGAGCATTAAAAAACTAACAACAACAACACAACATAATTAAACAGTCAAAATATTTCTAAAACAAAACACTGTCTAATTAACTGCTTTTTGATGCTTTGTCTTTCTTCACAGGAAAGATTATTCTTTGCAGGAAATTGTAGTAGACTATAGCTCCAAATGACAGCAAATGTAACCACCAAAACAATGACCTACAATAAAAAGAAAATGAAACAATATCTTAATTCAGTGCTTCAAAAATCTTTATAATCTAACAATATCCAGCAATAACATCTTATCTTTAAATACAGATTAAAGATCTCCTAGCCCTTAAGCGGCTGGATTTCTTAAAATGGACTTGCCCAGCTTCCATTTTTGAGATTGTCCAGACTGCACTCATATTGAAGGCTTAGTGCAATGGTGTGCCATATGACATAAAGATGGAGTTACAACTCTTTTGCACCAAGCTGTTGATAGATTTATTATGCAGGCTGGCCTTGCTCTACACTGGTGGCTTTAAGGTAAATCATTTAAAGTTTGATTTTCAGTAGGCTTAGGATAAAACATCATTCAAACTTATCAAAAAGACCAATTGTTTTCCGCCAAATTGCAAGAAATTAGATAATCATTCTTTGCCTCCTTTGTTTAAACTTATGTATTACTAGTAATTAATCTATAATTAAATATCTAGAACTTGCATTTATATGTAATTGGTAAGACACAAAAAAGGGTCATTATTTCATCCAAGAAATTTAATTATGTCAAAAGCATAAAGGTAATTAATAGAATGTAAAATGGACTATAAGACTTTTTGTACATGTTTGAGAATCAATCTCGATCATGCCTGCAGAAAAAGCTCTAACTCTTGAAATAAAATTCAGAAAGAAGAAAAACGTTTTTTCCTATATCTTTATTTTTTTTCCTATATCTTTATGTAAGTGCAAGTCAAAACAGTCAGGCAAGAGGATGAAAGCTCTGGATCAAATCATTTAATGTTAGTTTTTGTTCTCATGACTGGCTTGACAGAAATGGAAAATTGTTGAATAATATTACAATTCTAAAGTCCTAAGAAATCTTCTGAGTATCTAAGTACTCTGTCAGAAGCATGACCAAGTACTTGAGTACTGAAATCGGCACTTGTTTCCATCCGTACTATGAATCAATGCTAATTTGTGTAAACTTCAATTAAATTTCATTTTTGTACTAGAATTAATTTAAGTTTTTATTTTACATAAGACAGTTATTGTTCTATATTTCAGACATTTTCCTATATTTCAGATATATTTCCTATCAGTTCAGTAGCAATAGTTCCGTAATACTACCCAGATTCAACATAAATTGCACAAGCAATACCAGGTATATCTCTTTGCTGTTAATAACAAACAGATTTAATTGCTGAAGCTCCAAATTTATGATGAGGAAGAATACTGATAGAGGACTATTACCAAGAATACAGAGACTATACAATTGTATCTCTCCACTGTTGCCAGTGGGTAGTAACACAAGAGCTGTCCATAGGAAAGCATGATCAACTTCTATTATAAATACTTGCCTGGGAGTGGGAATGATGGTCACAAACAAGTATTTAAAGTTTCATAACATTACCTCAAAGAGTATAGGATATAAGTGGGGCAATACAAAAAACTTTACAAAATTTTTAAAACAACATGCTTCCAGATTTATGCTTATTTCAATGAAAATTTTTTATATGAATTTAAAAGGAAAATACTGTTAAGTGAACAAAGAAAGTAGCAATCCATGTAAATTACCAAAGACTCTGGTCAAAATATGCAAAAATATCCCTTGCTGCGATATAGTAACGCAGTAGAAATATAGTGATAGACTTTTTTAAATATTTGAATCATCTGGAGGCATGCAGCTTTATGTCGAAAAAAGGGTATAATTTAGTCAAAATCCTTGACAGATTTATGTACTAACAAGTATTTTAAGTTTCAAGGCAATACCTCAAAAAGGGTATAGATAGTAAATGAGGTCGTTCAAAAAACTTAACCAAAAGTGTGATTGAGATGCCAACACCAACACCCAGGTGAGTATGAAAGCTCTCCTTATCTCCCAATAATATAAAAGTAATAATCAAGCTAATAATTCTGGTAAAGAAACAAAACTTACGTGTACAAAGCTAAGCTAGCTCTCACTTCCAGAAGAGAAAAAGACCCTACCATTATAACGTTAGCAAATCGTGTAAAAGTAAAAGTTACACAATCATAGAAGAACTGGAGGTTTGAAGACTGTATAAAATATGGCCTTATGTTGCGTCGTATCTAGAAAAGAATAACAGTAGAAGCGTGCTGGGTTTGATTTATAGATGAAAATTAAGGTGCATAAAAACCTGTATGATATTGTTATGTTAGATAGAAATAATAAAGGGGAAAATGTGATTCCTTGGCTTATACCTGCAAGACCATAGAAAACATGCAAGCAATATCAAATATTGTTGAAATACGTTAGTCATACATGTAAAGGAGGAAATGGAGAAAAAAGTTGTATCTCTGGCTAATTATGCCTGTAAGAATGAAAACATGCAATATTATTATGTTATATACAGTACATGAATATTGATAATGCCAATGCACCAACCTATTGTAACACTGCCCCACCCATCCACCCCACACACCTCCATCCAACCCCAAATTCATAGGAGTGCTTGAGTAAGCAGGAGTAATGAGCCAATTTTATAACCTCATCAATGTTGTTGTAAAAATTGCCAGCAATATGTATATGAAGTATGGGGCTTTAAAGTCAAGATTTCACAATATTACTGTCACTACAGGGTTGAGCAATTTCTAGGTATTTCAAAAACCATAAGTCAAAATCCCTACAGTGGTGGAGCAGGAGTTAAATATGATTGGTACATTACATTGTGTCATCTGAAGAAAAAGAAAGTTCACATAAAAAAGAGATTATATTCAAGACATAGTCAAGTTGTAAGACCACATATAAGACTTCACCAAGCTGGTTAAAGCTAGGACTGTTGGAACGTTACTTGAGATGCTATTTTGTATTAAATTTTTATAAAAACAAGAGCACAGCATGTGGTATAAATGCTTGTATATTAGGGCAATGACTATCTCAATAACCAAATTTTCATATATATTCTAAGTTAAAAAGGTACATAACTCCTAAAAATATTACTTTCAGAATAATGTCCCTTGTCCAACAACTGTGCCTTGTCATGATAAGCAAGCATTCCAGGTTTCATATTGATAACTTTAAAACTGTATGAGTAATGGGCTACATGACAACAACAACAATGTTGACAACACAGAAGTTCTACTTTTTTTCCAAGCATAAAAGCTTTATGGAAAACTTTCCATAAATTATCAATGAAGGTATTTCTAAATGCACCTTGTATACTTATACTTGGTCTCAACAACAATTTCATTTTATAACTTTGTTATTTTTATTAATTGAGACTAATTGCTGTTTTTGATACTACCCCAATACCCCATCAACTATCAAACTACAAAAAAAATTTCAATGTTCTACACCATTGAATTTATCAATGTTTTTTGCGCAATAAAACTTTTAACTTAGCCAAATGTGTAACAAGCTAAATAGATTTCTTACTGATATTAAAGAATTAAACGCTTACAAAAATCTTGACAATGATAAATTGGCCGCCATATAAAAATTTATAAAGCTATTTGCCTACATAAATTGCAAATAAATAAACAACCTTAAAAAGCTATTTGCCAACATTAATTGCAAATAAATAAACAACCTTAAAAAGCTATTTGCCTATATAAATTGCAAATAAAATAAAAAAAAATTTACTTGATAACAATGAAAGGAACAGTATTTCTAAACTAGTAGTCAACATGATAAAAATCATTGTTAGTACAATATAACCCTATTCAAATTGTGTAATAAACTGTTCCATTTTTTACTTACCCGTACAGAGGGATAGAATATTTGGTTTCAAGAAGAACAAAGGACAATATAAAATAGCTATTTGCAAATCTTGTGAACCAAAATGTAATAAAGTCGTAGAAATTAGTATGCACTGTCGATTGCAAAAAATAGGGTCGTATATTCCGCCGTACCTATGAAAAAGTAAATGTTAATATTAGTAATATTACAAAATTGTATGAAAATACTCAATATAGTTATATACAGTAAACTTCACATATAGCGAACACGGTTATAGCGAACTTCCGGTTATAGGGAACAATTTATTTTGGCTTGAATTTTGACCTTCTTTATTTAATATAAAAATATATGGTTATAGCGAACACAGATATAAGGTATTATCGCTAATAAGGAACTCATTTCTTAGTCCCAATTTAGTTAATAGTACAGAAAATTACACTTTTATAACGAACTCCAAAATATTGGCTATTCGTAAATAGATCCCGCATTTTCAACTTTCGTTTTCATTCGCACGGATTAAAACTCGGGCGAATGTACCGTTTATCGTTGTATGTACTTCAATACATCTATTCAAATGAATTTGTATAGTTTTTTATTTAGGATATTTTTAGCATGAGCTCTTTTCACCAAGATAAAACGGTTATTTATTTATTTTCTTCAATAGTTTTGCTCGAGTAAAATAATTATAATAATTTATAATCGGTTTTCAACATAATCATGCATGCCTGCAAGCATGATCCATTGCAAACTGCAAAGTACGCTTGATTTAAATGAAGAGTAATCTTTATCTGACATTAGTAAAAGTCCCCCTTAAATTATAAAAGAGGATACTGTATTCAAAATAAAAGGAAGGAAAAATCGAAAATCTTGTTTATTCTAAATCATGGAAAGAAAACGAAAAGAGTTTAGAAACAAAATATTATATTTTATGTGAAATTGAGATAGGGGGTAAAACTAAAACTGAAATAGCAATGATTTTCAAATTCCAAAAAGTACACTCTCGATAATTGTGTCTAAAATATAAATAAATGACTAATATTTATATTTCTTAATCAAATGCTCTTCAAAAATGTCGGACAATGGTAAACAATCAGTTCGTTATATGTTAATCTGTTTGCAAAAGAAAAACTCCTGATTAAGGAACTAATTCGCTATATGCTTACAAGGAACTCCAGATATAAGAAACAGGTTTTGAATGTCCCAGTGAGTTTACTGTAGTCAACATCTCTAAATCCTCGTCATCACTAATTTCACGGTTATGACATTTTTCAATGTGGTAGGCATTTTCAACACTCAAAGTTGACCTATTTTAGTTAAACACATGAACAACCAAGTTTTCAGTCAAAACTTTTTAAATCTGTTTTAGCATAATAGACCAAAATTTTACTTGTTTCTGAAAAAAGTCCCGATAGTTAAAATTGTGTGTGTCTAAAAACAACTAAAAGGTCATTTTCCAAATGTTCTTGTATGCAGAAAAAAATAATTTTGTGTTACAAAGGTGAAGATATCTTGACAGCTTTTAAATAAACTTTAACCGTAACATGGAAAATTTAGTGCATATCATATTTACTGTGAGATTAATGATGACCTGGTCTGCATGTACGTCTGACCCATTAAATCTTGTTTTCATTTAATATGTCAGCGCTTCCTTGTGAAATGTAAGGGAAAATAATTAAATGTTACAATTAATAACAATTATTTGTAAGGTCAAATCATTCATTGTTTTCACTTATTGTTAAGAAGCTTTACTTAAGCAAGCTATGAGAACAGTATACATGTATTCTGATTACAATAATTGTATTCAAATATAAATTATTTGTTTACAAAAAACAATTATATATAACAATACTTATAAATACATGTATATGTGTGAAAACAATCAAAATTTATACACAATAATTACAATTTATGAACACAATGTAAAATATTGATACTTATAATGTTAAGTTATGTTTAACAAAACATCTTAATAGTTATTTAATAGCTCTTATTCTAAAATGACATGCTAGTTTTCTTTTAATACACAAAGGAAGAACATATGGGTATATAACTGTCAATGTACACAGCTGTCCTTTTTTAGAAAAGCCCAAAAGATTAAACTGGCATTAGAAGTAACTTTAACTTAAACAACAATAGTGGTCCCTTTTTTGGCATGTTTTAATCAAAACAATTGAGCCCCTTTAAGGTATTGACAGTTTTCAGTTTTCAACATTGTAATGTGCAGGAATATACCACATATAGATTTGTCCTTTGTGGTCAATTATTATGCATTAAAACTTGAAAGCAGCATTCAATAGCCAATCAAAATTGCTAACACATACTTATTCTGAGGTTAGTACATGTAAATAACTGAAAATGAACAATGTACCTTATTCTAAATTTTCATTAATGTGCCAAGATGTGCACAAATCAAATTATTTTAGTAATCATTTTTCTTTCATATAATAAAAGCATTCAAATGCACAAGTAACCCTATGATGATACAAGTAATCAAGCACATTAGTTCAATTATTATCCCCTGCCGCATCATACATATCACTTTGTATTATGTACCAGGCAGCAAATGGCAATAATTCAAATTTATATAAAAAGAGTTAAGATTCTTGAACACTGCCTTTTACTTAAATGTGATCTACCTATCTGTGAATTTCAACCTCATATCTATTACTTTTGAGCTATGCCCCAGACAAAAACAAAATTAAAGCATAAAAAATTACAAAGGGCAAAAACTCCAGATGTAATCATAAATGAAGTTTTTAAATAGGTTTTCTTTTTTATGTACCAAGTTTTAGGTAAAGTGTGACCAACCTACAGATTAACAGATTTTCTAATGAAATGGCTTGTGTGTGGCTACTCTAATGTTCTATTAGCCACATAAAACCATTTTAGCCACATGAAATCAAATAAAATTTACAGTAACTTATCATTCTCACAGTCATTTCAGTATCCATTTTTCCTGTAAGAAGGATCTGAAGGGCTGGACAATCAATGCCAAATGGGAATAACAAGAGTGTTCAGTGAGCACATGAGTCGCCTGATGATAGTCAATTAAGCTATTGTATTGAGGACTGATTGGACAGTTTATTCCCCTTTATGTTGTGATTTCTTGAGGTCTATTAGGTTTTGATGAGTACTCTACAGCAGATGACACAAAAAATCATTTCCTCCTTGTTCAAGTAATTTTACTTACTAAAACTTTGGCTTGAAATACTTATAATAGTTGCCTTTCATGATGCAGAAATTTTTTTATTTGGTCATGTGATCTCAAACAAATACAAATTTATAAAGCTTACCAGTCTTGCAGCTGTTGTAAAGAGAGCTGCAGTGAGGAACGCCATGTAATACCCGGGATAAAATCCGTGCCAAAATGCACTAATTATAAATACTGCCCATGTAGCAATGGAGGCGGGGCATCTCTCGTATACACTATATCTCAACCAATGAGCTGTTGTCACATTCCATGAATCTACATTCACTTTAAGACTTGTACACGTCTGCAAAATGATAAAAGATTGACTTAGTACTAAGCATGATTACTCCTCCTGTTTCTTCAAAATAGGAAATAGTGTGCTGCTGTAAAATGTACAAATATTTGAGAGTACCTGTAAATGATGGATTTCTGACATTATGTTGAAATTATCAAATAATGATACCTATACCTGACAGAATTGATTGAGTAAATCTCACAGTACAAAACCTGTAGCTCATAGATTTAAACATTACGTAGCACTTTTAAGATTGTTTCTTTTTCTCTCTCTTTTTTTTTTGAAGGATTTTACAAAATGTAAGTAACACTAATAGTGCAAAGGTCATATGTTGACTTTCAATCTTCACTGGTGGAAGAAAACCTCTTATGCACCTGTAGTTGGTGGATTTCAACATTATCAAGCAAATAATTCAGTACCTGTAACTGTCACACTTAAACATTATTTAGAAAATCTTTAGTTACTTTACCTCTAGTTGATAGATTTTAACATTATCTAGCAAATCCCACTTAGAATTTCCTTTATCATCATAACCAGAAAATCCTAGTCCACATGAGTTATTCACCAATTCACCTGCAAACAGTGAAGTACATGTTATAGCTATATCATTTTATGATTCATTCATAAGGAATATTGTTAAGTCTTAATAAGTCTTAAGTCTTTCTTCCTGTGGACATATAACATTTACATATTGGAAAGGTACTAAAACAAGGAGTTTTGTTGTTGTTTTACACGTCACACCAACACAGTATAGGTCATATGGCAACTTTCCTGCTTTACTGGTTGAGGTACCTTTTCTTAAATTATTTCAAGCACTTACAGGCTATGCACCTGAGTAGAACCACTGACGTTCCGTAAATTGCTAGATAGCTTCCTCACATGACAGAATCCAAAGTCCCTGCTGGGATTCAAACCCACAGCGGTGAGGAGCAAATGGTTTGAAGTCAACAACCTTAAAACAAGGAGTTAGTAAGTACATGTACACTTTCTCATGCTCAAAAACTGGTGCTTACATAAAAATTATTTTTATCTTACCTAGTTTCCAGGCAAAGTAATACATTGGTCTATGCATGGTCATGGAGCATAGCAAATAAAAATTCCTGTATATCCATGTTGTATTGTACAGAAAGTCATCATCTACAAAATAAACACAACTTCTTAACATCAACATCCCTTTATTTGTATGAACAGCTTGCTCTACTTTGAATTTGGAATGGTTCATTGCTATCTTATCAAGTTTTGATAATAAATAGCATACATTTGTTTGTTTCTTTGTGATACTTTGAGTCACGCCAACTCTGCAAAAGTCACATAGCAACATTCAAGATTACTGATGGAGCAAGATCTTTGGTGCCACTTTGTGCGTTATTTCAGGCACATGCAGGCACCTGACCTTCTATCAACTAGTTGGATAGCTTCCTCACATGAATGTATCCCAAGTCTATTGCAGGGTTAAACCCCTGCAGTGAATGGGCAAGTGATTTATAGTTCAAGGACTTAACCAAGGGGGGGGGGTGTTGCCTGAGAGCCCTTGAGTAGATAAAATTGAGCAAGAAACAGTACAAAGTTTTGGATTGACATCACATAATAAACATAGCACTTATATGATCACAATGAACATTCCAACCTTTAAAACTTAAACAAGCTATACAGAAATAATATTAGCACTAAAATTAAAATGCAAAAAGTCTTAACGCCTGCCCTGAGGTAGGTGCTAATCTTTATAAGAAACTATTTGAAATTGTGAAAATATTGTCTAATTGGAAGAGAAAAAGTGAATAGTTGGTACAGTTAATGCAAAAACCATCCAGATATACTATCAAAATGCAAAAATATCTTCTTCAGTAAGGTGGTGGAAATTTGTTGTTAAAAATAGTAAATTCAGTCTATAAACAATTTTGCATAAAGCATGTACAGAATCATATGTATAGTGGTGAATAATCATTTATTTTTTAGGATCTAGTAAAAATTTGAATTATTGAAACCTTGTTTATTCATCTAGTGACAAACAGCTTAACCCCTTTCATGTAAATACCTTAAACTGCCTCAACCATCTTCCAATCTTGGAAAAATCATTTACGATGTATCGTTTATTGGGAAAATTTTGAAATAAGTAGTGACTGAATAGCAAACAGTGCAGACCATGATCACAGACATTACTAATGTGCTGGTTCATCTTGGTCTGCACTACTTGCACTGGTATATTCTGTTGATGAAACTTAAAGGCCCATCATGCCTCAGAAATGCTATGTTAACATTATTAAACACATGTTTGACATTTTCTGAAGAGTTTTTTTTCAAAACATAGATTTCTGAGGTATGATGTGCCTTTAAGATGTGTTATAAGTTACCTTTCATACGTGACCATGGCGCTATGAATGGTTCCATCATCATCAATGCCCCCAGTATAACTACAGTCACTAGTTTTTGTAGAAATACCTCCTGTCAATTAGAAACTCATAATCATTGCAACTATTTCTTCATGCTCTAAACACTTTACAACTGGTATTAATTCAAAATTTAATCTCAATTGCTTCATCTAAACAAGAGGGACATGATGGCCCTAGATCGCTCACCTGACCCATCAAACTCATCCAAACAATTAACTAGACAAGCATTCTGACCAAGTCTCATGACAGGTGAGTCAAAAATGTGGCCACTACAGTGTTAACAAGGATTATCCATATTTGAGCAGTGTGACCTAGTTTTTTACCCAGGTGACCCATATTCAAACTTGACCTAGAAATCATCAAAACAAACTTTCAGACCAATTTCCAGGATACTTGGATCAAAACAGTAGCAACTAGAGTGTTAACAAGATTTTTCTATTTTTAGCTCCGGTGACCTAGTTTCACATGCCATTTCGAACTCATCCGAGCAATTACCTAGACAAGCATCCTGACCAAGTTTGATGATAATTGAGTCGAAAATGTGACCACTAGAATGTTAACAAGGTTTTTCCTTATTTGGGCCGCGTGACCTAGTTTTTCATCCAAGATGACCCATGTTCGAACTTGACTTAGAAATCATCAAAACAAACGTTCAGACTAATTTACAGGATATTTGGTGTTAACAAGATTTTTCTACTTTTAGCTCCGATGACCTAGTTTTTCATCCGAGATGACCCATGTTCGATTTAATCCCAGCAATGACCTTGACAAATTTCCTGACCAAGTTTGATGACAATTGAGTCAAAATTGTGACCACTAGAGTGTTAACAAGGTTTTTCTATTTTTAGCTCCTGTGACCTAGTTTTTCATCCGAGATGACCCATGTTCGAACTCATCCGAGCAAGTACCTAGACAAGCATCCTGATCAAGTTTGATGACACTTGTGTCAAAAATGTGACCGCTAGAGTGTTAACAAGATTTTTCTATTTTTAGCTCCTGTGACCTAGTTTTTCATCTGAGATGACCCATGTTCAAACTCATCCAAGCTATCACCTAGACAAGCATCCTGACCAAGTTTGATGATGATTGAGGCAAAAATGTGACCGCTAGAGTGTTAACAAGGTTTTTCTATTTTTAGCTCCGGTGACCTACTTTTTCATCCGAGATGACCCATGTTCGAACTCATCCAAGCTATCACCTAGACAAGCATCCTGACCAAGTTTGATGATGATTGAGGCAAAAATGTGACCGCTAGAGTGTTAACAAGGTTTTTCTATTTTTAGCTCCTGTGACCTAGTTTTTCATCCGAGATGACCCATGTTCGAACTCATCCAAGCTATCACCTAGACAAGCATCCTGACCAAGTTTGATGACACTTGTGTCAAAAATGTGACCGCTAGAGTGTTAACAAGATTTTTCTATTTTTAGCTCCTGTGACCTAGTTTTTCATCCGAGATGACCCATGTTCAAACTCATCCAAGCTATCACCTAGACAAGCATCCTGACCAAGTTTGATGATGATTGAGGCAAAAATGTGACCGCTAGAGTGTTAACAAGGTTTTTCTATTTTTAGCTCCGGTGACCTAGTTTTTCATCCGAGATGACCCATGTTCGAACTCATCCAAGCTATCACCTAGACAAGCATCCTGACTAAGTTTGATGATGATTGAGGCAAAAATGTGACCGCTAGAGTGTTAACAAGGTTTTTCTATTTTTAGCTCCTGTGACCTAGTTTTTCATCCGAGATGACCCATGTTCGAACTCATCCAAGCTATCACCTAGACAAGCATCCTGACCAAGTTTGATGATGATTGAGGCAAAAATGTGACCGCTAGAGTGTTAACAAGGTTTTTCTATTTTTAGCTCCGATGACCTAGTTTTTCATCCGAGATGACCCATGTTCAAACTCATCCGAGCTATCACCTAGACAAGCATCCTGACCAAGGTTTTTCTATTTTTAGCTCCGATGACCTACTTTTTCATCCGAGATGAGCCATGTTCGCATGTTCGAACTCATCCGAGCTATCACCTAGACAAACATCCTGACCAAGTTTGATGATGATTGAGGCAAAATTGTGACCTCTAGAGTGTTAACAAGGTTTTTCTATATTTAGCTCTTGTGACCTAGTTTTTCATCAGAGATGACCCATGTTCGAACTCATCCGAGCTATCAACTAGATAAGCATCCTGACCAAGTTTGAAGATGATTGAGGCAAAAATGTGACCGCTGGAGTGTTAACAAGGTTTTTCTATTTTTAGCTCCGGTGACCTAGTTTTCAATCCGAGATGACCCATATCCGAACTCATCTGAGCTATCACCTAGACAAGCATCTTGACCAAGTTTGATGATGATTGATGCAAAAATGTGACCGCTAGAGTGTTAACAAGGTTTTTCTATTTTTAGCTCTTGTTACCTAGTTCTTCATCCGAGATGACCCATGTTCGAACTCATCCGAGCTATCAACTAGATAAGCATCCTGACCAAGTTTGATGATGATTGTGGCAAAAATGCGACCACTAGAGTGTTAACAACTAAATGTGAACGGACGACGGACAACGGACAATCATCGATCCTAAAAGCTCACCCTGAGCATGCTCAGGTGAGCTAAAAACTGATAAAGACTCGATTCATTTCTGAATCACTCCCCAGCCGATTTTTTCTACTAACAGATCTCTGTGATATGAGGAAATTGTAAGGTTAAAAAATTGATATCATAGCTGAATGGCAAATATTTTAACCACCATGTCAAGTCAGTTGACAATATTTCAAGTTCAATAAAAGTTTTTAATGCAGAAATGTTTAGAATGTCAATATGTCAGTTATTTTATTGGGTCCCAGTCACACCGGCACAGCAAAGTCCACTTTTAAGCTTTACTGATTTAAAAAGCCCTCGGGTGCCCCTTCTTGCATTGTTTCAGGCACAAGTTGGGCACCTGAATAGAACCATAGAAATGTAATGTCTTTATTCATAAATGGACTATATTCCTATAAATGTTTACTTTACTATTTACCATGAAGTGTTTTTAGGATAAATTTTTCTCATACATACCTTTGGTGAAGGAATATCCTGAAAAATAGAATAAGCAGCTGGTGATATGACAATAGAAACAATGATTATGAAAATGTATGTTTTAACAACAAGATAAAGGTACTGTATACAGTGTAATCAGGAATGACATTTTAGATTCTGCTAGATATGCCTTAAAATGAAATGTATAAGCAATTGAAAATGAAATGCCTTTGATCCCTTATTGTTTGCATTTTGGGCCAGTGGCCTTTCATTATAAATAAAATGATACGGTATTGTATTGTATTGCCTGAATAGTCTTGCCAAACAGTTATTGGAATTAATTTCTTTAAAGGTGAAAAAATTTCTTTAAAGGTGAATAAATTTAAGTCCCAAGACATTAATTTTGTAATGTTTGCTGTATAGACAGGATTTTGTCTCTGGACATAAACTGAAAATATTTACTTCTTAAAACACACAGCTTTTACTCATAAGCATCTGTAATTATCTTCGACTTTTCTGTGCTTCCATCCGTTGCATACTTTAACAGGGAATTTTACTGTGACCTCTGGCAATTGGCTTAACAGATATGTATTTTATGGAATTCTGAATTCCTCTACAACAAATATGAGTAGAGACTTTAAATAATGTATAACAAAAAAACACTGTCACTGTTGCAGAACCTTCATCTGCAGCTTGTATTTGCCTCTCATGCATTAACTTAGACCAGATCACATGACACATCATGTGATCTAGGCAGAGAGAAAACCACTCCAGCACAATGTATGTTAATGATAAAAGATAATCTTTTAAACAATTCAATTTTATACCATGTAAAAACATATCACCTTATTATTGCTATTTTCCGAGTTAGAAGTATAACAAGAGCCATCTATAAAAGCACAATAATCCTTGTAAAACACTAGGGGGCCACACATCACATTGTGGAAACTGAATATGTAGCTGTAATAGGTCAGTAAATCAGGCATTTCTCTGTGAAAAGAGTAACCAAATATTAATACAACCTACAAATCTATGTCTATGTGTCGGTTTATCTGTCAGAGTAAATTTAAAGTGTATCAAACTATATATGGAAAAAAATGTTTAAAACACTAAGACATTTAAAAAAAATTTATAAACATATAGTGTATTATATTCTTAAATAGTTTTAGTAAGAATGGTATCTACTATTTAACGCACAAGTATAATCTATATCATATAACAGAGTAAAATTAATTACCATTCCTATAAATGCAACTACCATCCAAATTAACTGACAAAAGTATGCTACATGCATAACACTTTGACATTAAATACAAGTACTTGACTATCAATTTAAAGTGAAACAACATACCTTATTGCTTTAGATTTTTGATTTGGGTTGAGATCTTTCTCTTCTCTGTTTTTACCATCATTTAGGCCAAAAGCGACAACTGTTATCTTCTGAACAGAGATCATTAGTGGTCTGAAAGTACCGTTTTCTGTTACTTGTGACATTTTCAATGATAAATACAATACATTGTCAAGTTTCTGTAATCCATAGCTGCAGAATTTGCTATTAGAATACTTATGACAAATCGTACTACATAAAAATACACTTAAAGAGTGCTTTACTGCCGACTGCTTTAAATAAAATCATCACTTACTACTTGAAATTTTATGTAGAAAACTCCCTATGTGTTACATGTACCAAATATTGTTTCAATGTAAATAAAATATTTTTGACTACACTGCAAATATCACACAGAAAGTACTTGACTTTAATGATCAGAAAGAAAAGTATCATTTGCTTGATAGCAAAATATTCTAAACCAGCCTGGTCACATTTTGTGAGTTTAAAACTAAAAGAGGTAAGCTCTAGTTTATACAGGGAAGAATGCAAGCATATGTCTGCCATTGTTAAGGATGAAGAAAATTCTATTTCATGGTTTACAGTGACATCTTATTCAGCCCCATCCCTTTATTTGTTTGTTTGTTTCATTTTACGCCTTTTCCCAACAGTATTTCAGTCATATAGGCAGGTAGTTTCCTAACCATCGTTCCTGGAGAGTTACACCAGTACTAGACTACCTTCCTCCGCGCTAAACTACCAAAGCATCTCCCGGGGATCGAACCCACGCCAGAGAGGTAACTGGATTAGAAGTCATCGACTCTAACCCCTCGACCACGGAGGTGGCAGCCCCATCCTGTGATGATAGAAATTTCAAGTTTAAACATACCCAGTTATATCCAGTGTGTAGCCACCATAATCTAGGATCATTCTATGTATGTGACACCAAGCAAGATAGCCCATTGCTACAACAAACACCGACACAGGCATCCATTTCTGACCAATAAACTGCAGCAGCACATAACCCAAGGATGCTTGTATAAACAAGTGAATAATCTGACTGAAAACATAAAAATATGTGTTTATTAATATGGAATATTACCAATTATTTGTAAAAAGTAACTACTTAAATACTGGACGAAGGTCATAAAGTGACCGAAACTAGTAGACTCCAATAAAATATTGTAAACTTGCCCTGGTCTTGATGTGTATTACTCTTTATTTTGAACTTGCCTTGGTTTATTCAAATATTGGTAAAGAAGGTTTTTGTATTCTTTTTTATATATGTAAATTATAATATTATTATCCTATCTAAAGGGACTATCTAATGCTAAAAGTATAACCCTTTCAGAACAAGTGGAATATGTTATATCTCCCACTAAAACATAAGCACCATATAAGCTGGAAAGGTAAAAACTTGTGTGTTATCCTCCATATTGCCATGTTGGCAGCTGGTCTATAAATGACTGTTATCCAGCTGATAGCACTTTATTTTGGATTGAACACATTCTAATAAAACTTCAAAATAATGTATATGTATGGATTTTTAGAAGGAAGTGGCTAGCCGTACGGGCCCGTACGGTTAGCCAAAAGTTCTAGCCGTACGTGCGTCACGTACGACTAGCCAGGCCACACTGTATTGGCTATCCGTACTGCACTTTTCAAAATTATATGGAAGTCGAAAATGCATATGTTATTTTGTGTCTTTAAACGAGGATTTTAATCAAGTCCCCGCATTTGTCCTAGTGTTGACTTTAATAAAGATGCTCCGCCATTTTGTAAAAAAATGAATACGAACAAACGTTGTCCTTGATTTTCATGCTTATAATTTGTTGTTTTATTTGTATGAAAGATGAATTGTTAAATCATTTTTGTTAATTAAGCACATGTATCGAATAAATAATGATCGGAGGGGATTAAATAAATAAATAAGTAAATAAAAAGAATACTGAAAAAAAAAAACGGTGAAAGCAAAAATAATTTAATAATTTTTAAATACAGTATAGATAATTTTAAATATCGAACATAAAAGCACAATCAATTAATAAGCCTTAATTAAGGCAAACTTTCCTTAATGATGGACAAACTTCTATACCGTCGGTAATTGACGCAATTATCAGAGCCCAACAACAATTATTTTCGGCGTTTTTTTTTTTGTTTTTTTTTTATTTGAAAATTAAACTAAATGAAACAAAAAATATCAACGTTTTGTAAACTATTTCAATTGATGTTATTTAACTGCAACCAAACGCTATTTTTTCTCGACGTCTTGAGATGACAAAAATATATACAAGGCGATTAATCTCTAAAAAGTAAACATACGAAGACAATTGCTGTGTCTTGTACAAATCCTCGCTTAAAGTCATAAAATAACATATGCATTTTCGACTTCCATATAATTTTGAAAAGTGCCGTACGGCTAGCCAATACAGTGTGTCCTGGCTAGTCGTACGTGACTCACGTACGGCTAGAACTTTTGGCTAGCCGTACGGGCCCGTACGGCTAGCCACTTCCTTTTTAGAACATTATTATTGTGGAAAGGCTAAGAGAGATGGGAAACAAATAACATTTTATTGAAAGCCTTTTAATTTAATATTGTATATAGACCATTTATACATGTAGTACAATTTACCTTCCAAAACAAAACAGGACCAATGCTATACCAAGCAGCAGCTCAACAGCATGTCTCACTCTAGGACTTGTGCTCCTGGGATCTAACATATTGCGGAATGGAATTCCAATAGCCATTGCAACCAGCTGACATACTAGAAAATTTATCTGAAATTAAAGACATAATATTTATCAACAAATAAATAAATGAAATATACAAAATTATTATTTATATGGAAATTAGAGATAGGGCCTACATTAATAAATAGGTGACCACCCCAAGGACTGGAGGAGACCGTGAGGAAATTAATGCATGATTGATTGGAAGAAAAAGAAACGTTCCATGTAAAACATGTTCTTAAATACAATCGAAGTCATTCAATAATCGGGTGGTTTTACAATAGTTAAATAAGCTTACAAAATGTTGGAAAGTCACGTGCAATGTAAAAGTATCCAATATATTTCCTATCCGAAAATATATCAACTTCACATTTATATTTGCTAATGAAAGATACCTGATCGATCGATAATCCAAGTATTGGAACTAATGGTGATAATAGACGTGATCCATAGTAAAAGTCACTGCTTTCGCTGACAGGGGCCATTCTGCTTCAACTTTCTCAGTTTGTGTTTTGTTTCGTCCTACAGAAGTTGTCTAGGTACAACACCACTAAATGTTTAAGGTTGTAAGACACTATTGTAAAAATAAATGTTCACTCACTGACCCCAAAATGTATGTACAAAGAATGATCCTAGCTATATATAGCCTAATTAATTCGGCGTGAACGGTTTGACCCATTTTACAAACTTTTTTTTCAAACAATCAAAGGGAAAAAGACATCGCTCGATGTCTATTTGGCAAGTCTAACTAGTTGGACTAAGCTATAATATATAGACTACTACATATGGTTGCTACACCCCAGACATAACAGGGTATTATTTACACTTGAATTTCTATCATCACACCATCGTCGGGGAACTGCTAAGAATAAAATGTCACTTTAAACTGCGAAATAAAACTTTCTGCACCCCTAAAAATGGCAGAACTTATTTCTTTTAAACCTGGGATCAAATTAATGTTTTCGTCCCAGTTTAAACTAACAAACTAGTATATTTTGCCGTCAAGAAAAAGTTATTTTTCTTTCTGATCATTATTTAGTCAAATAAATACTTTCTGAGAGATATTTGCAGTCAAGTAAACAATATTTTGTTTTAGAAGATAACAGTCGTCGCTTTTGGCCTGAATGATGGTAAAACAGAGAAGAAATTTTCTAATATCAAATTTGAGCATAAAATATCTTTAAGTTTGCCAAAATGCTATAATACTGTCCCAGCAGGCACTCAACTTTGTTTCAACGTTGAAACAACGTTGAAATATTGTCGTGACATTGTTAATTTTAGTTTAATCATTATCTAAACTTTTACACCACTTATTCTGTGTAATTTTTTACAAGATGACTCACGATCTTACACCAAATTATCTTTCGATTCTAGTCCCGTCATCCGTAGGCAATACTTTAAGATATAACTTACGTAATGCCGAGGACATCCAAACCGTACGCACATGAACAACGCTTTATGAAAATTCCTTTTTGCCGTCCGTAATACGGGACTTGAATGAACTTTCCTCTGAAATTCGAAATTCTTCATCACTATCATCTTTCAAATACAATTTGGAACATAATCTAAAATGTCCAAATTATTTTTACATTGGGAATAGAGAAAGTTTCATGAACATCTTATCAAACTACTGTACTATAACGCTGCACACACTACTACATGGCGACTGTAACATGAGTGATAATACTAACTGTAATGTTTTTCTTACTGTTCAAGATTACATCAGCAAAAGCAAGAGATTTCTTAAGAATAATATCCTTCTTTTATCAATACCATACTGTTAGTGCCGTCTGGAAATATCTTCTTTTCTCTGCTATCTTATTTCTTCTTTTCCTCTCTTTTTCAGATACAGTAGTTGATTATTTTACAAAACATATTTTTTTAAACCTTCTTCTAACCAACTACGAACTCATATATTTTGTATATAACATAAAATTCATTCTTATTAAACAATTACTCATTGTACTTTCAAGCATATCCATGTACATACATATACACACTGCCAATATTTATAGCAAATAAAAATTAAAATAAGACCTATATAAGCATCAGCTTTCGGTTCTGACCCTTTTTCATTCATTTCATGTGTTGTAAAGTTTTATTTGTAAATTGTAAATGTGTATACTTGTTTGAAATAAACTTTGTTTAAACTAAAATTCTACTTTGATTTACTATATGAAAGAAATGAGAGATGAGTTGATTTGACACGTTTTCGCGACCTAATTGGTAGGCCTTACGCTTACGCTAAGTTATTGATGCCGATGTTACAAGTCTTGCCTTTTTTAAACTTATTTTTCATATTATTAAACTTTATCTTTGGTGCTATATACCAATTAAAATTTAATCAATTATAAGATTGTAACCTATAAAATGAAGTTCGGCCAACATAATTTACGTCCCAATACGATTTGTCTATCTAGCTGTATTTATATTTAAGTGTTAGTATGATACAGTGTTAATTGGTCTGAAAAATACATTGTATACATTGCATTATCAAAAAATATTGATTCAAATTGATTGATTGATGTTAAATGTTAACAAAGTTGAGTGTTATATTTTTAAGTTTAATTGTCGTGAATTTACAGGGAATAATACATCTATTTTACATTCCAGATCCTCCAACTGGCTGAAATTGAGAGTTTTGGAGCTGTAGCCTGTATACCATTTTGCATTCAACACGGAAAGAACTGTCGGGTTTGTTATATTGAAATTCCTATATTTAATATTATATATTTATTTACAAAGTATAAATATTTCAACTACTGGATATTAATCTTGTCTTAATAATATATGTTTTTCAGAATACTTCTGAAACATTAATATTAAATTAACATATAAATTTGTTATTTTCAGGATACTGCATAAAATGGTCTTAGCTAGAGCCTAGAATATTTATTGGACAAATGCTGCCAGTAACTGATGGGGAGCAGTTCTGCTTACCAATCACAGGTGAGACTTTTAAATAGCTTCTTTTTTTTATAAATATTTTGTTGTTTTATGTACATAATTTGCTGTCAATATGAAACTTCAGCTATATCTCATATTCTATGCTGTTTTATTATGTAAATCGTAGAGATAAGCATTTTAAGATAAAAACAAATCACTAGGTTGATTAATTATAGCTATAAATTTAGATTGACAAAGTCACTTTTAACTACTAACTTCTTATTATTTTTATTTGCAGAATCAGTTAGAGACAGCCAAAGAAGTATTCAAACGTCATCATGAAACACTTAAGACATAACCAGAAAGATCTGGAAAAAGAAAAAGATTGGAACAGATTGTTGCTTAATTGTTGAACTAAACTGACTTCTTAAATCGTTTCAATTTAAGCTGCATTTGAACTGTATTTTTGAAATAAAATATCTGAGGTACCTAATATTGTCTTGATTTTTTTTGTTAAACTATTTTACTCTGCTTTATATTTTAAAATTAAAGTATTGTGGGTTTTCAACGTTGAAATGACATTGAAACTTCAACGTTGTACCAACGTTGAAACTGCAAAGTTGTATCAACGTTGAAATTTCAACGTTGTTAAAACTTTCAAATTCGAATATAAATCCAATGTTATTTCAACGTTGAAATCTGACCATAATTCAACGTTGTTTCAACGTTGATGTGCCTGCTGGGGTATACGCGCTTGTGTCGAATGCAGATTTTTTTTCTTGCGTCTGCGGTTGAAAATACAGCAGTTATAAATTACTATAAATCGTTTCAACGGCTATAGAAGCTAGTGCTCAGAATTGATTTTGAAGATGTAACTAACAATTTCACTTTCAAATTGTATACCTTTTAATATTATACCTTCAACTGCAGATGATTCGTCTTTGTAGGTCCAGAAATCTGTAAACTGCTTTGGAAAATTTGCTTTCTGATTTGACTATCTGTCTATGATAACCTATATAACAATTTGGGAGTCATTGTTGGATGCATTTTTAATTTTGTCACTTATGGGTAAATTTGACATAACCTCATGAATAGGAACATTACACATTCGAAAATTTCAGGGAATATTTCTGGCAAATAATTGCGTGACAGTGTATCTGCTAATGGAATATTTATTCTGGGCACAGAGTAAAGATTAATATCATACTTCTGCAACTGTAGTAACATGCGTTGTACACATAGCCGAGGGAGTATTGAGTCCAGGCCTTCCTTAGTTTAGTTTAACTATTGTTTGTTTGTTTGTTTGTTTGGATTTTTACGGCATGTCAACACATAACCGGCCATATCGTATAATAGTCTAAAATGTTATGTTAAACTTTGTAAATGACAATGAAAATGAGCCAATTAAATCCTAGAATACATGTTTATCTCTTTCAAATAATCTATGATGTTTTTTGATGGAATTGTATGTCAGAGTGAATTTACACAATTAAGCCCATATACTGCTATTATCTGTATAGATACTGCGAATTTGTTCGAAATAAATTATAGTTTAAATATAGTTTATTTCGAACAAATTCACAGTATCTATACAGATAATAGCAGTAATAATGGACACGTACACTACAAACATGAATTGATGAAAAAGGATTGGGTCCGAAAGCTGATCTTATAAAGGCCTTCTCCTTATAGATTTACAGTGCATAAAATACGGTAGACCTTCCTTAAACACAGCCAGTAATGGTTTATGATATGTTTGACAGATGATTTGCCACCCATACACATACTGATAATAACGTTTGCAGCCAAATAAAATGACATACGATTCCTTTTCAACTTGATCATAATTAGCTTCTGTTTGAGTTAGCGCCATTAAAGCAAAAGAGGCAGGTTTGTTGTCTTGCATGCCAGGCCTGCCTTCGAGGCATCTACTTGCAATGTGATCTCTTTCTGTAGATCAAAGTTGGCAAGAACCGGTACTGGATATTGCGTTATTGTGTTTCACTTTGTTAAGGGCTTCTTCTTGGGCAGAGTCCAAATGAAATCTACATCCTTAAATAACATCTGTCTTGAAATTTGTAAATATATCTGTTGTAAAAAAGATAGGTCTTAGGTTTGCAAAATTGGTCAAACCTTTCAAAGTATGTTTTAAGTTTTCCCTTTACTTCAATCATAATATTTCTTTTCTTTTCTCACTAATCTAACATGAAATTATTACATTTCGCCTCTTCTTTGGTTTTATCTAAGGATCAATCGAATATAAACTTAATTTGTATGTTCTTTAAAACGTTTGAATGCTGTGGCAAAATCACTGTTTTCCCAATCCATCCTGGGGCTTTGTCTTAAATACTTGCTCAAACAGTTTTAGTACTTTAAATTATCTTATGTTTATTTAATCCATTGCAAATTCATTTCTTTTACTTCTGACTTATTTCTTTATCTTCTGACTTATTTCTTTTACTTCTGACATTAAATGAGATAACAATTAATAAATTGGTTTAGATGTTTATTCCTAGAATAGCATATATAGAATGATCAAAAAGGGCTGCATACAGGTATACATAGTAACTCATATGTAATATACATAAAAGTTAATATGACAGAGTTGTCTCTCTTATATTATAAAACCATGCCACAAAAAGAAATTCATGATATTTATTTGTCTTCTTTTGTACTAATTCATCAGTGAATTTGAAAGTCGGGTAATGTATATATAAACCTCAGTATTAGCTTTCTTCTATCATTGTCATATATATAGACATATAGTCCTTCATATATATGCAAATGATTTTTTTATATTCGTCTCTTGAATGTGTTTATTTCGGTGATGTACTAATGTTCTGGAAAATTTTATCATTTTATAAAATCAACTTGATTTAAACACATGGGAAACTTCTAATAACTTCAATAAGTTACCGAACCTAGATTTAAGTCTGTTGTCCTTAAAAAATCAATCCTCAATATAATTGTGGCATTCTACTTTAAACATATTATGTTTATATAGCTTCAAATTATTCAGTTGTAAAAGAATATATATAGGAAGCATATGTTACCCATGAGTCACGATAACTTGATCGAACAATCAATTTTCAAAGCGCGTGCCGTTGATATAACTTATATTTATAGCTATTGGATAATGTTATGTAAAGTAATGTACGAGTATACAACATGCCAATATGATTACGTAGTACATCATTGTTTATAATGTAATTAATTTTACTAATTTGATATTAAATCGTTATTAAATGGAAATGAAAATCTTGTTTTCATATTTCGAAAAATGAAAGAATATAGATTGTTGATAAGCGTTTTCCCAAAAAGTCTATTTAAAGTGGTGACATAATCTGTAATGAGATATTTTCGTTCTGGTTGGGCACACGAAAATAGCACAATATCTCGTCGCGCAGTACAATTAGTTGGACTATAAACTGATAAGCGGTATTTCGCTTCATTTTAGTATATTACATAGAGTAGCGTGTTGACAAAACTTTAAATAATATTTTAATTATTTTTATATCATTCCAAAACAATTGTGAAGTAGAAAGTAGCTGCTCGCGGATTTAATTAAAAGTTGAAACTCTATATGTGATATATAGCATTACAATGAGAAAGTGTCCAGATTGTTCAATGGTTGGTTTCGAAAGTAAAGCATCGCTAAGACGTCACCGTAGAGCAGTGCATGGTTTTGTTGTATGCGACTGTCGAAGAAAATTTCTTAAAAGCGAATATATGGCGCAGCACAGAGCGATGAGTAGAGTTCATAACGGCTTTTCCAACCAATTTGCTGCTTCAAGTTCCTTGATAAGGTCATTTCAAGGATTAGCTATTGCTTCAACACCTGACCTTTATTCGCTACAAAGAGATGAGGTTGACACTTTTATATCTAACTACATACAAGTGGATTCACCATTTCGTTACTGCTGTGGAGAAGTGATAGACACCCTTGTCAGAAAGCTGCATCAAATTGTAGAATTTGCTGCAAAACTGGAACCAAGGGAGATTATTAAGGTGAGAAAGTTATAACTTCATAAATATAAAAAAGTCACATATTATCACACATTAAAACATTACTACATTAGCATTTTGTGAAAAATGGCTGTTTTCATTGAAAAGTCTCCTGTTACAAGTTCAAATTGCTATAAAACTATAAAAACTGCTTCAATACTAATCAAACTTGGCAAAAATGTTGACTGGACCATTGCCTTTGTAACAACATGCTTAGGCTTAAATTTCCTGTTACCATGACAACTAGGGGACATATCAAAATTGCCAAAAATCACTATTTTGCGTTGATTTTTTCCATCAAAATTGATTTCAATGTGCTGCAACTTCTCAACGATTTGAGATAGAGTCAAATGCTTTTCAGCGTTTGTTACACGTTACCTTATAGTCGATCTGGGATCATTTTTAGCCTCTCACAGGTCAATTTTTTTTTTGGCACATCCCCCTTCTGGCAAACCCCTAATGTATCTTTTGGATGGGGACCGGTGCTGAAAAAGTGCTCACTTTTTTATCACGAAAACATGTGTTTGGGGCCTAAACAGGACATTTTTTTCGCTATTTGAGGCCTAAAAGAGGGGGGGGGGTGGTCGAAAGTGCGTTGTTTCACGTATATATGAGGTAAATGGTTAAGTAAATCAAATCAGTGCTTTTCATTACCGAATTTATCAACGGTGGTCCATAAATTCCATGAATCTCTCAGAAATACCATGCAAATCATTTACCATGTTTCTTTTTCAATCCAGAATATGTTCGATAGATGTTGAAGCTTACACGCTGGCTTAAAGTATGTATAGTACCTCCTCTTTTTTTCCAGATTGTTTTATCGATTATATATTAGTTACTTAATTATTAGCATACCATGTATAATTTCTTAAGGTTGAACTTTAACATAATAATTGATGTACTTGTTGTACTACACTAATTTAGTCAGGATCACTAGGAAAAGGAACTGCAGTTAAGGACAGAGCCGATATAGATCTTGTGGTGATGCTGAACAATTATAGAGATGTTGAACAATTGATGAGAGACATGGAAGGCCTACTGGAACAGCTAGAGCGTTATTTACTGAGGTTTACTCAAGCCAGACATCAACGAAGAACGCGGTATTCCGTACAGGTGGAAATAACGTGCAGTTCTGGACATACGCACGATGTTGACATATTGCCAGCAGTGGACCTTCTTGGATTAGGTTGACATTTATATTTTGCTATAATTCCATTATGCTTTATTATGTCTTTATTATGCACTTAAAACATCGGTACTTCCTAAATGACAAGTTATAAATATTTAACAAAAACATTGAATTATAATACATGCTGAAACGTGGTATTTCATATTGCCATACTTTTGAAATCGTGTTTCATTTCAAAACGAAAGAAAAAAAAGTTTTTAAATAAAACTCATATTAACATTCAGGAAGCTCCCGTAAAGAAATATTTCAAAAGATGAAATACGCTTCAAAAGTAGACATCCACGAGTACTCGGTGTCACTGGCGCCTCTACAGCTTGGAATTATTAAGCCGTTACCGGCAAAAGTAAAGTCTTTGATCAAACTTCTGAAATATTGGAAAGATAAAAAGTTGAAGGTAAACATCTAGTCTGGTATTATTCTGTGATATGTATTTTACGTTAAAATAAACTGTCCTTGTTACACTGAATTTTATATAAAGACGCGCTGATGAGTCGTACAGGCGTTACATTTTTGCGATTTTGATAAATAAGGATTCATAATTGCATGTGACATCACTGTCTCATTTTTTTTATCATATATTCAGCCGTTTTACCGAAATTTACTATTGAATTATTGATTTTCGTATGGCGTAGTAATAAAGATATAGAACTTGGAACTCTATTCGAGTGTATGTTTTGTTATGCAATTAGGAGCGTAACGAGGCTGAAATGCCAAGCTTCGCTGAGAGGAAAACCAGTAGCCCAAACTGGCCTAGTTCATATGCTCTCGAACTTGTGGTTATAAACGCATGGAATGACGCAGGGAATCCGGAAGACTTTGAGATGACCAAGATTCTTCATGCTGTGCTGACATCCCTTGTTAACCACAAGAACTTTAGGATTGTCTTAAAAAGACAAATGGAATATAGTATGGACATTGTCCAGATCAGGTAAGGTTTTAAGAAATTTGACATAATGTAATACACTTTGTCGTTTATGTATATTTATTTAAAAGCTGCAAGATAAGATAAATTGTTTAATCATAGTATTCTAAACAATGTGAAAATATACTGGGGCGGGTATCTAGCCAAACAATTTACATATTTATTTTATTCTTTATCTTTTTATAGATCTTTAAGAAAATCAATTTAAGTGGTTTGAAAAGTGAATTACGTACGAAGGTTCATTTTTAAAGCTGTCAGTTAAGTCATTTTCCGAAACACAATTCCAGATTCAACATTTATCAAACATTTTCATTACAGTAAAACGCCGTATATCATGGACCCTGCCAATCCATTTAACGACATGTATCACGGCCTTGTTGGCGGTAAAGCTTTTAATTGGGAACAAGTAGTACCTGAAGCCAAGGTTTGGCTAAGTAAACCTTTATTCTTTGGTGATAACTCATCAAAGTTATGGTAAAACTGAAATATGATGGCATGAGTTATGCGCAAAAAAGGAAATAAAACTGGTGAATATACTCTGATCATGGCATAATATGGCACTCGATACTGTGTTTGTACTTTACAGTTAACCAAATTTATATCTTCAAAAACAAATCAATTATTTCTTTGTTTGTTGGAAATACAAGGATGTTTATTAAATTATATTTAATCTTTTGTTTGTTTTGGGTTGTACGTCACATCGACACGGTATAGGTCATATCGCGACGTTCCAGCTTTACTGGTGGAGGAAGACCTCAGGTGCTCTTCCGTGCATTATTTCAGGCACGAACGGGCACCTGAGTAGAATAACCGACGTACCGTAAGCTAGCAGGATAGCTTCCTCACATGAAAGAATCCAAAGTCCCTGTCGGGATTCGAACCCACAGCGGTGAGGGGCAAGTGATTATATCTAATCTAATGAGCATTTTTAATAGTTTGGTTTATTCAGCATTTTTGATAGTGATAATACACATAAGACAGGTTATTCAAATTTTAAATCAATATAAAAAGGCGCTTTTATGTAAATATTTTCTGCAATGCTAGAATTCTTATGCCATATGTATGATTTGAATTCTGATTAGTTTCTTTTCTTTCCAGAAGTTTTATCATATATTATTTAATATATATGTGCCATATGTGTCATATATAAATGAATCATACAGGTGTATTATCGTTTAAATTTTAACTTTGATAACGATCCCTTAATTAGTTTAAATTGATTTTATTTACTTTACTTGATTTAGAGCAAATGTACTTTGCATTTCGTTTTCGGAAAATATTTTAAAGCAAATCTTGGTAACTTTTGAGTTTATGCACTTTAATGATTCAGTGTTACATATGCTATTTAATTGGAAAGAAAATTGTTTTTATAGTAGAATGTTAATGCATGGAAGACATGTTTGTATGTCATTGTGTATTTCGTTACACATATCTTAGTTACATTATTACTAATCTTTTTCATTTTTTATCTTTTTTTATTTTAAGCTTTTTTTTGTATTTTTTATGATTGACTAAAGTAATGTATATGTACATTGTTGATAGTGTTTTTGGCGTCTCGATGAATGCAAAACAAGTTCTGCGCGGCTAATACTCATAAAAGTAATCTTTGAAAACATCTATTTCATCAATGTCTTGTCTTTTAGCCGTTTCATTCATTTTTCGTTAGTTTAACTATGAATATTTGATTTTTGAATCCGCATATAATACCAATTATGATTTGATGGGTTTAGTAAGCCTAGAATATTTATCATCTAATTTGAACAGTTCGTACACAAAAAAGATGAAAATGAAAAATTGGATGTTGAATAAAACGCTCGAGTGTTACAACAATATTTTTTGGAAACCAAAGTCGTTTAGACAATTGGCATTTATTTTGTTAAATGGGAAACGATTTTGTTGATCGTTTACTTCCTATAGGATATAGGATATTTTGCTGTTGCTTCTTGTTGTTTTTTATTCTGCACCATCAACAGAAAAGATAACTGTATATAGTATCAAAAATATGTTTGATTATTTCTCCAATTTAAAACTGCCGAAGAATCAACTGTTGAATAAATAAATGAAAGTATTATGTTGTTATTATTATTATTATTATAATTATCTATTATCAGGCAGTATGCAAAAATTATTCAGTACCATTTTGGATTCGAGGGATATATATGAATGTAGGTTTTGGAGACATCATTTTCCAAACAAAGAAGTTTCTGACAGTTTTTCTTTATTTTTTTAGTTCATCCACATGAAAATATTTATCTCTGACTTGTTATAATTTCTCAGAATGTCTAATAAATACCGTTTCCTACATTAAAGGGTGGAATAATAATTTGTCCTAAGACAAAAACTCGGCATAAAGTAGTTTTTATTCAGGAATGTCTTGCTAACAAATAATTACTGCACTCATTTTAGCAGTGTTACAGATAGACCTTTTTTAGAAACGTTGATATAAATATAGTGTATGAATTAAATGATTTTTTTTTAAGTTTTATTTTCATTATATGTCATGTAACATCAATATTGTTTACGTCATATTTAAGCATTTTTATATTGTTTTCTGTCTTACAGTTTGATTTTTAACCGTCTCTGATTTGTCTGGGATGGCGTGTGTTAGGGTTACATAAATCAATATGTTCTTGGTAAGCCATATGGCGACTTTCCAGCTTTACTGGTGGATGAGAACCTTAGGTGCCTCTGTGCACTATTTTAGGTACGAACGGGCACCTGAATAGAACCACCGACGATCCATAAGCTAGCTTCGTGTGTTAAAGTAACCGAACTCGGTCGCGGACGTCCCAAATCCTTTCACATAATAGATTTTATTCAAATTTTACATGATTAAGAGAAATAGTTTTAAAAGCAAATAGCTAGAAATGTGTCCATAGGACACGGATCCCCCCACACGCCACTGTTCTGTCAATCTTATGACTCTAGGTCAAATAATTTTTTGGACTACATGTGCCACAAGTTGAAAACTAAAAATCAACAAAGGGTCATAATTCTGTTAAATTTGGTCGTCCTTTACTACCATCTACACATTAATGTTGTTTATCCCTGGAAGTTTTAGCAAAATCTGCCATCCGGTTTAAGAGGAGTTGCGTTCACAAAATTTCTACATAGTATATAGTGAAAAAATCAACAAAGGGCCATAATTCTGTTAAATTTGGTCGCAGCGAAAATTCCTTCCTTTACTACCATCTACACATTAAGGTTGTTCAAGCAAAATCTGCCATCCGGTTTAAGAGGAGTTGCTTTCACAAGATTTCGGGACGTACGGAAGGACGGACAAGTGCAACGCTATATGCTTCCACTTTGTGGGGCATAAAAATGTGGGGCCATCGGTCTCGTTTTCGAGATACCTGTCCTTGAAATGAATGAGTGTGTTTATTTCAAGGGCAGAAATTTTCTTAATCAAGGGAAGCAATGCTTATTTGCTTCTGACTTCCACTTAAGTGATTGTATATACATGTAGGCCTATTGGTAACGAATGTAGTTTGTTCCATTTTTTTCTTTGCTAATTTTCTTCGTTCTAAAAAAGTTTCATTCCCCGTATTTAAATTGAGCTAGAAAATTGGCTGTGTGTGGTTTTGCATAAAGCTGGCGACCCTATGGCGGGGTCTCGGTATCTGACCAGTATATGGTCTACCGGAACGAATAAGTATGTGGGATTGCATAAGGCGATTTCGGATAGTTCGGGCATTGACACGTAGCTGTCGAGCAGTAACTGTAGCGCGCAAAAACCGGTTGCGAAGGTGATTCAGTGTAATGACGTGTCGTCCCCTAGTGGTCACATGAGGTGCACCAGATCTCGGACGATCATGAACGGAACCAGTATTACAAAACCGTGTACTAAGATTATGAATTGTTGTCTAGAGCAGCCAAAATGTTGTGCAACGTCCATAGCCTTTGCAACCGCTTGCAGCATCTCAATAGCCTGCTTAATTGCGTTGATTTTCAGAAAACCGTGGAATGGCTGCTGAAAGTCTTAAGATTTAACAATATTTTTTGTCGAAGTTTTGAATAAGAGTAAACTTTTCTGTGTAAGAAGTTTTACTCAATATGAACGTTATACTGTTAGGGCCATTGTGGTAATACTTTATATACAATGCGATAACGCAATTACAACAGTAAGATAAAAAGACAATGCGATAGTGTGATGGCGACAATTCGATAATGCGACGGCGACAGTGCGATAACACGATGACGACAATACAATCGTGCGATAATATCGCACTATCGTATTGTCGTCATCGCATTGTCGCACTGTCTCCATCGCAATATCGTATTGTCGTCATCGTACTGTCGCCCTATGGATTATAAATTATAACCACGATGGCCTTAACGGTATTCCGTATATATGACATGGAATTATTTGAGGCGTGCTCTGAGTAAAAAAACGGAAGTCGCCCGTGCATAATACAACTGCACGAGATTATTTGTGCAATGTTTCGACAGGTAAATTAAATGAGGAAGATTTGCTTATCACACATTATGAGTACGCACTGAAAAAAGTTTCTATTTTTGCTTAGTGTAGTTATGCCCCTTTTTGTGAAATTATTAAGGACTTCAATGATGTGTTTTGCTTGGTGTGTAAGTATCAAATCACTTGGTAAGCAATTAACAGAGTAATTAACAGAATTAAAGAGTTTTATGCCCCTTGTAAAGCAAATTCTAACCCATTCTATCGAAGTCTTTAATCAATTGTGACGCCTTGTTACTTTGAACAGTATGAAATAAATCTTAATGTTAATACAGCTTTAAATAACGCTAATAGATTTTATATATACAAACATATGATCGTCTAAATGCTATTCGTATCAATCATCTTTATAATCAAATTAACACACCTTGGCCTTATGCATAAAGACATTATGTAAGTATGCAATACCGTAGTAACATGGTAAAGTGATTCCCAAAGAATAAAGACCACTGGTCTATATCTTTCTAAAAAATTACTTGTCAAGTTAAATCATGACTAAATTTCAATGCGGCAGCTGCACAAGTGCTTCGTTGAATTGACCAGAAAAGCACCAAAACAGATTTTCTTCTTGTCGTTAATTTGAACTTATTTTATTGCAACAATAGCAACAAAAACAAGTAAACGTTATACTTTTTGTATAATAAATTGAAAATAGGGTTACATATTGTACAAGAGATAAGACTTTTTATATATCGTATTTAAAATTTTAAAATTGAAAATCTGGTTCACAAAAAGTAACTCAGTTTCTGTAAAAATTGTTTGCATATAAATTTGAACCTAGGATTAGGTCAGTCACAAAAAGTAAAAAGAGAATGTACCCAACAATAGCAGCTTCAAGTAGTAAATTATCTGTTTGAGGTCGATTAAATATGGAGTCAATATTCTGCAAGTTTTTTGAGGATGGTTGGGGATGGGGGAGGTCATTTTTCTTAGAGGGATTCAATTTTCAGGATTGTATATCACCTGTCACTGGGTCATTGTCATCAAACTTTGCTATGGTGTAAATACGGATGTAATAGCTCATTCAAATTGTAGGTCACTAAATCGGGGACATTGCAATCAAGATCAAAAGGTAATTTTCGCATACAAAAATGTATCTTCAGTCAAAATTTGATACAGGACCCAAATATATCTCCTTATTTTCAAGTCTTATTAGTGATTTAAAAATATTTCATATAAAAGTTTTTTTAACAATGGTTACCAAAAGGGGAATTATTATTATAACAAACTTTGTTCTTCCTGTATCCACCATCTTAAAGTACTTGGCCCCCAGGGTAGGGCCAAAAATCAAAGAGGCATATACTTTACATACATTTTTGTAAAGGACCACAAGGCAATGCATCGCTTTTTAGCAATGTTGGCTGTAGAGGGCGGAGTTAGGTTTTCACCGTAACCTTACGGTTTGTACCGAAACCGCTCTTCACTGGTGTCTCCGTACTGTACTACCACTAACGATGGGCCAATAGCGATTACCTATATATAAACCACCTTAGCACAGGGCATTGCAGAAGAGCAGTTTTTTTAGTTTTCATCATCTAAAACTTATGTGACTGACCTTTAATTGCATCTAACTAATACAATCTATCCAACTTTTGTAAAGGGCCTAAGAAGAACCATCCTTGCTGCTGAAGTCAAACAAATATACGGGACGGTATACTTTGCAGACGACTTTGCAGACAAGTTAAACATAGAGGGATTTTGCAGACAAGTTAAATAAAGAAGGAATTTAGATTTTGCAGACAATATAGATTATATAGGGGGTGTTTAATCCCTTGTCAAAAGGTGTTAATGGGCAATTATATTGATTTAATACCATCTAGAAAGATCTATAATTATTTGCAAAACTTTATTTATTATTTGAAAAATAGTTTTAATGATGATTTTTTTTAACAATAATTTATGCTTTTATAAAAAAAATATAAGAATATAATTAAAAAAAAGCACTAAGTAATTGCATGAGACAGAATATAATTATTATAACAAACAAACAATATTAAATAACTTTTTTTAAGTTAATACATAAAGTATAGACAGAATAGAGGTTGAATTTTGCAGACAAGTTAAACTAAGAAGGTTTTGCAGACAAGTTAAAATAAGAAGGACTTTGCAGACAAGTTAGATATAGAACAGAATATGAAATGAAAGGGAATTATTTGAAAAATCAGTATTTCGCAGACAGAAATAATGTTGAATTTTGCAGACAAGTTAAAATAAGAAGGATTTTGCAGACAAGTTAGATATAGAACAGAATATAAAATGATGGGGGGCGGGGGGATATTAGAAAAATCTGTATTTTGCAGAAAGAATTTATGTTGAATTTTGCAGACAAGTTAAAATAAGAAGGATTTTGCAGACAAGTTAGATGTAGAACAGAATATAAATTGAAAGGGGAAACATAAAGAAAATCAGTATTTCATAGACAGAAATAATCTTGAATTTGACAGACAAGTTAAAGTAAGAAGGATTTTGCAGACAAGTTAGATATAGAACAAAATATAAAATGAAAGGTGAACATAAGGAAAATCTGTATTTCGAAGACAGAATTAATGTTGAATTTTGCAGACAAGTTAGAATAAGAAGGATTATGCAGACAAGTTAGATATAGAACAGAATAAAAAATAATAGGGGAATATTAGAAAAATCTGTATTTTGCAGACAGATTATTAATGTAAATTTTGTAGACAAGTTAAAATAAGAAGGATTGTGCAGACAAGTTAGATATAGAACAGAATATAAAATGATGGGGGAATATTAGAAAAATCTGTATTTCGCAGACAGAATTAATGTTGAATTTGCAGACAAGTTAAAATAAGAAGGATTTTGCAGACAAGTTAGATATAGAACAGAATATAAAATGAAAGGGGAAAATAAGAAAAATCAGTATTTCGCAGACAGAAATAATGTTGAATTTTGCAGACAAGTTAAAATAAGAAGGATTTTGCAGACAAGTTAGATATAGAACAGAATATAAAATGAAAGGGAATTATTTGGAAAATCAGTATTTCGCAGACAGAAATAATGTTGAATTTTGCAGACAAGTTAAACTAAGAAGGATTTTGCAGACAAGTTAAAATAAGAAGGACTTTGCAGACAAGTTAGAATATTAGAAAAATCTGTATTTTGCAGACAGAATTAATGTTGAATTTATTATTATTCAATAATTATTTTCTTTACTTTAAATTAATTGTTGGTTCTGTATATCTACTATTAATATTCTTTATCCATTTATAGCCTTTTCAGTTCTTTGTATGACCTTTTGTCCTGTGTATTGTTAATGACATTCAATGATTAAAAGGTGTGAACCAATTAGTAATAAATGATCTGTACCAGTGTTTATTGTTATTTCAAAGTGTCAATACATGTTGTATATTCAATTTGTTTATCTATGTGATATTTTGGTTAAAAAAACTTGAATGTCAATGATATTTGAAGTAATATTACCCAGTATTATTCATTTATTACTTATGTTATGTTCTTATACATCTCAGACTATGTTAGATTTTTTTTATGTTTTTAATAATTATGTGAAAAACTATTGCTAATAAATAAAGTTAAGATTGAAAAAAAAAGCTTTGAAAAAATTAAGGTAAAGAAAATAATTTTATTGATTAATAATAAATTCAACATTTTTTTTCTGTCTGCAAAATACAGATTTTTCTAAAAGTCACCTCATATTTCATATTTTGTTCTATATCTAACTTGTCTGCAAATCCTTCTTATTTTAACTTGTCAGCAAAATTCAACATTAATTCTGTCTGCAAAATACAGATTTTACCTTATAATCCCCTATCATTTCATATTTTGTTCTATATCTAACTTGTCTGCAAATCCTTCTTATTTTAACTTGTCTGCAAAAATCAACCTTAATTCTGTCTGCAAAATACAGATTTTTCCAATAGTCACCTCAAATTTCATATTTTGTTCTATATCTAACTTGTCTGCAAAATCCTTCTTATTTTAACTTGTCTGCAAAATTCAACATTAATTCTGTCTGCAAAATACAGATTTTACCTTATAATCCTCTATCATTTTATATTTTGTTCTATATCTAACTTGTCTGCAAAATTCAACATTAATTGTGTCTGCAAAATACAGATTTTACCTTATAATCCCCTATCATTTCATGTTTTGTTCTATATCTAACTTGTCTGCAAAATCCTTCTTATTTTAACTTGTCTGCAAAAATCAACCTTAATTCTGTCTGCAAAATACAGATTTTACCTTATAATCCCCTATCATTTTAATATATTTTGTTCTATATCTAACTTGTCTGCAAAATTCAACATTAATTCTGTCTGCAAAATACAGATTTTACCTTATAATCCCCTATCATTTCATATTTTGTTCTATATCTAACTTGTCTGCAAAATCCTTCTTATTTTAACTTGTCTGCAAAAATCAACCTTAATTCTGTTTGCAAAATACAGATTTTTCCAATAGTCACCTCAAATTTCATATTTTGTTCTATATCTAACTTGTCTGCAAAATCCTTCTTATTTTAACTTGTCTGCAAAATTCAACATTAATTCTGTCTGCAAAATACAGATTTTACCTTATAATCCTCTATCATTTTATATTTTGTTCTATATCTTACTTGTCTGCAAAATTCAACATTAATTGTGTCTGCAAAATACAGATTTTACCTTATAATCCCCTATCATTTCATGTTTTGTTCTATATCTAACTTGTCTGCAAAATCCTTCTTATTTTAACTTGTCTGCAAAATTCAACATTAATTCTGTCTGCAAAATACAGATTTTACCTTATAATCCTCTATCATTTTATATTTTATTCTATATCTAACTTGTCTGCAAAATTCAACATTAATTCTGTCTGCAAAATACAGATTTTACCTTATAATCCCCTATCATTTCATGTTTTGTTCTATATCTAACTTGTCTGCAAAATCCTTCTTATTTTAACTTGTCTGCAAAAATCAACCTTAATTCTGTCTGCAAAATACAGATTTTACCTTATAATCCCCTATCATTTTATATTTTGTTCTATATCTAACTTGTCTGCAAAATTCAACATTAATTGTGTCTGCAAAATACAGATTTTTCCAATAGTCACCTCAAATTTCATATTTTGTTCTATATCTAACTTGTCTGCAAAATCCTTCTTATTTTAACTTGTCTGCAAAATTCAACATTAATTCTGTCTGCAAAATACAGATTTTACCTTATAATCCCCTATCACTTCATATTTTGTTCTATATCTAACTTGTCTGCAAAATCCTTCTTATTTTAACTTGTCTGCAAAATTCAACATTAATTCTGTCTGCAAAATACAGATTTTACCTTATAATCCCCTATCACTTCATATTTTGTTCTATATCTAACTTGTCTGCAAAATCCTTCTTATTTTAACTTGTCTGCAAAATTCAACCTTAATTCTGTCTGCAAAATACAGATTTTACCTTATAATCCTCTATCATTTTATATTTGTTCTATATCTAACTTGTCTGCAAATTCAACATTATTACAAATTGTGTCTGCAAAATACAGATTTTACCTTATAATCCCCTATCATTTCATATTTTGTTCTATATCTAACTTGTCTGCAAAATCCTTCTTATTTTAACTTTTCTGCAAAATTCAACCTTAATTTTGTCTGCAAAATACAGATTTTACCTTATAATCCCCTATCATTTTATATTTTGTTCTATATCTAACTTGTCTGCAAAATTCAACATTAATTGTGTCTGCACAATACAGATTTTTCCAATAGTCACCTCAAATTTATATTGTTTGTTTGTTATAAGCATTATATACTGTCTCATGCAATTATTATGTTTTTATTTATATTCTTATTTTTTTATGAAAGCATAAATTAAAAAAAAAAAACATCAAATTAAAACTATATTTTTTTAATTAAATAAAGTTTTGCAAATTAATTATACTTTCTAAATGGCATTACTTCAATGTAATTGCCCATTCACACCTTTTGACCAGTTGACAAGGGATTAAACATCCCCTATATAATCTATATTGTCTGCAAAGTCTAAAATCCTTCTTTATTTAACTTGTCTGCAAAATCCCTCTATGTTTAACTTGTCTGCAAAGTCGTCTGCAAAGTATACCATCCCCAAATATACAAATGTAGATCCTGTGATCATATATTGGAGATTTTATTCTTAACATTTTGGACAATAAAATTCACTGCAGCTGATTAATATCACCACCAACAACTTTGACTTTTTGAAAAATAAGTAGTCTGACTCAATCTATAGTAAATGAAGTATCAACTTTGTACAAAGAATTATTTTAATTAATTGAAACCCCAACTGAGGTCTTCATATAAGTTTGCTATACACCAAGTTTGATAACAATATCTCATTCCTAACTCTAGTTTTTGTCAGGAAACCATTTTTCTATTTAAGTTACATTAACTTTACCTTGACCCAAGGGGGTCCAAATGCAATACCAGCCGGGGTCTTCATATAAGCTTGCTATACACCAAGTTTGACTAAAATATCTCATTCCTAACTCGAGTTATTGTCTGGAAACTATATTTCTATTTTAAGTAATAATGACCTTGACCCCCAGGGGGTCCAAATGCAATACCAACCGAGGTCTCCACATAAGGTTGCTATATATCACGTTTGATTACAATACCTCCTTCTAAACTCTACTTATCGTCCAAATACCATGATGTGGACCGACCAACGAAGTACCGACAAGCTGACTTCGTGTGTGGGGGGTTTAAATATCAGGTGATCCCCATTTAGCGGTATTTACTCAGTAAAAACCAATAAAGTAGTGTTTCCAGTGGATAGAATAACAATAACACAATTTAAGTAAGAATTTTTTTATGTTTATGAAAACAATCATGGAGTCAAAGAAATAGGGAAGAAAGAAAACAGTTGAACTTATCACAGATGTTAAACACTCTTTTCTACAAAAAACACAAATGGTATTAGCACCATTTTCAATACTCTAAAACAATATTACTCCTAGAGGATGAACAACAACCATAAAAACATTTTAAAAATGTTAAACATTAATATGCAGCATATCATTTATAATTAAGAATATTGGATCAATATTGTTCTGAATACCACTCACACTGCTTTAATTGTATAATGAAACTGCCAAAGCTGCCTTACTTTAATTTTGGTCCTGTAGAAGTTTCATGAATTTCATTACATGTACATGTAAATTCTTAAAACTATGCAGCTTTAATTGTAGCTACAAATGTACATAAATAATGGTGGCAAAGGCTTGGTTTCCAGCATTGTGAGGGCTAATATAAACATGTATCTTGTCTATCCATCTATACAAAATAATAGCACTTTATATACATCTAAAATATGTACAATTGTTTAAGGATTACAAACCCTTATGAGCATGTATGGAAAGCACTAAATTGGTATTTTCTCAAATAATGATGTCTCATTCAAAAACACCCACTATCAGGACAATCTTAATTTACTAAAATAGGTATAACAAAAGCAATCAACAGGAAGCAAGAAAACAATTGGGTTATTTTAAAAAAAATATTTTCAGACAGGAGTTAATATATACATGTATTCATTTGGGAATGTAATCCTTAGTTTGCATAATAGATAAACCACTATACACTTAAGCAGCCAATAGTAAAGAGCCTAGTCACACTAAGCCTGACTTTTTACTAGTGGCATTGCCGAGTGGTTAAGGTCACCTTCTTTAAAATCACTTATCCCTCAACACTGTGGGTTTGAATCCCTTCAGGAACTTTGGATTCTTCTACATGAGGAAGGTATTAAGCTGGCTTTGGTAAAGTAGTGGTTATACCAAACCTTGAGAAGTGGCACCTAGCTGAGGACTTCCTTCACCACTCAAGCTGGTGAACTTTACAGTTTCGATGTGACTTAACATCCAAAGAAGCTAAAAAGTGATTATTGCTTATATTATTAGGCTGCATGCTTTGATTATTGCTGAATTCATTCATCTCTAAATCATGTAAAGCCAATAACTCTTGGTCACTGGAGACATTTGATCATTCATTAAATCCAACTTTAAAACGCCTTTCAGACACCTCATACACATATATCCTTCTCTTCTTTTGTATATTAGGTCTTTGGCGGCTGTTTGTAATTTCAGATATAATATTCACAAAATACCAGGCTTCTTAGGCTTCACATGTAACAGATTTGACCGTTTCACTAAATATTTTCATTAAAACATTTCTTTCAATATTATTTTTTTTCTCTCCATGAATTATTCTATATTGAGTATACAATGTCCTGACTCTATTCAGGTGGCAAAAGATTGAATCAAACAGATTAAAGGTTAAACAAAATCATACATTTAAAGAAGTACCTAAATGAAAACAAAAAATATTGGTCAGTCATTTTTCTTTTTGCATAAAATTTACCACAATTCTGATTCCAAGATGTTTTAAGACAAAAAAACATTTTTAGATTTAAAACACACAATGGCTTTAATTAAATAACCATTTATTTTAAAGTACAAAATGTATGATCATCTGAAAAAGTGAATAATTTCAGGACTACCTTATTTTTTCCAATTTTCCTGTTTTTAACATGATTATTTTTTTCCAGATTATGAAAAAGGCATGGGTTAGTGCAAAAATATAATAAAATAAAAATCATCAACAGGTTTAGAAATCAACTGGGCCCGTTTTAATCAATTAAAGAAAGATACTTTAATATTTGTCTTCTTTGCTCTCTGCGCAAATTGCACATAAATAGCCAGAAATAAGCATGACAAATACAGAGAAGTCAGACAAGTTTCAATAGGATACCTTATTATATCTAATGCACAAGAAACATCACAAGTGAGCTGTGCTCTTGGCTTTTTATGTTTTATTGTGTGAGGGTCAGTCTAGGGCTTGATTATTGAACATAAACTTTCCATCATAAGAGTTGTTTTGTCCAAGTATGTATTAAATCCATTCATAAATAACAAAATTATGGCAATTTAAGCAAAATTCAATTATCAGACCTTGATGGAATAAGTTCTTTAAAGGTTAAGGTAACACCAGAACTACTAGTATTTAACATGTCTGTTGAGTTTTTTTGTTTGAAGTGTTGTTTTGCCTAACAATAAGTCAAATATAACAATTTTTTTTTCTAATTTAGCATTTTTTTTCTATCTTAGTGACTTTGACCAAAGGGGGCAAAAATGCAATTTCAAGCTATCTTCCTACATGCCAAGTGTGCTCACAATATCTCACACGTTACTCTAGTTGTCTATCAGAAACAATTTTCTATTTAAAAGATTACCGACATCAACATTGACCCTAGGGTTGCCAAAAGTAATCCCAATTGAGGTCTCCACAAAAGCTTCCTACAGACCCTTTCATTTAAACGATAACAGTCAGGGAAGAGTTACTTCCCTTACCGGATGTGACATAAATGGGGGATTAAACTATACAGGCCGCATAGAATGTCTAAGCTTATTGAAAAGTTAAATGTCTAAATACTGATTGTTCAATTATGATTATGATATGTAAAAATTTACTCATGCATACATAATTCAATATCAAGACTATAAAAAAATACAAAAAGATTGAGATTAATTCTCACTTCCAGTGAAACAGCAAAATTTCAAAGTGACTATATTTATAAAAATTTTCTAATTCCAGGATAAAAAGCTATAGTAACTAAATCAAATGATAATATTTTATAAACACCCATACACACTGAAATTTCCCATCATATAAATTGAAATGGTCATTTTCTAGTTTTCTGTGTTACAGTTTCTGTCATTTAGAAAATTCGGGCGTATTTGTGATAAACATAAAAATAAGATTGCCAATGTTTTTTTTAATGATTGTTATTCAAGCTTTAATAGAACAACAGCAGAAAGCATTCTGCCAACACTTACCGATTCTTTTTCATTATGCCATATCAAAAATCTTTCAAAGAACCAGTGAAGGATATAATCTTATAAATATTCCGGAAAGAACAATTACTTTTATAACTTTAGATTCATATATCACCAGGGTGCATTTTTTAGAGTTATAACATTACATCAGATTACGTCACTTTTGTTAGTTGTCAAAATATTTATGGTCCGAATTTGGTTATGGATCATCCTGGGGACTTAATTGGTCATACCTTACTAATTTGATACTCCAAAATGACTACTAACTAGCACAGTCAAAAATACGTAAAATTATAATTCATTTAATACATGTAACGAATTTCTGTGTACGTATTTCACAACTTGTTTTTTGAAGTGATTTTTTTTAAATATTTGATAAGCAGAGTATGAATTAAAAAAAGTATCAAGTTGAAAATATAACTTTACCAGCTTAAATATATTGGTGTGATGTACGATTTTTTGAGAGTGCCTTTTTTGCCGACACAAATAGTATACAGTCATGTACATTCAAAAGAATTTTTACTTTTTATGCCTAAACATTTTTTTTAGAAATTACATAAATTTATATTGTTGTTTTTCCTTGACTTAGTAATGCTTAAATCAAAATAATTTTTAAATCAACCAGTATCTTGCAATTAATTATTACTCAGCCGTTTTTTGAAACTACAGAATACTTACATTTTTGAAACTCAAAATATCTTTTGGGGTATTGTATATTAGCAGCGACATATAGATACATTATCTACATCTTTGGTATTAGCAAGTTAATACGATTTAACTGCCAGGTAAAATTTTCATTATTAAGAATCTAACGAAAATGGTAATCATGATCAGTTACCCAGCCATATGGTCTACTATTAAAACAAATCGTTAACCTTTATTAAAGTAAACATTTTTATTCATTTGATCATCCTTTTTAAGTAATATCTTATTAAATTATACAAATTTTGGCAATTTCAATCTGCCAATCTTACAAGAGAAAGGAGTTATCCCTCTATTAATATACTTAATCGTATCGGCAATGTCCACCGTATCCCCCAATGACATCATTCAAGGGCGACAACTTGAATACGGTTTTAAATGAAAGGGTCTATATATCATGTTTTTTGACTACATATTTTATCCCTTACACTAGTATTAAATCGACCAGAAACCATTTTCTTTTTAACATTGACTCTGTGGGGGGATCCAAAAACCACAAAGGTTCCTATTACAAAACCTCATTCGTAGCTCTAAACATCTGAAAACCATTTAAAATTTTAGGTCACCTTGACATTAAGGGGCCATAAAAATTCCCTGGTATGGTCACTTCATAAGCTTCCATTATATAATGTACCAAGTTTGACAACAATTATCACATTCCTAACCACTTTAGTGACCTTAACCTTTCTTCTTAAGAAAGCCAAATAGCAACCCTAGGCAAGGTGACAAAATAAGCTTCATGTACACCAAGTTTGATTACAAAATGTCATTCCTACCTCTAGTTATAAACCAGAATCCACCAATTTGATACCTGCCCCACAACAGCATGCCTACCATTCACTAATCTAATAATCAGGATTTTCAAAATTGAAACAATATTTTTTTCATAATTACAACACTGTTTTACAGGTCAAAGCCATAATCAGAACAGGCCCAGTTAATTTCTTCATATATAAATCAAAATTTAGTCACAATATGTAAATTTACATAAAAAAAAGAAAAGAAAATGATATCCAATTACTAGTCACATTTATCTTTTAAAATGTTCACATCATATTCATATAAGACCCTTTTCACAACTGGTTTGTCACAAAATTTGCAGCGTTCTCCAGGATGAACAGCACATTCAATACAAACAATATGCCCACAAGTAGATTGGCTGACTCTAACTTTCCTTATACCACACACACCACATATAGATAGATCCTTCCCATGCTGACTTTCTGTAAAAAGAAAGGCAATAAAAAATACTAAAACAAATATCAATATATGGTTTAGTTTGCATTTTAAAGGTTAAAGTATCATTTCATGTATTTATAGAATTTATAACAAGAACTGTTAGGACAGCGACGCTCAACTATACGAAAAAGTTGTCACAAGGGTTTTTCATCAAGTATAATAATGCTTACCTATATGAACACATAAAATTGTCAGAAAATGTACAAAGGCTTGTTATTTAGATGCTTTATCGAGTAAATCACTACTTTATTATTACGAATGCATAAAATTGTCCCAAAAAAGGCACAAACCCTTCAGTAGTTATTGAGATACCAGCCTACAAGCAAAAACTTTACCAAGAATTTCTAAGCCGAAAAAGGGGCATAATTATGCAAAAAGAGAAATAAGAGTTATGGGACTTGTGCCAATCATGTTAGATAATCACAGAAAACAAGTGTGTGAAGTTTCAATCCATTTCCCTTCAGGAAATACAAGCTTACACGCAAAAGCTTAACCAAGAATTTCTAAGTCGAATAAGGGGCATAAATATGCAAAAATGCAAATCAGAGTTATGGGACTTGTGACAATCATGTGAGATAAGCACAGAATACAAGTGTGTGAAGTTTCAATCCATTCCCTTCAGAAGTTATGGAAATACTTGCTTACACACAAAAACTTAACCAAGAATTTTTAAGTCAAAAAGGGGCATAATTATTCAAAAAAGCAAATCAGAGTTATGGGACTTGTACTAATCATGTAAGATAATCATAGAGAACAAGTGTGTGAAGTTTCAATCCATTCCCTTCAAAAGTTATGGAGATACCAGCTTACATGCAAAAACTTAACCACAGGAACGCCGACGCCGAAAAATGGGTGACTGCTTGAGCTGGATTATTCTGCAAATAGTCTAGCTAAAAATGGAGTTATGAAATATTTTGGTATAATTTTGCTCTTATCCACAACACACACACATCTAAACATATGCTTATACAGTGCAGAGTTCTTCTCTTGGGGTTTTTTTTTTGCATTTAAAGTATCCTACAAATATAACAAATAAAACTTGCATATTTATAAGTCATGCTGCAAGTCATGCTGCATTTCATAGTATTGATGCAAATAGGTAGATACATTACACAAATCAGGCGAAATGATGTTAAAATAATGGAATCACATGACCTTTATCCTACTGAATCATTTTGATGATTAAATGGGAGATTTTTCTTCAAAAAGGGAGTTTTTAGAATTTGCAATAAACAAAGAAGAAAATTCTGATATCAAGAAGAGGGAAATTTCTTTAATTTGTGAAAATACACCTTATTTTAAGAAAATCCTTTGATAATATAGCTGCAGAAAGTGGGAGTCTCCCACTAAAAGTGGGAGTTTCACATGTATGGGTTAGCCAAAAGTATAAAGCCTGGAACAATACAAAGCCAGGTCAAACTGCATAGGCGTGCAGGTTAATTGGGCTTGTGATTAAAAAAAAGGGTTGCCTATTTTCAGTTCAAGAATTCTAAGGATAAAAATATCGACTTAGTCTGACATAAATGCTGAACAATGGCCATGTGAATATACTTGTTTTACTTTACTCTCCTTCTTTGTTACACAAATAGCCCAGGTTTTAAGCAAGATTCATTTACTATGACATGTATTTTAAACATTTAAACATTTCGTAAATAAATTACCGTCAGAAATTATTATTTCTATAAGGTGTTCTGTGGTGTGTTCCTTACTGCCATTAACTGTAACAAAACAATAAGAAAATATTTTTTACATGTACTTGATTTCAAAAATCTTACTTCATGCAACATGATGAACAAGCAATTATCATAGTATTGCAAGCAATCCATAAGTCCCCTACCGGTAAGAGCCCAAGCAACATTCTGAAGGGCCATTGGCCATTCACTTATGTTCCTATTTTAAGTAAATTTGTTAAAAAAGTTATTTAAAAGTAATCACAGGAAACAGTTTTTATGTACAGACAGACAGACTGAAGGACACTCTAAAGTTATTTTTTAAACATCCCTGTTATCAAAATATAACATTTTTAAAATCCTATCATGATTGAAGAAGTTGGACTAAAAATAACCAATTTCTCAAAAAAAAGTCTAAGTTCAAAAGGGGCATAATTCTGGAAATAGTCTTGCTAGAGTATTGAACACTCACAAATGTTGAGTGATAATAAGAAACCTTTATATGAAGTTTGAAGAAGATACTTTAAAAAAAAGAAGTTATTAAAAAAAAAACAATGTTTTTTTCATGAAAATTTTAAGTTCAAGGGAGGTAATTCTGATAAATTTTGTGCTAGAGTTGTAAACCTTGTCACATATGATGTGGTTGATGACAAGCAATTTATATTTAAAGTTTGAAGAAAATACCTTAAGAAATAAAGAACTTATAGTGAAAAAACTTAAAAACTAGAATCAGAAATCTTGAAATTCAGTCTATTTGTTGCCATAGCAACCAGAATTTTCAACATAGGAAGATAAGAAAAGGATGTGCATAATTTCCATACTGCCATCTACCCATATGTCAAGTTTCATAAACATATTTTCAGTACTTTTTGTGTTATCACTGGATCCAGGTTATGTGTAAAATTTGCCATATTTTCAGTCTATTTGTTGCCATAGCAACCAGAATTTTCAACATAGGAAGAAAAGAAAAAGATGTGCATAATCTCCATACTACCATCTATCCATATATCAAGTTTCATAAAAATATTTTCAGTACTTTTTGCGTTATCGCGGGATCCAGGTTATGTGTAAAATTTGCCATATTTTCAGTCTATTTGTTGCCATAGCAACCACACTTTTCAACATAGGAAGAAAAGAAAAAGACGTGCATAATCTCCATACTGCCATCTATCCATATATCAAGTTTCATAAAAATATTTTCAGTACTTTTTGCGTTATCGCGGGATCCAGTTTTGTGGACGGACGGACTGACGGACGGACAGACTGACAGACGGACAGACGGACGGAGGGTAAACCTAAAGTCCCCTCCGGTAAACCGGTAGGGGACTAATAAGGTTTACGGAAAATTATACAGATATAGGTTGTTTGTTGGTTGTGTTTTCTTTTTAGTTTGTATTGTCCAACAACATTGATCTGGCTCTCTTGCATTTGACCCTGTAGTTGGTATATTCCGTAAATGTTATAGTAAAACATTTCAAATTAATTCTTGAAAGTAAATTTTAAAAAAAATCATAACATGGTGCTGGTAAGGAATCGAACCAGAGACCTTCAGATCAGTAGTCTAACTTCTAAACCAATACACCTCACATCACTGACGAATGAAGTTAGCAAATATATTGATATATTCGATAGATACTGGTCAGTGTTTATTCAAATGGCATTTACGAAAGTTAATGAAGTGCCAATTGTCTTTTGTAACCATGGTTATATGCTCACATTGAAAATCTGAACTTGATGACCTCTATAGTTTCAATCTAGATTAAAACACACAAGCAAGAGGGTTGATATTGTCCTATAATTCATTGCTAAGTGTACAAGCTACTGGTTCAAATTAAAACTAATTATTTAAACAATTTTAGCTTCAGGCCCTGTCATCAGACTCAAATACATTTTTTTTATCATTTTTGAAGGGGCCCTCCTTAGAATCACTCCAGAGAAATATGATTCAATAAAATGAGTTGTTTTAGACTACAGAAACGTCAGATCATCTTTTCAAAAAAGTTCCTTTTGAGAACTTTAGAGCTTAAACGTGTTAAAAAAAACATTATATAATATAAAATGGGTCAAAGACAGAAAAGGCCGGGTTGCATTTGTATACCAAATATCATGAGGCTGTGATGTTACAAAAAATGTTTACCACTGACCATTAATGTCAAAAATTTAACTAAGTCGGTAAATAGGAAATGAATGATCGACAGATCTGAAAATGGATCCAACAGTATGGGACCACTAGTTAATGTTGTATGCAAAATATCAAAAGGCTGTGATAAGTAGTTGCTGAGAAAATAGTATTACTAACATGAATTACCTATCATTTACCATTAATGTCACAAATTTAACTAAGTCGGTAAACAGGAAGTGGATGAGCGACAGACCTGACCTAAAATGAGATCCCTATGCCAAATATCAAGAGGCTGTGATAAGTACTTACTGAGAAAACTGTTACGCAAATTTCCTACCATCGACAATTCATGTCGAAAATTTAACTTAGTCGAAAAACAGGAAGTAGATGAGCGACAGAACTGATATCAAATCCCACGGTATGGGACCATGTGTCAATGCTGTATGCCAAATATCAAGAGGCTGTGATTAGTACTTGCTGAGAAAACTGTTACCAAAATTTCCTACCATTGACCATTAATGTTGAAAATTTAACTAAGTTGGCAAACAGGAAGTGGATGAGCGACAGACCTGAAATCGAATCCCACAGTATTGGACCATGTGTTGATGTTGTATACCAAATATTAAAAGGCTGTGATAAGTAGTTGCTGTGAAAACTGTTATGAAAGTTTTTCCCCGCCCTCCGCCCACCGCCAGACATTCACCATACTATAACCCGGGTTTGCACCAGTGCAACCCGGTAAAAAATGCTGTAATTAAAAAAAAAACTCAGAAAACTATCTACCTTTTCTGAATCTGTTAATGGCAACTTGTATCTGTTCTTTAGTGAACCCCATTTCCAACAAACTACAATCTGAATTTTACAAAGAAAGTTTTGTAACAAAAGGGCAATTCAATACTTGTTTCTTAGCTATCATGGTCCCAAATTGTTGACGAGGTAACCTGGAATAAAAAGTTAATATGACATATGGGGAAAATTCTACAATCCTTAGATAGGATCAAACAAGTGATTTCAATACAAGTGATTTCAATACATGTTTTACAATGTATATTATCATAAAATGATATTGTAAGAATAAGCCTTGCTGCCTTCCACAAGACAGATTATTGTTAACATGTATTTTGTACTGCATAAAATTATAAATTTAAGTCACTCCACTAAGGTACATTCACATGACATTAGACTGGAAATATTTTTCCAAGATTTATGTTCTAGTTGATGCAGGTATGAGCTAGTGACTTGTGCACACATTTTCAGATCATTTTTGCAGCATTGCAACACTTTTCACTTAAACTGGGCAAGGAATTGCACTATCCATGTTAAATTTATTTCTGATTTTTCCTTTTTTAAGTGGTTCAATTATTGATCTATGTTAAAACTACACATTTTATGTTTTTAGGCTTTTTGATCTCTGAGTGGAGTTAATTCCTAATCAATTAATAAGAAGATTTTTTTTTCATTTATGAGAGAAATTATACTACTTGTACATATACACACCTAGAGAGTTATCTTCTGCGATCATAGCTTGATAGCTTCTTTGTGGGTTGGCTTCACTTCTCCCTGTATTTGTTCTAAAGATGGTTGGAGGGGTCCTTATCTGTTAAGAAAAAAAACCAACAAATCTTCTAGTTTTTAAACAATTCCTTAATCTGCTGAATTTCTAAAATTGATGTGCCAGTTCCTATATATAGGACTGTTATCAAATATCAGGGACATCTTGATGAAATATAAGATTATAGTTGATAAGTGAACATTTATAGAGCCTGATCAGACTACACTGATGTGCAGGCTTGCCTCAATCTTTACTAGTGACATAGGCAACCCCGTGACTGTTGTTTCCAGAAAGGCTTCAAAATGATTGCTGTTTTTTGGTTGGCACAAATTATAACAAAAACATGGTTACTTTGAAGAGTGTTATAAGAGAAAAGAAATATTTACAAACACTTTCTTAAATTCTCAGTATTTATTTCAATAAGAGCCATTAAGTCAGGCGGTTAACAAATACACAGTAAAAACAAATCTTTAAATAGTAAATTAAAGAAAAACAAAATCAAGAAATGTGTCCATAGGACACGGGTGCCCCCACACTCTAATGTTTTGTCAATTTACTGACTCTTGATCTACAATGCAAGACAAGTTGCAAATCTTTTACTAAGTCAAGGGCAAAACTTTACAAATACTAGTACTGAATAAATCCACAAGCAAACCCCCAGGCCCATAACTAAGCATGCTGACAACTTTGTTGTAAACTTTCAGGGCTCAAGGTCAAAGAAGTTATTAATAAATGACAAAGATATGACCAGACATAACCATCAGATGTACTTTTTTGACATTCAAGTAAAATTTCACTTTTTAAACTGTCAAAACGTGATAACTTTTCTTTATGTTCCACAGAAGTATGCCTAGTTATTTCAAATTCATGGATGACAGAATTGATGACTTTATATATTCATCAATGTTCTTTTATGAAATTGCAAATCTTAGAAATCCTAGCATGACCTTGATTTCTAAGCTACAAACTCATCACAAATTGTTTTAAAGAACCATATATTTAAGCAAAGTTATTAGAAAATCGGTCACTGAATGACAAAAAAACACAGACTGGACAAGACTAGCAATGCACTATCACATCATGATTTTGAAATTAAAGTATGAACTTGACCTTTGAGCTGCTGAGCTAAATTTTGTTCATTACATATCATAATATCACATACCTTAATAAGCAGCACATTAAAGATTTATTTTTTTCAAAGTATATCCATGAATAACAAAACAATGCACAAAAGAAGACAATTAATCTAATTTCAATCATCATGTTTGACATGCAAGTGTGACCTTGACCTTTGAACTGGAGACATCCTCATCATGTCTTACACATGCCAAATTATTTTAAAATCCATCCATGAAATGACAACATTGTTGACCAAATACAATCATCAATGCATATTTATGAAAAAAAGTCATGACTTTGGAATACAAGTAAGACATTAACCTTGCAGGTAGGGACCCGATTCATGTGCATGACACATCAATGCTATATTCAACACACTTATGCATAATAATTTTTAAATCTATTCAGGAATAACAATAGTTGACCTGACATGAACATCAGTGGACTTTTATCATGACTTTTGATCTACAAGTGTAACCTTGACATTTGAGCTAGGGATCTAATTGTTGTCCACCACACATTGTCATTATGTCTAACATATTTTTGCATAATAATTTTTAAATCCATCCAGCAATGACAGAATTGTTGATCAGACACCAAGATCAATGCATTTTATAAAAAATTTCCTTTGAAGTCAGAGTGTGACCTTGAGTGTGACCTTGAACTTTGAGCTTTATATCTAGATGTTGCACATGACACATTGCTCGAATATAGGCCACATTTATACAAAATTATTTAAAAATCCAAACATAAATGTCAAAGTTATAGAGCAGAAAAAGTTCAGATGGAAGGACAGACGATACAAAACCTATATGCCTCCCAATTTTTTAGGAGCATAATAACAAAACAATCATCTTTCAACATGGAAGGTTAAAAAACATTAACTTATGTTGTACCTCCTTTTTAGCAGTATTCTTCCTCACTTCATTCACAAATGCTTGCCCTTTCTCTCTCTTCACAAAAGGACAATCCGGGGAATGTCGTGCATGTTCACTCCATGGATTATCACATGCGCTCCATTCTTTTAAAACTTGTCCACATTCGAAACATTGGCATTCGTCGTCGATCTCTACAGTAATGAAATACATAAAAACACGATAGTATTAGTAACAAATGATTGAAGCGACAAAAAAGCAAAGGCCTAGGAGCGTTATTCTCAGATTAGCATTAAATATTAAATAGAACTTTGTGGTCAGGTGAGCTAACACTGCGCTCAACTTTTATAAGTACTTGCCTAGAAATAAGGATAATGTAACTTAACAAGTATTAAAAGTTTCAAAGAATTACCTGAAATGATATAGGAAATATGTGGGGTGGGGGGAGGGTAATCAAAAGCTTGACCAAAAGACACCAACACCCGAGTGAGTAGAATAGCTCTACGTATAATATAAATATAATAAACGAGCTATAAATTAAACATAATATGCTTGTGTAAATAATCATTAAGTATACAAAAGTCATTGAATAAAGAAATTCAATTAACCTCTATAAAAGAAGCCAGCATCTGTTAAAGCTTTTGGGCACTGAACATGGTTATGCTGCCAGTTGTTGAAAGTCCTAAGTCTCCTATCATGTCTTTGATACATAGGAAATCTAGCAGAGGACTCTGAAACTGCTGAAGAAGAAAAGAAATTGTAAAACCAAGCCTAATTAATCGCAGGAGTATCATCAATTCAAGCAATTAACTATTCTTATGCGTTTAACTTTATTTAATTTTTTTTTTTCATTTTACATTAATAGTAAATGAGAAAATAAAATACAATTAACAACTAGATTACATAACTAGAAGGGTTTTAGTCACAAAAACATGTCTCCCCAAACTATGTTGGTCACTTCTGTACTGGTTGGGGATCACCAAAACCGGACAACCACCAAACCCGGACGGCCCCGAAAATGCTTAATTTAGTATTTTCTTTGTTCAGTGGTTGTCAGTCACTTTTTTATCAACAATAAGTGCATGTTTCTTTTAAAATTAAGTAAATGAATTTATTTCAACCTCCGTAAATGGTAATATTTTAATGTCTATTTCAAGAATGTTAACGTTGAAATTCGGGGGTCAAGAAAGCAATGCCTGACCTCATATACCAGCTATAATCACTTGCAGAGTGAATAATAGAATATCCAAAACTTCAGCATTTGTTGCTGACATATTGTATATCATGTTACAAATCAAAAATCAAAACACCCAGGCTTTTATCGGAATTAAATCACATCATGTACATATCTGTCCGGACACATGGTGCTGTAGTGTAGACAATTTAGGTAATTTTGTTACCCTCCTTGTCGAGCCTCAGATATAAGTGTCAATACAATCAGAAATAAACAAACTAGTTTATTAGTTAGGAGAAGAACCTAGCTGAACTGTGTCAAATTTTTTGGTCTTTATGTTAAAAATTATGAAATCTCTACGGAAAAATGTTCCAAAAGTGTCCGGTTGATGGTCTCCGACCAATAAAGTTTGATTGAAATCCCATAGAAGTTTGGCCTGTGAAGGCTGGATAAGATTTTCTATTTTAAGCTCTGGCTACCGTTTTGTGTAGCGCAGCAGAAAATGCCTGCAATGTGCACCACAAGGGATAGTACTGATCACTCCTGTAAAGCAAAGTTGAAATCCAACCAGGAGTTTCACCTGTAAAAGCTGGAAAAGATTTTTCTACTTTTAGCTCTGGCCACCATTTTGGAAGAAAAGCAGAATGTGCCAGTAATGTGCACAACAAGGGATGGTACTGATCACTCCTGCAAAGTTTAGTTGACATCCCACCAGTAGTTGGACCTGTGAAAGTTGCACACAATTTTTCAATTTGAGCTCTGGAGGCCATTTTGTGCAGCAAAGCAGAACGTGCTGATGATGTGCACAATAAGGAATGGTACTGATCACTCCTGTAAAGTTTGGTTGGTTAAAATCCCACCAGTAGTTGACATGTGAAGGCCCAACAAGATTTTTCTATTTCTAGCTCTGGCGGGCTTTTTTGTGCAGCGAAGCAGAACGTGTAGGTGATGTGCACAACAAGGAATGGTACTGATCACTCCTGTAAAGTTTGATTGAAATCCAACCAATAGATTGACCTGAGAAGGCCAGACGAAGATTAATGCAGATGGCAGGACAACCAGACAGACATACTTACGAAATGGTACTTAAATGACTTTTCTGTTGATCTAGCCTTTATAGTCACACATGGACTAACAACTTGAAAACAAGAGAGAACTTTATCTTAACCTTTCTTGTACACTGTCACCATGGAAATGTTTGCGTAAAATTATTTCAAAACTGAACCACTGGTTCAGATGTTTAAATGTGTTATTTTTTCTTTTAATTTTAGACCTTACATACCACATTTCAAAGTTCTAGGTCTTGAGATTTTTGAGAAGAAGTTTTAAGATTTTCATTACTCTACATAAAACTAGTTAGGCGCCTGGTGGGCCCCTTTTGAACCCAGGGGAATAATTTGAACAATCTTCACAAAGGACCACTCATTATATACCAAATATCGAAGCTCTATGCCTATATAACTCAAAGTAAAATTGATGACTCCCTAGAGGGGCCACTTTTAACCCTAGGGGCATTATTTGAACAATCTTTGTGAAGGACCACTAGATGATGTTACATTCCACATATCAAGATATAGGACTTGTACATTTTGACAAGTAGATTTTTTAAGATTTTCCTATCTAACTTTTATAAAATCGATAAGCCCCCTGGCCGGGCCCCTTCAGACCCTAGGGGCTTAATATCAACAATCTTTGTAGAGGACCACTAGATCATGCTACATGTACATACCAAATATCAAGGCTCTAGGCCTTGTGGATTTTGACAAGAAGTGATTTAAAGTTTTTTATATCAATATTAAGACCCCTGGCGGGGCCCTTTTTCATCCTTTGGGCATAATTTGGACAATCTTTGTAGAAGATCACTAAATCATGTTACATACCATATATCAAGGCTTTGTGCCTTGTGGATTTAGACAGGAAGTTTTTTAAGATTCCCTTCATGTATTTAACTTTTTATAAAACTATTGAGCCCCCTGGAAGAGCCCCTAGGGGCAGTATTTGAAGAATCTTTGTAGGGGACCACAAGATGATGTTACATACCAAATATCAAAGCTATAGGCCTTTTAAAGATTTATTTTTAAAAAAAAGGGATCAAAGACAGAAAAGGCCGGGTTGCATTTGTATACCAAATATCATGAGGCCGTTTGTTTGTTTGTGTTGGGTTTTACTTCACATCAACACAGTATAGGTCATATCGCCACGTTCCAGCTTTACTGGTGGAGGAAGACCTCAGGTGCCCTTCTGTGCATTTTTTTCAGGCACGAACGGGCACCCGAGTAGAACCACCGATGTTCCGTAAGCTAGCTGGATGGCTTCCTCACATGAAGAATCCAAAGTCCCTGTCGGGGATTCAAACCCACAGCGGTGAAGGGCAAGTGGTTTGAAGTCAACGACTTTTTTAAAGATTTTAAAACAAGAGGGCCATGATGGCCCTGAGGTCGCTCACCTGTATATAGGCCCCCCCAACCCCCACCCCCCAACGTTGCAGGGCCAATTTAACCCAAGGGCTTTTATTTGCACAAACTTGGTAGACACCCATAAGAAGATGTTTCATGCTAAACATCTAAGCTCTAGCTCATTGGGCTTTTTAAAAGAAGATTTTTTTTAAGTTTTTACTATACACATATAGTTAAAAACAATGACACCCCTGGGGCCGGGCCAGTTTTGACCCCAGGGCTTTTATTTGAACAAACTTGGTAGACACTCACTAGAAGATGTTTCATGCCAAATATCTAAGCTCTAGCTCTTATGGTTTTTTAAAAGAAGATATTTAAAGTTTTTTCTTTCGGTTGCCATGGCAACCAGAGTTCTGCATGGAATTAAATTCTTTGAACAATTTTTAAAGGTGACCACCAAAGGAACATTCCTGTGAAGTTTGGATGAAATTGGCTTAGTGGTTTATGAGGAGATGTCATTTAAAGTAAAAGTTTACGGCCGGACGACGGACGGACGCCGGACGGCCGGACGCCGGACGAAAAGCGATCACAAAAGCTCACCCTGTCACTTTGTGACAGGTGAGCTAAAAAGGGATCAAAGACAGAAAAGGCCAGGTTGCATTTGTATACCATATATCATGAGGCTGTAATGTTACGAAAAATGTTTACCATTGACCATTAATATAAAAACTTTAACTAAGTTGGTAAAAAGGATGTGGATGAGCGACAGACCTGATCTCGAATCCCAAAATATGGGACCACAGGTTAATGCTGTATGCCAAATATCATGAGGCTGTGATGAGTAGTTGCCGAGAAAACTGTTACAAAACTTTCCTACGATTGACCATTAATGTCAAAAATTTAACTAAGACAGTTAACAGGAAGTAGATGATACCTATGTTGCTGAGAAAACTGTAATGGAAATTTTTCCCTGCCCACCCGCTGCCTGCCTGCCCGCCGCCCCACATTCACCATACTATAACCCAAACTAGAACTCCGCGAGTCGGATGTGTCGCCTTGTGAACAATGTAGTTTAGGAGAAATGGCCAGGACAAAAATGAAATAGGAAAAATAACAAAGGGCAATAACTAAAAAATTAATAAGTGCAGTGCACTGCACTTCTTATCAATAAGATCTATCATTCTATGATGTTTCAAGTCCATAGCTTTCATACTTGAGGAGAAATGACCAGGACAAAAATAAAGTAAGAAAATCAACAAAGGGCAATAACTAAAAAAATAAGAAATGTAGAGTATCAGTTCTTATGCACTGCACTTTTTCTTAATCAGATCTATCATCCTATGAAGTTTCAAGTCCATAACTTTTATACTTTCGGAGAAATGGCCTGTACAAAAATTAAGAATGAAAATTAACAAAGGGCCATAACTCAAAAATTAAGAAATGCAGAGTACCGATTATTGTGCACTGCACTTCTTCTTAATGAGATCTATCATCCTATGAAGTTTCAAGTCCATAGCTTTTATACTTAAGGAGAAATGGCCCGGACAAATTAAAGTATGAAAAATAAACAAAGGGCAATAACTCAAAAAATAAGAAATGCAGGGTACCTGTTTTTGTGCACTGCACTTCTTCTTAATGAGACCTATCATCCTATGAAGTTTCAAGTCCATGGCTTTTATACATTAGGAGAAATGGCCCGGACAAAAATAAAGAATGAAAATTAACAAAGGGCAATAACTCAAAATTAGGAAGTGCAGAGTACCGGTTCTTGTGCACTGCACTTCTTCTTAATGAGATCTATCCTCCTATGAAGTTTCAAGTCCACAGCTTTTTATAGTTGAAGAGAAATGGCCCGGACAAAATTAAAGTATGAAAATTAACAAAGGGCAATAACTCAAAAAATAAGAACTGCAGAGTACCAGTCCCTGTGCACTGCACTTCGGGTTATTGAAAGAAGCATGCATACCAAGTTTGAAGTCAATCAGACTTATAGTGACTGAGTTATGCTCCGAACAAGCTTTAGGGGACGCCGACAACGACGCCGCCGCCGACGCCGCCGACAAAAGTAACCCCTATATGTCACCTTTTCAAGGCGACACAAAAACTATGACCAAAAATCCAGGAACCCCAATGGACAAGCCAATTTTGACCCTAGGGGCATAATTTGAACAAGAAGCGCCGCAATGCCACGAAAACCAAGTTTTCAATGACCAAGTTTTGATGTGACAGCAATCAATAGGTCAAAGTGCACTAAAGTTATTGAGTAGAAGCTGAAAATTCAATTGTAAGCAAATGACCTTGACCTTGCTGCCATGTATTTAAGTGGCAATCCAAAGCTGCCAGACAGCAAGTTTGGTGTCAAAGCAAACTCAAGTTATTACATGTAAACTAAATACATAAACCTTGATCACAGACACCTGGGTAGCAATCCAAAGCTGCCTCTTGATATAAGCTACCCATTCATCAAGTTTGGTGTCAATAGGCCAAAGCAAACACAAGTTATTAAGCAGAAACTGAATTTCTATTTTTAATATCAGTAACCTTGACCTTGACCACTGACATCTGGGTAGCAATCCCAAGCTGCCTTTTGATATTACCTACCCATACACCAAGTTTGGTGTCAATAGGCCAAAGCAAACTCAAGTTATTGAGCTGAAACTGAATTTCTCTTTTAGTAACAGTGACCTTGATCACAGACACCTGGGTAGCAATCCCAAGCTGCCTCTTGATATAAGCTACGTACACACCAAGTTTGGTGTCAATAGGCCAAAACAAACTCAAACAAGATATGTTTGTAAAACATGTATGCCCCCTATCAGCAGCCAATTAGTCATGTGATAAGGTTATTATGCATGACTTCTGACCCAGTGATCAAACAATTAATAAGGGTTATCATGTATCTACTGGTCATGACCTTAACCTTTGACCCCTTGACCCAAAACTCAATAGGGGTCATCTGCTGGTCACGACCAATCATCATACAAAGTTTGAAGTTCCTAGGCCTAAGCGTTTTTAGTTAATTGATCAGAAACCGTTTTTACCTACAAGGTCAATGTGACCTTGACCTTTGACCCCTTGACCCTAAAATCAATAGGTCATCTGCTGGTCATGACCAATCACCATACCAAGTTTGAAGTTCCTAGGCCTAAGGGTTCTTTAGTTATTGATCGGAAACCATTTTAACATACAAGGTCAATGTGACCTTGACCTTTGACCCCAAAATCAATAGGCGTCATCTGCTGCTCATGACCAATCACCATGCCAAGTTTGAAGTTCCTAGGCCGAAGCGTTCTTTAGTTATTGATCAGAAACCGTTTTTACTTACAATGTCAATGTGACCTTGACCTTTGACCCCTTGATCCCAAAATCAATAGGGGTAATCTGCTGGTCATGAAAAATCACCATACCAAGTTTGAAGTTCCTAGGCCCAAGCGTTCTTAAGTTATTGATCAGAAACCGTTTTTACTTACAAGGTCAATGTGACCTTGACCTTTGACCCCTTGACCCAAAACTCAATAGGGGTCATCTGCTGGTCACGACCAATCATCATACAAAGTTTGAAGTTCCTAGGCCTAAGCGTTTTTAGTTAATTGATCGGAAACCGTTTTTACCTACAAGGTCAATGTGACCTTGACCTTTGACCCCTTGACCCCAAAATCAATAGGTCATCTGCTGGTCATGACCAATCACCATACCAAGTTTGAAGTTCCTAGGCCTAAGGGTTCTTAAGTTATTGATTGGAAAGTATTTTTACCTACAAGGTCAATGTGACCTTGCCCTTTGACCCCTTAACCCCAATATCAATAGGGCTCATCTGCTGGTCATGACCAATCACCATACCAAGTTTGAAGTTCCTAGGCCTAAGGGTTCTTTAGTTATTGATCAGAAACCATTTTTACCTAAGAGGTCAATGTGACCTTGACCTTTGACCCCTTGACCCCAAAATCAATAGGGGTCATCTACTGATTATGACCAATCACCATATCAAGTTTGAAGTCCCTAGGCCTAAGGGTTCTTTCGCTATTGATCGGAAACCATTTTTACCTTTTTCTGACAGAGCTTTTAGCACGATAGGACCAAAATTGTGGAATGAACTACCTATTAATATGAGAAAATGTGAATCTGTTGAAATTTTCAAAAGACAACTGAAATCATTTTACTTCAAGGACTTTTTTGCACTTTTTTAAGTGACGCTGAAGGCATTGTCTGTTCCTAATTGTTTTGTGCATGTTTGTATATTTCTAGTGTTTTTATTATTTTCATTGTATAATAATATAATAAAGTCTAGCCCATGTGTTATCATGTGCAGGGGTGCAGGGGTGTAGATTGTTACATGTTGGTGGGGATTGACCCAATCACTGAGACCGTCGCACTGCTGGGAGTATTGTGTATGGTAGCACTGGGAGTAGCACATATAAGGTATATAGCTGTACAACGCCATTGAATATGTATTTTATATGTAGAAATAGGCGTTAAATCAAGTTTTCAAGTTTCAAGTTTCAAGTTTACCTACAAGGTCAATGTGACCTTGACCTTTGACCCCTTAACCCCAAAATCAATAGGGGTCATCTACTGATCATGACCAATCACCATACCAAGTTTGAAGTTCCTAGGCCTTAAGGTTCTTTAGTTATTGATCGGAAACCGTTTTTGCTTACAAGGTCAATGTGACCTTGACCTTTGACCCCTTGACCCCAAAATCAATAGGGGTCATCTACTGGTCATGACCAATCACCATACCAAGTTTGAAGTTCCTAGGCCCAAGGGTTCTTTAATTATCACTCGGAAACCATTTGGTCTACGGACCGACGGACCGACAAGTGCAAAGCAATATACCCCCTTTTCTTCGAAATGGGGGCATAATTATTGAGCGGAACCTAAAGTTGAAGCCTGAACGCCCACCCGCCCGCCGGCTTCGGCATAACAATAACCCGGTTTTTGTTGAAAACCTGGTTATCAATCTTTATGGAGGACTACTAGATCATGTTACATGCCAAATATCAAGGCTGTATGACCTTGTGTATTTAGACAAGACGATTTCCCTATATAACTTTATATAAAACTGATGAAGCCCCTGGGGGGGCCCTTTGAATGGGACCAATTTTAACCCAAGGGCTTTTATTTGCACAAACTTGGTAGACACCCATTAGAAGATGTTTCATGCTATATATCTTAGCTCTAGTTCTTTGGTTTTTTTAAAAAGATTTTTTAAGTTTTTACTGTAGTGGGGCCAATTTTAACCCTAGGGCTTTTATTTGAACAAACTTGATAGACACCCACTAGAAGATCCTTGATGCACAATATCTAAGCTCTAGCTTTTTGGGTTTTTTAAAAGAAGATTTTTTTTAAGTTTTTACTATATACAAATAAGGAAAATCAATAACCCCCTGGGGTGGGCCAATTTTGACCCCAGGGCATTTATTTGAACCAATTTGGTAGACATTGACTAGACGATGTTTCATGTTAAATATTTAACCTCTAGTTCTTTCGGTTTTCTATAAGAAGATTTTTTAAATTTTTCTTTCAGTTGCAATGGCAACCAGAGTTCTGCATGGAATTTAATTCTTTGAACAATTTTTAAGGTTGACTACCAAAGGACCATTCCTGTGAAGTTTGGATGAAATTGGCTTAGTGGTTTATGAGGAGATGTCGTTTAAAGTAAAAGTTTACGGACGGACGGCGGTCAGACCCAAGACGAAAAGCGATCACAATAGCTCACCATGTCACTTTGTGACAGGGGAGCTAAAAGCGAAATAATTAGGATCAAAGAGAATTTACTGTTTTCCAGGTAACACAAGTACCTCTGGGTTTGTACGGATGGATGGACAGACAGATCGCGAAGGCAAAAACAATATCCGAATAAATTTGGGAGACATCATTATATAACTATATGTTTCTCTCTAACTTAGTACCTGGTGGAAGGTGTACATTCTGAGCTGTCTGATTTGGGGGAGGGCCAGGTGCTGTGGCATAACCTCGCGTGAAAGAGCTGCTGTCATTGCATGTCTGGTAGCTGCCTACAATACCAATGTCACCAATATTCACTGTAATCAAAGGCAAAGGTAAAAAGCACATTATCAAGGTTTATAGACTAAAAAATTTACTGAAAGTTCAGACAGAAGTCAAAATATGTTATTTTTTTTTCTTAATCTGGGATCATGCTAATCTGATACTAATTTGTGAAAAGATATCAAAGAGTGTAAATTTACATAATGACAGATATTCTTAGCAAGTACCATGCATAGCTCAAGTGTTACACATTTGGAGTTACATGTGACAAAAATCTAAAAATGCAATTATTGCTTAATCAGGGAGTAACCCCACTAAACTTCCATAAATTTGCATCAAAACCACCACATGCATTAGTAAAAATGCTGGTAAACTGTTCCTAGAAAGTTTCATAACTTTAGCATACTTTTAGAGTTTCAATTAGCAACATTATCCGGTCTATGGAAGAACAGCATGACAAAGTTATGGATTGACAAAGGGAAATGTATATGCATCCATCTATAATATAGGGGAAATAAAGATACAATAGAAATAAATGCATACTAGGTGGCAAATAAGCAGCTTTGTACAATGTTTCTTCTGCTCCAGCTTGTGAAACTCCTCCAGTAGCCCCATCATTTATTCCTCTAGCCACTCGTTCTTCTTGTTGTCCAAGTTCCATTCTTTCCAAAGGGAGCATTGACTCCATTGTAATACTATCTCCTCCAATGCTGTATGGTGATGGAACACTTGGTCTTTGATCAGAAATTTGGTCCCGATCATTTGTAATGGCCCCTAAAAAAACAATCGAAAAGGTGTTAATAATATCCTCCCTGATAACCATTCATAGCTTCAAGCAGGGCAGTCAAAAATTAAGGGCCAGACAACAACTAGAACTATCACTAATGTTGATTCATACTCCCACCTGCCACCTTTACTATTTGAAAAAAAAGTTGTTTGAAGCTAAATTTGAACTTGACCTATATTTTATGATATTTCATCTTGTACCAATTATTGAAATTAATTGTCTTGCTAAAAAAAAGTGTCATCATCGCCTAACCATTATTTAAGTAAGAAAAAATACCGTTACCCATTGTTCTCCTAGTCACACAAGTACCTCTCAATTTGAACAGACAGACAGATGGAGCCTATTTCTATATTTTTTTTTCATTTTTTTTTAAAAGGCGGGGGGACAATTTTTATAGACATGAAGCCTTTCACCATTAAAATTCGAATGATAAATTAAGTGATACCATTATCTAATACATATTGGCTAATGAGTTATTCTAAAAAATAATGGAAAAAAAAAACAATTTTAAGTTCAATCAGATGAGGAAATCATCATTTGGCATCATTGAATCATGAATTTTCATTTAAGGAAAAATATGGGACAAAAGTAAAAAGAAACCAAGTTTAAAAAATCAATGACCCCCTGGGGCGGGGCCAATTTTGATCCCGGGGCTTTTATTTGAACAAACTTGGTAGACACCCATTAGAAGATGTTTCATGCTAAATATTTTAGCTCTAGCTCTTTGGGTTCTTTAAAAGAAGATTTTTTAAATTTTTACTATATGCATATAGGGAAAATCAATGACCCCCTGGGGCGGGGCCAATTTTGACCCCAGGGCTATAATTTGAACAATCTTGCTAGACATTCACTACACAATGTTTCATGCAAAATATTTAACCTCTAGCCTTTGTCAATTAAAGAAGATGATTTTTTAAAGTTTTTACTATATACATGTAAGAAAAACCTATGACCCCTGGGGCGGGGCTAATTTTGACACTAGAGGCAAAATTTGAACAACTTTGGTAGAGTACCTATAGATGATATCATATACCAAATATCAAAGCTCAAAGGCTTGTACCTTCAGGCAATAAGATTTTTAAATTTTTTACTCTATGTACATAGTGAAAATCAATGACCACCGGGGCAGGGCCAATTTTGACCCCAGGGCTATAATTTGAACAATCTTGGCAGAGGTTCACTACAAAATGTTTCATGCAAAATATCTAACCTCCTAAGCCTTTGTCAATTTCGAGAAGATGATTTTTAAGGTTTTACTATATACATATAAGGAAAAATTATAACCCCCGTGGCGCTAATTTTGAAGCTAGAGGTAAAATTTGAACAACATTGGCAGAGTACCTATAGATGATATCATATACCAGATATCAAAGCTCTAAGCCTTGTACCTTCAGACAAGAAGGTATTTAAGTTTTTACTATATGTACATATAGTGAAAATGAATGACCCCAGGGGTGGGGCCAATTTTGACCCCAGGTCTATAATTTGAACAATCTTGGTAGAGGTCTACCAGACTATGCCTTATGCAAAATATCTATGCTATAGGCCATGCGGGTCTTTACAAGAAATTTTTTTTTAAATTTATTCTTATAATTTCTTTTGGTTGCCATGGCAAACAGGTTGTTGCATGGAATGAAATTCTTTGAACAACTATGGAAGCCCTTCACCCAAGGATCAATCCTACCAAGTTTGGTTGAAATTGGACTAGTGGTTTTTCACAAAAAGATTTTTAAGTTCACTATATAATCTATATAACACACATACAAACACACACAGGTAAATTGCTATATGCCATCGCATCACAGATGCTGCGGTGGCATTAAACAAGCGAACCCCAAGATGCATAACTACACAGTCATGCTGACCAACATTCTTGAATACTTTCCATTTTCAGTACTACTGGTCAAATACTTTTTAAGCTATGCATGAACAAGTCTTTAATTTATTTTGTCAAGGGCAATAACTAACAAAACAGAAAAAAAAATTGACTTGCAAAACCCAAGGTGCACATCTTCAATGATGTTGATCATATTTCCTGTTGGTTGATTCTAACTCAAGCATACAAGGTACACACAGCACATTATTTTGGAATGGTTTTTACTATGTCAAGGGCAATTACTCTACAAATACTCAATAAATCCAAAATCAAACCCCCAGGTGTACAACTTCATATGCGAACAACATTTCTGTAAAGTTTTATGACTTTAGATCAAATACTTTTGAGATATACATGCTCAAGTTGAAAATTGCTAATTTTTACTATTTATAGGGCAATTACTCTAAATAAATCCACAACCAAACCCCTGGTGCACAATAACACATGCTAATCAACATTCCTGTAAAGTTTCATGACTACAGGTCAAACACTTTTTGAGCTACTTGCAACACAAGTTGAAAAATTCTAATTTTTACTAAGTCAGGGGCAATAACTCTACAAATACTGAATAAATCCACACGCAAACACCCAGGTATACAACTACATATGCTGACCAATATTTCTGTAAAGTTTCATGACACTAGGTCAAATACTTTTTGAGCTACATGCGACACGGGAACAGACAGACGTACTTACGAAACAGTACCTTCCATGTCAACAGGCTCAATCAAACCTAGCCTGCAACATTTTCAATTATGCCGTTTTGGACTTTCTTTAGGGCCTCTTATTTTCTCTACTTTATGTGACTTCCTTCTATCTTTCTAGCCATTTTTAGTCACACAATGTCTAAAAAAAAGACACACAAGTAAAAACGGAATGTATAGGATCAAAGAAAATGTACAGTTACCCATTGTTCTCCAAGTCACACCTCTGGTTTTGTACAGAGGGAAGCATGAACAAAGGAAAATCTAAATGCCCCCCCCCCCCTATAGTGTGGGCATAAAACCCCTATGAGCTCTGAACAAGGGTTTTTCAATCAGCTCTTAGTGTGACCTTGACTTTGTCCTAGAGAACTGGTTCATGCATGGAGCAATTCCTTTCACCCAAATCTGAATATTTCATCATCTTTAGTAACCTTGACCAATCATATATTGACCTAAATTATATGTTTGACAGCCAAGGTCACGATAATGACAATTTGTGTTACAATCTCTCAATAAATGATGACTAAATGGTCTCTATTTATGTCCTGAACTTCGACCTCTATTTGTGACCTTGACCTTGGCCACAGGGACATGAATTTAGAGCTTGACACTCCAACTCACAGGTTATCTTGAATTCCCTCAATGCGTGTAGAAATTTTGCTCCACACAAGCATTTTTAATGACCTCTCAGTATGACCTTGACCTTTGACTTAAAGACCGGCTTTATATGTGTGTCAGGGCTTCTCATTGTCATTAACATTTCTATGAAGTTTCATTAAATTCCTCCATGCATGTAGGAGATATGCTCCAAACAAAGTCGTCCAAACCCCTGCCACAGGCATTTCAATAATACATCCTATTTTTCAAACAAGAGTATAAAAAAAGGTTTGTTTGTTTGATTGGGTAAATTGATATCACAAGACACATTTTAGGTCATATGGCGATGCGTCATCATAACTAGTGAAGAAAGACATCAGGTGCTGCTCTGTGCACCTCCGTTATTCCATAAGGTAGCTGGATAGCTTCCTCACATGAAAGAATCCAAAGTTCCTGTCGGGATCCATACCATTAACTGTGAGAGGGCAAGTGGTTTAAAGTCAACGACCTTAATCATTCAGCCACGGACGCCCCACATATAAAGGTCATCGGCTGCTAATTTTCAGACCAGTTGGGACAATGACTTGGAAATTTCAAATCACAGAATATCAAACCCGCAGAAATAAGTACTTATATGGGTTTCTTGGGGAAAGGTAGGAAGTTTTACAATAGGTTACAGTGAAAAAAATTCTGATTATTAATTCAGTGATGTTTTTATGTGGTTAAAATATCTTTTTGCTTTAAAAGCAAGGGGTCAGAGGATGGGGTAATAAGATAACCACAGTTTGAGTTATGTATCTGTTCATCCTATCCACAGACAAACTGACATGGGACTGCTATATTTGTGCTTGTTTGGGAACATAATTTTAGTAACAGTATACATACCATTTGACTGTCTTGTATCTTGATTTCCCTGGAATAAAATACAAGAGCGATCAGTAATCACATGTGTCGCCTCATGATGGCCAATTTCATGTTGGGACAAATTTTGTGACAGACGGACAGACAGACGGACAGTGCACAACTAGACTAACCACTTTGTACTGATCATTCCTGTAAAATTTGGATAAAATTGCACCAGTAGTTTATGAGGAGTAGTCCGGACAAGCTTTTGCGTATCTGGCAACACAAAGAAAAAAACACCTTTTTATCAAAGGGCCATAACTCGGCCAAAAATCATTCAACCGGAAAACCCGTGCAATATGCGCAAGGACTTGAGCTACAGATCAATCCTGTAAAGTTTCATTGAAATTGCATAAGTGGTATAAGAGAAGTAGTCTGGACAAACTTTAAAAATAAAAATTATTAAAGGGCCATAACTCAAACAAAAATCATTGAACCGGAAAATGCTGACAATGTGCACAACTAGACTTGGTACTGATCATTCCTGTAAAGTTTGGATGAAATTGCACCAGTAGTTTATGATGAGTAGTCCGGACAAGCTTTTGTGTATCTGGCAACACACAGAAAAAGAAACCTTTTAATCAAAGGGCCATAACTCGGCCAAAAATCATTCAACCGGAAAACCCGTGCAATATGCGCAAGGACTTGAGCTACAGATCAATCCTGTAAAGTTTCATTGAAATTGCATTAGTGGTATAAGAGAAGTAGTCCGGACAAACTTTAAAATTAAAAATTATTAAAGGGCCATAACCAGACCTGGGGTAATCATTAACTGTAATCACTGATTTTTTAATTGATTACATGATTACACTGTAATCATCATGTAATTGATTACCTTGCTCAAAACTGATTACATTAATTGTAATTAATCAATTACAGCTTAAATTCAGTCAGTAATTATGATTACATTTTGATTGACTTTGATTACTTCCAGATTTAACAGGAAACTATTTAAGTTCAAAGGATGCCTTTATTTTACATTATACAGTTTAACTTTTGTTTTTTAGTTATACAGTAAAAATCCTCAATTAGACTAAAAAAGGTTTATATTCTTATCATTGCTTACATACAGTGTACTTTAAGACCATGGTCTACTTTAGTCATTTTGTATGAATAAACAATATATTTATTTGTACCTACAAATACAATATAAAAGAAACTAACAAATAATGCTTTGATATTAAATCTGATAAAAGGAAAACATATTTCTGGAGAAATTTAATGTCAAATTTACAGTATCACTTATTATATGATGTACATAAATCAAATGAAAATTTAAATTTTCAAAAAATAAATGTGCTGAAAGCAACAATGTACCACTCTAAAATTGACCTTCTCACCTTATTTCATACAATAACCCAATAATTACAGTTTTTCACACCTTGTGAAATCAAGTGTCGTGCTAAAGAGCATTCAAGCAGATCATAACAACAAATTAAGAGGAAGATAGGTGTTGACTTTAATATCATTGGTCTCAATAGTCACATTAAAATTAAAACAAAAATTTGGACTGACTAATTATGGTGGTCTTAAAAGTGAATAAGCAGATGGTTAAATATGGATCATGAAACCATTGACTTAAAGAATCTTTTTTAAAAATGGTCTTACTAACAGGTTGGTCTAATAATTCTGGGGTGGTCTAATGTACATTCAATGTAATCAATTATCAATCAATTACTCTCTTAAAGTAATTGTAATTCAATTGATTACAGAGGCAAGTGTGAGTAATCAATCTTAATCAATTACAATAAAATCTGAAAGTAATTGTAATTTAATCAATTACTGATCAATGTAATCATCCCCAGGTCTGGCCATAACTCTGACAAAAATCATTGAACCGGAAAATCCTGACAATATGCACAACTAGACTTGGTACTGATCATTCCTGTAAAGTTTGGATGAAATTGCACCAGTAGTTTATGAGGAGTAGTCCAGACAAGTTTTGTGACGGACGGATGGACAGACGTACGGATGGACGGACAGACAGACGGACAGACAGACGACGGAGAAGTGATCCCTAAATGTCGCCACTACTCCGTAGAGGCGACACAAAAATGACAATATCATAATATTTAAATAAACAAGAGAGCCATGAAGATTCTTTAATCAAGTGAAAAAATCATTACTTATCCTAAGGTCATTACAAACATACAGTCATGTAACTCAAACAAAATAAACAATGTATGACACTCACTGACTCCATGTCTCAAACACTTAGACAATTCTAAAGGATCATATTGCAACATGAAATAGTTAAAAGCAAAGGAGATAGATGACTTAGCAGAAAAGTTGATAAATCTATTTTTAGCCTTTAGAGATTTTGACTTTAAAGACTGAAAGCCTTAACCATACCATATGACATATCAAATTACCTATAATGCAGTACATATTTTACCTTACTTTAATACCTATCTTTTTTAAAGATGAGCTAAAAAGGCAAATATTCTCAAAATAAAAAAACAAGAACATGTTTGTTAAATGTGAATGCTCCCTGTGCAGATACTTGTTAACAATTTTTCATATCAAAGCTCTGGAAACAAGAAGATTTCTTTTATTTGCAATTTTGAAACTCATTTTCTGGCCAAGTGACCTACTTAGGCAACAGACCAGAACCATTTGAACAGCTTTGAAAGGTAACCGTGAACCAAAGATCATTCCTGTACAGTTTGCCTATTGTGCAGTCATTGGTTTCAGAGGTTGTTTAAAGTGATGTTGACAACACACATTATGGGGTATCACAAAAGTTACCTCACCTGTAACACTTAGTGGTCAGGTAAAGACTAAGGGCAAAACGTATATAATATTTTAAAGCAAAAATCTAAGTTCAAGTAGGAAAGAACTATAGAAATAAAGATACCAGAGTTATGAACCTTGTCATACATAATGTGACTGATGACAAAGAACAATTATCTCTAGCCTTAAGTAGATACCTTATATGGTCAAAATGAAGAAAATTGTTTTTTTTAAGTTCTTGACTTAAAAATCTATCACATTATGATGTAGGTGTTGATATCATACATTATATTTGAAGTAGATACCTTGAGAAATAAAGAAGTTACACAATCATGCATTATCATTATTATCAGGTGTGGTTGATGATAAGGAACTTGATCTAGAAATCATCAAAACAAACTTTCAGACCATTTTCCAGGATATTTGGATCAAAACAGTAGCCAATAGAGTGTTAACAAGATTTTTCTATTTTTAGCTCCTGTGACCTAATTTTCATCTGAGATGACCCATGTTCGAACTCATCCGAACAATTATCTAGGCAAGCATCCTGACAAGGTTTGATGACAATTGAGTCTTAAAATGTGACCACTAGAGTGTTTACAAGGTTTTTCCCTATTTGGGGGGTGTGACCTAGTTTTTTGACCCCAGGTGACCCATATTCAAACTTGACATAGAAATCGTCAAATCAAACTTTCAGACCAATTTCCAGGATATTTGGATCAAAACAGTAGCCACTAATGTGATTACAAGATTTTTCTATTTCTAGCTCCTGTGACCTACATTTTCATCCGAGATGACCCATGTTCGAAATCATCCGAGCAATTTCCTTGACAAGCATCCTGACAAAGTTTGATAATGATTGAGGCAAAAATGTGACTGCTACAGAGTTAACTAACACTAACAAATGTGGACATATAATGGACGACAGACATTCAATGATCCTAAAAGCTCACCCTGAGCAAGCTCAGGTGAGCTTAAAAGTTATAGTAAAAAATACTTTACTGCACCAAAACTTTAATCTTGAATTTGGACGCTGACGCCACCCATGGGTGAGTAGGACAGCTCTCCCTATACTTCATATACAGTACATGCGAAACCCGCAAAAGTCGTGTTATGGCGCGAGTGTAGTCTATGACGTGACGTGACATTACGCGGTAAGACATTGCCATGTGCAAGTTTGCCAAATTTCATGGCGGTTCACGAAAAATCGTCGCGATGTATCGCCGTAATTTACGGCGAATCTACAGCAATATTTGTATTAGAAAGTACTACTTGGTCCTGCCCGGAGGTCTTTAATTTTCACTATATATATATAGTAAAAACTTGGAAAAAAATCTTGAAAATGTCATGTATATTTATTTATATTTAGCAATTGAACATGTACAGTGTACAGTGTATACATTTTGTATTCGAAAACAAAGTAATCAGGTGCTGGATGAAAATTAGTTAACAACAAAACGAGATTAAAATTACAAAATGTAATTGGAACTACATCAAAAAACGCACGATATTAAATTGTCCAATTGTTACTTTGATATCAATAATCCGTTGTTTACTTTCGCACATACATGTATTCTATTTTTAGAACAATACAGTGCAACATTTATTACCGATTAACAGGTTCACAGCCAATACGCGAATTGTGCGGGTTGCGGTGTCCAGTACTGTATTCGAGATAATAATTATCTAGCCACCCTTAACCTTCAAACTTAACCTGCTTATTTCTATGATGTATCTATATGTCAAATTTGAGTTGAATGTGAACGACTGTTGGGAAGATAATCAACGGAAACTGAAAATTTCTTCTTTTTTTTCAAAGTTCAAGAATGATAAATATGTCAAAAATCATCGAACCATGACCAAATTCGAACTTGATCTGTGTATTTCTATGACATATCCATATCTCAAATTTGAGTTGAATCAGTACATCTGTTGTGGAGAAAATGAACGGAACTTGAAAATTTCTTCTTTTTTTTCAAAGTAAGAGGGGCATTACTCTGCCAAAAATCATCAAACCGTGACTTGATCTGAGCATTCCTTTATTGTATCCTTAGGGCAATTTAAATTAAATGAATTGAATGTGTACAACTATTGAGAAGATAATGAACAGAAACTGAAAATTTCTTCAAGGGTCATGACTCTTGTCAAAAGTCATGGGACCATGATCAAATTCAAACTTGACCTGCATTTTCCGATGATGTATTGATATGTAAAATGTGAGTAAAACAAAATATTCACATTAAACACCGTATTAAATACTTACAACAGCATTCAGGATTTCTTGGAAGCAGATGTGAACACTGCAGCTTTCTTTATGCCTAAACACCGTCCCAATATTGTGTATTTCTTTGCAGTCCAAACACTTCAAACCACTTTCACCTACAAAATGAATAGTGATCTGTAAATTTTACATAAAAGAATTTCATGAATATTCCACAATATACAGTTGGAATGATAATCATATAAGGTAAACCTTGTAAAACAAGAATTTGTAACTGAGTTACCAATGTCCCCTTCCTTAGGGAAGGATTATATGAAGCATAAAATTGTGTTATTTCAAAAGATTGAGGAATGGATCAGGACTTTTAGTCCAAAATTTTGATCAATGCTAGATCTGCAAATGCAACAATAAATTTATTTAATAATGAAATAAAATGAAATAACTCCTATGTAACATATGTGTCAATAGAAATACATTGATGTGGTTATCAATATCTCAAAAATCTTTGCCTTGACCTTAGTTTAGGCAACTGGTTATTGAACATGACACAATGTGTCATTATTGTGAACACAAGAGCGATCAGTGATCACATGTGTCCCCTCATGATGGCCAATTTCATGTTGGGACAAGTTTTGTGACAGACGGACAGTGCACAACTAGACTTGGTACTGATCATTCCTGTAAAGTTTGGATGAAATTGCACCAGTAGTTTATGAGGAGTAGTCCGGACAAGTTTTGTGACGGACGGACAGACGGACGGACAGACAGACAGATGACAGATACAAGGCGACACAATAATTATGTGCCAAGTATTTACAAAATCCCTTGATCTATGAAGAAGTTATAGATCGGACACAAAATATCTTTGACCTCTAGGTGTGAGCTTGACCTTAGAGGTAGAGGTGCAGGTGTTGTGTATGACACATCATCTTATTATTGTGACTATTTGTACCAAATATTTTCAAAATCCTTTAACCTATGAAAAAGTTATGGACCGGACATAAAATATACCCTACAACAGACTATGTTAATCTTTGACCACCAAGTGTGACCTTGACTTTAGAGGTGGGTGACCGGTTGTTGGACATGACACATCGTCTCATTATTACGAACAACTGTAGCAAATATTTACAAAATCCCTTCAAAGATAAGAAAGTTATGGACCCGACACGACATATACCCTCAAATAGACAATGTTGATCTTGAATGAGCAAGTGTGACCTTGACCCTGGAGGGAGGGGTCTGGTTGTTGCACATGACACATCATCTTATTATAACAAACATTTGTGCCAAATTATTTCAAATTCCAAGTGTGACATACAGACCGACAGACAGACCGACAGATGGACAGAGCCTATTTCTATATACCCCTTTTTTCTTCGAAAAGGCGGGAGACAATAAAACAGAAACTAGAAGGGGTTTTTGTCACAAAATCATATGTCTTCCAAAACAAGGTATGGTACTGATCACTACTGTGAATTTTGGGCATAATCCTGCCAGCAGTTTGACCTTTGAAAGTCGGACAAGATTTTTTTATTTCTGCTCTGGCGGCCATTTTGTGCAGCGAAACATGCCGTAAATATGCACAACTGGGGATGGTACTGATCACTCTTGTAATGTTTGGTTGAAATCCAGCCAGCAGTTTGACCTGTGATCTTGACCTTTGACCTAATGAGCATATGATTGATAGGAATCATCAACTTGTCATGAGCAATATCAATACCAAGTTTAGGCAACAAATTTAGGCTAATTCCTTCTCAATAAAAAAAAAGTTGCAGATTAGACAAGAATTTCACACTTAGTATCAACGTGACCATAACAAATTGTTCTTATGACCTCAAAACCCACAAGGGTCATCTACAGGCCATGTGCATTGTCAGTACAAAGTTACATAACCTACATGTCCATTTTATTCCTTTTAAAGGTTTAATCAGATAAGAGTTTTCACTAAGTAGCACTGTGACCTTACCCTTTGGCCTAATTATTCAGAATTTACAGAGGTCATCAACTGACCATAACAGTCCTTTCTTCTGAGCATATCTATAAAGACAACACACCTAATATTTATCATGTTATTTATGGGACATCAACTGACTAAGGGACGGACAAATCTTGATTTCTAATGTGAATTTTCTTTTGTTCTCCTAATTGTTCTTTTCAATCTCACAAGATCAAAACAGTCAAACAAGTCAAAGCATAATGAATATGATTAAAGCAAATGTTAATGTTATCTAGTGTCCTCCTTGTCACACAAGTATCTCTGTACTTCTAAGGACAGACAGATAGATAAGAGACATACCCTTATACGACTGAAGTTACCCTCAGGCCTGTAAAAAATGTAATAGATGAAAATAAAATGTATAACAGACACATTGTAAGTTAATATATTACCCAAATAGTATAGCAGTTGTATGGCATACTGTGAGGCATCAGCTTCACTAAATAAAGCCTGTTGAAATGACCTCATACAATTTTGTATATCCTTTTGATACTTAGATTCACCATGTCGCTGTTTTAACATTCCTCTTAATCTTTGTAGGTCCACAACTACACCTGGTTCTGCAATACAAGATTCTGAAAAATTATAGCAAAACATGCACATACAGTTCTATGTGGAATATTCTACATCGCCCTAATTTTTTGCTATTGAAAATAGCAGAAAAGAAAGTGTGTGCAAATATGCAATAGAAATACTGTTGACGATCTATATTTAGAAATGTCACGTAATTATTTACAGGAGCCACGGCCGGACGGGGGCAATGCTCAACTTTTTTTTATTTTTTTTTAAAAGCAAGTAAATAAAAGGTTTACACAAATCTTTAAAAAGAAAATTAAACGAAAAACAATAGTTTTTTCTTGTTTCAATTTCAATTGGTAGGTCTAGTAACACTTGTTGTTTTGTTTAGGTATGAATCATTACCATTATGTTCAATGATTCATCTTATATTTGAAACTGTGCACATGGTCCAAATTTCATAGCTGTACATAAAAGGACAAGAAAGTAGGTTACTTCATTTAATTATATAGGTCTGCTCATATCAAAGTTCAATTTTACATCTACAATTGTGCACTTGGTCTAAATTTCATAGCTGTACATCTAAGGACAATAAAGTAGGTCACTTCATAAAAATTATCTAGGTCTGCTGATATCAAAGTTCAAAAGTAGGACACTTCATCAAAATCCAGGTCAGCTGTTATCAAAGTTCAATCTTACATCTAAAACTGCGCACATGGTCCAAATCTCAAAGCTTTAGGAAGAAATAAGAAAATTTCATTAATCTGACCTTTCAATTAAAGGTAAAGGTCAAATCTAATATATTCAATATGTTTGTTTGGCTACAAGTCTGGTTTTGACTAAGTATAAATCTAATCTGTACATTAATAACAAAATCAAGTCAAAGTAACAAAAATGCAATAATTTGACTTTGTCAGTCAAGGTCATTTAAAGCTCAAGATCAAGGTTAGTTCAAACTTTTAGAAGATTTTGTCCACAAGGTTGTTTTGTCCAAGTATGAAAATTACCCATTGATTAATTACCAAGTTACCGTCAATTATAGCAAAAGTCAGTGAAAATTCAATCATTCAACCTTCAAGGTCAAGGTCATGAATGAGCCAAGGTCAATTTGAGTTTGTCATACATGAAGGTCTTATCCCAAAGAATAGTGTGTCTAAATATGAAGTTAACTCATTCCTTAACAACAAAGTTATAGTTAGTTACAGCAAAAAAAAATCAATAATTTGACCTTCAAGGTTCAGGTCATTTACGAGTGAAGGTCAAGGTGTGTCTGGTTAACATAAGGACTATCCTAAACGATGTTGTTTTCAAGTTTGAAGACAATCCATTCAAAAACTAGAACTATCGCTGAATGCTATTCATACCCCCACCAATGTCCTTGACAGAAGATGACTTGGAAAGGTGGTTAATGGAATAACTCTAATGGCACAAATACTTATACATAAAAAGAAATTCAAGAATACTTTCTAAGTTAATTTTTTACGTTCAAGAGTGACCTTGACCTTAAGCCGGCAAAAGGCTAACATGGGTTCTGCACATGACCTTGTTGAGGTGAACATTTGAGCCAAGATTGAAGAAAATCTTTCAATAAGTGTAGGACTTACAGAGCGGAAAAGACATACTGTCATATATTTGATTGTTTCATATTTGACCTTCAATTGTGACCTTAACCTTGAGCTGACACATGGACAACATGGGTTCTGCACATTCCCCTTGTTGAGGTAAACATTTGAGCCAAGTTTGAAGAAAATCCTTCAATTGGTATAGGATTTATAGAGCGGACACAATAATTGAGACAACAGACTGATGCGACAAAGCCAATCCATTATAGCCCCCCCCCCCCCAACATTTTGTGGTGGGGTTATAATAAAGTTATAGCCACTTATAGCTAGAAACAAGCAAAATTTGGACATTTGACCATGGTCATTAATGAATAAAAGTCAAGGTTAGTCTGGTCTACTGAAAAGTCTTGTCCTATGATATGAGTTGTTGTAGCCAAGTATGAAGACAATACACCAACAACTTAAAAAAGTAATGATCAAGGTACAAGTTTGCGGAAAGCAACGACAACAGCAACGCCGACAGGACATAATAAATTGTACTGATCTAGAAAAGAAAGATGGTGTTATAATTTTTTTAGATCAAACTAAGGCTTTTGATAGGGTAGAATGGAGATATTTGCTTAAAAGGTAATGGTTTAGGAGACAAATTCAGGAAATGGGTTCAAATGTGTTCAGTCAGCTTGGAAATAGCTATACAAACAAACAGGTTTATTTCTGAATATTTTTCAAATTTCCTGCCCTATTAAACAGGGTTGTCCAATAGTGCCATTTCTTTATATTGTAATAGGAGGTCACATAGATGTACATAGGGCAATAACGTTAACCTATCGAGTACAACACACTCATAACCTTCAACCACTTTCTATTGATGACGCTTTTGATTTTCTTTGGCTCAAACCTGGAAATCCAAAACAATTCAACTTTTATATGAAAATAATCGGTGATTACCAAATCGTCCGAGTCAGTAATAGAGGAAATAATATTTACATGAAGCAAAACGATAAAATATATCCAGATATCTTCATTGCATGTAATTGCAGGCCAAATTATTATAATTATTATAAACGTTCGAGCCAGACAAACTTTTTTCCTGTGCGGCTCACGAAAATGGCTACAACATGAAAGTTACAATTTGGAATGACAATTGTCTGAAACCAAGGTTACACAACACTAATTCATCATGACTTAGGGGCTCTTATCAAGTTGTCGATGAAAATATGATTTTTTATCGCCAACATGTGGGTCTATTTTCTTTGGAGAACAACAACATGTTTCCCTGTGTGCCTTGGCTACCAGGCTCTTGTAACAGTACATGCGGTTGGCCAAAGAAAAAGAATAACAAAAGTACATGCAACAGAGACCAGCAGCCTTTCTCTTTTGGACACTCGAAAACTAACATCAGAAATTCCTTTTAATTTCTTTAGACATTTTTGGCATTGATAACTAAGTAAATTAATAAACTTTTAAACACATATAATATATATAGATACTTCATAAGAAGACAATGGAAAGCAACAAGGAATTGTAATTATATACGTACTTTATTTAATAATAGAAGAACAAAAGTTTTGAACTTATAAACATTTCAAGAAGTCAACAAACTTTTACTTTACGTAACTTCTAGTGATTCGTAAATACTGTAAAATCCCGATTTAACGCAGTTATCATCAAAAAAAAACTTACAAGTTTGTAATTATTTTCAGTGTGAAAAAGCAAATATGCTCAGTTAGATTTGGGAAAAAAGTTCACTGTCGAACCATCAAACGGAAAACGTGCAGACATGTATACAATATTCCACTAACAAAATGGTTGTCAAGTAGATGGATTTTATTTTTCAAAAACAAAATAAATTAGCATTTTTTTCCTGTAGGACTTTAAATGTTTTGAGGGGGAATTTTTACCTCTGTTAGGAGAAAAAAACGTACTATTTTGATGGGGGACTGCGGCCGATCATCGGCTGTAGATTTGGTTGATTAGGATTTTCACTATTTGGGCAGTGGGACCTAGTTTTTTACCCCAGTTGACCCTTATTCGAACTTGACCTAGAAATCATCAAAACAAGCATTCAGACCAATTTCCAGGATATCTGGATCAAAACAGTAGCCACTAGTGTTAACAAGATTTTCCTATTTTTAGCTTCTGTAACCTAGTTTTTCTTCCGAGATGACCCATGTTCCAACTCATTCGAGCAATTACCTAGAAAGCATCCTGACCAAGTTTGATGATGATTGAGGCAAAAATGTGACCACTAGAGTGTTAACCAACAAATGTGAACGGACAACAGAAGTCAGATGACGGACATTCACTGATCCTATTAGCGCTCAGGTGAGCTTAAAAAAGAGATAAATCCTACTTGCCAGAATAGGCCCTATTTTTAAAGTGATAAAAAGGGAAATAACTTAGAAAACTGGATGGCACATATTTAACTTGGCAATATTATATACATTGTATTGATAAGTAAGTGTGGTAATTATAAAGCTATTTCTATAGATTGAACTTAAGATATATCCAACTTGCTGATTTAGGTTATCCAATTATTCATTTTGTAAGTGCTGAAAGGGCTATAACTTAGTAAAAATGGAAGCCATAGATATTTCACTTTGTGTTGATTTGTAAGTATGTATAATTATGAAGCTCTTTGTATAGGTAAAACTTAAGAAAAATCCAACTTGCAGTTTGAGGTTAACCTCGTATGGACAGACAGATAGAAGACTGACAGACATACAGAAGGAGAGACGGTTCAATCACTATGATATGCCTGGGGGCATCAAAAAATATAAATCTGACTTGCCAGCTATACCTTGTAACTGTACATTATCTACTATGAGATGTCCCCCTGGAGGCCGGTTTATAGATGAAGTTGATAATCCTGATGCAGACTGACAAGGTGTAGTTGAAGGCAATCTGCTTCCACTTCTAACATCTACACCTAAGAATGAAGGACTTTCTCTGCTAATATCACTAGATGGCTGTGCAACAACAGTATCATTCTCAATCTGTGTTGGTAAGAAATTTCTTTGGACATCAGATGACGGCTGATGAAGAGCTTGGGATGGTTGAATTCCATTGTTATACAGCATAGAACTGTCCCCATCATTCTCAGTATCAGTAAAATAAGCCTGACCAAAAACAGAGCCTGCCTGTATTGGTGTAGAATCTCTTACACGCCTAGTATAAGGATGATTTTGGTCATACAGGACCAAAAATTGTACTGAAATGCAACAGAAATATTAAATGTCCTTGAATTGTTCAGGAGCACTTTTAACATTATAATAATTACACTATTAAATAGTCAACAGTTATATCAATTAAATGAAATAATATCATTGATTTTAACACTATTTCCAAAAATAATACTAAATTTGAATCACTTTCCCTCTCAGACAAAAAAAGAAAACAATACTTGTGTTATTTTTAAACAATGCTGCATTAAATAACTTACTGTTTCGGGCCTGGTTCTGTTGACCCTGTCCCGGTCTACCATCTGAATCTTCCTGCATCTTTAACTGAAAAGATTAATATCATGATTAAAAAAGATGTAACATTGTCATTGATGTTAAAATGATCAGAAGGCCATGATGGCCCTCTATCTTGCTGACTGATTATCAAGCTCTGAATTAATATTGTTAGCAATGAATGAAGAGCAGATATAATGCCATACACTTAAACTGATATCCTAATATTCATATCTGCACCTCAACTAATGCAAAATTTTAAAGTTAACAAGGTTGTTCAATATGTGCCTTTTTATGTGCTGTCACCGAGGTTTTTACTCAAGACGACCCATTCAAACTAAAGCTTGAAATAATTGAAACAACCTTTCAAGGATATTTGGGTTGAAAACATTGCTTATATAGTGTTTACATCATTATCCTATATTTGGGCTGGGTGAACTAGTTTTTGACCCAGATGACCCATATTTGAACCTGACCTAGAAATAATTTGGACAACCATTCTGACCAATTTCTAGGGCAATCAGACCGAAAACAATTTAGCTTCTAGAGTGTAAACAAGGTTTCTCATAATTGGACTGTGTCAGACCTGACCTTTTTTATCACAGATGACAAATATTCAAACTTGAGCTAGAAATCATTAAAATAACCTTTCTGACAAATTTTCTGTTCAACAATGGGCTAAAAATATTACCTAAGGAATGTAATCAAGGTTTTTCAATATTTGGGTTGTGTGCCCTAGTTTTTGACCCCAGAAGACCCATATTTGATCTTGAGGTGGAAACCATCTGAACAATCTTTCTGACCAATTTCCAGGAATTTGGACAAAAACAGTAGTCTCTCGAGTGACAACTAGGTTTTTCCATACTTGGGCTGTGTGACCTAATTTTTTTTACCCCAGATACCCATATTTGTACTTGAGCTAGAAATCATCTAACCAATCTTTCTTACCAATTTTAAGGATATTTTGACCAAAATAGTAGCCTGTAGAGTGTGAACAAGGATTTTTCATATTTGGGTTGTGTGACCTAGTTTTTTACCCAAGATGACCCATAATATAACTTGACCTGGAAATCATCTAAAAAAACTAGAAATGTGTCATCATGCCAGGGATACCCCCGCATGCAGCCAAAATTTCAGATGTTATAATATTTAGTTCCAAATTTGTTGCACAAATTATTTTTTTCATTTTAAGTTCAAAGCCCTTAAAACTTTTCAATGTTAACACAAACCATTTTTATACAAAGTTCAAGTCACTTACAGAAACTATTCAGTGTTAACCTTTTGTAAATTGCATATTGCATATTTGTAGCCAAAATTATGAATACATACATTTCCACAAAAGTATGAGTGCTGAAACTGAAAATTAAATTTTTTTTCCAATATTCAAGAAAGATAACTTTGTCCAAATTCATTGAACCACGAACAAATTCAAACTTGAACTGCTTATTCCTAAGATGTATCTATATGTCAAATTTGAGTTGAATGTGTACAACCATTGGGGAGATAATGAACAGAAACTTAAAATTTCTGATTTTTTTACCAAATTCGAACTTGGTCAATGCATTTTTATGACATATCCATATCTTTAATTTGTTGTTGAATATGTACAACTGTTGGGGAGATAATGAATGTGAACTTAAAATTTCCTTTTTTTCAAAGTTAAAGGGGCAAAACTCTGCCAAAAATCATCGAACCATGACCAAATTCAAACTTAACCTGTGTATTCCTTTGACAAATCCATATGTAAAATTTGAGTTGAATATGTAACACTGTTGGGGAGATAATCAGAACAGAAATTGTAAATTTCATATTATTTTCAAACTAAAAGGGGCATAACTCTGCTAAAATTCATCGAACCATGACCAAATTCGATCTTGACCTGTTTTTTCTCATGACATATCCATATGTCAAGTTTGAGTTGAATCCGTTGATCTGTTGGGGAGATAATGAACAGAAACTGAAAATATCATAATTTTATCATTTTCAAAGTAAAAGGGGAATAACTCTGCCAATAATCATCGAACCATGACCAAATTCAAACTTGACCTGTATTTTCTCATGACATATCTATATGTCAAATTTGAGTTGAATGTGTGCAACCGTTACTAAGATAATGAACGGAAACTGATGATGACGGAATGACAGAATGAAGGAACAGGGTAACACTATATGCCCCGGCCATTCTATGGCGGGGGCATAATAATCTAACTTGACCGCAGCAATTAAAATTTTAATCAGTTCGTTTGAGAGATGTTATATATAATATACATATATTAATCAAAATAAAATAATGTTTGAAGTGTTGTTATTTATATTATCATTTAACTCATGCTTATTTAATATGCCGATCAGTGTTCAATCTAGAGCGCGCCATTGATTCCCTGAAAAGACCGCCGGCGCAAAACAAATTAACTGTGGGCCGACGGGCGCACTCATAGAAAATGCCATTAATGACATTAGAATGCTTTCTTAAACCTGATTAAGTACATAAAAAGTTTCTTGTGAATAATATTAATAAATACTGAATTCAAAACAGAAGTTTGTATAGAAAAACAAGAGCATGTGGTAAGATAGTTACCGCACTCGGTAACCCTTTTAAAACCTTGAGCGCTACGCTCTCTCGGTCGGGGTCTGTAAATACTATGCAGACCTGTTCTTCGTACTGTAATTATTACTTACTTTTGAGTCACATTTTTTATAAACAAAACAAATCATCACATATAATGCAATACGTGCGTGTAGTTATAGTTTTTTAACGGTCAAAACAATTTAATATGCAATAACTTTCCGGAGGAAAAAAAACTATATATTTGTGAAAAAGTGCGAGTTAATTATAGAGGTGTGTATAAATTATTACGAACATGCTTTCAACTACAGTCGGCATCGTACTTGCGGCCACCTTTATTAAGCGACTTTTTTATTAAGCGGCCGCATAAAATCCCTCCCGATGATTTTTACTATATAATTTAATTCCATTAAACGACGATTTTATATCGCGGCCAGCGGCCACTAAATGTCGGCCCAAATGTACGAAATTACGTGTTAAAGTATCTATTAAACGGCCGTGACAAACAATCGGCCCTACGGGCATTCTCACCTGTTTAATCAGCGAGAAGGTTTGGTGTGTACAAGCAAACAAACAAATATTTTTCATGGTCATTGGTTTTAGAAAAGTGTTCACCAAAATCGCCAATTACTTTATCAATATATGTATTTGTCACAGTAAATGTCAAGCCATCATCATGGCGACACCATCAAAAAGAAAAGTTTTAACGTTAGACGAACGAATATTAGTGATTGAGCGGTCAAAAACAAAAAGTACAAGAAAAATTGCAGAGGAATTTAAAATAGGAAAGACTCGGGTCCAAAATATTTTAAAAAGGAAAGCCGAACTAATGACTGACTATGAAAACAATGCCCCTGGTGAGAGGAAGCGAGTGCGCAGACAAACGGGAAATGAAGATATAAACGATTTAACATTAGCTTGGTTTAAAGATGCTGTATCTAGGAGACTGCCAGTGTCTGGTAAGCGAATTTAAATATTAAATTCTAATTATTCCGATAATTTTCAAAAACAATGTTTTATATAAGCATGTTATTACTGTATACTAAAAATAATGCCGATAGCGACAGATATTTAGTCGTGATTAATTTAGTGTTGCCAAACATTAAAATGTATTTCCGGTTTATTTCCTGGTTTTGATTTTTTACGGATAAAATGTAAGGATACGGAGAATGTTGTGGTTCAGGTAGGTCTAACTTTTATTGATTGTTTGTTTTAGGACCCCTAATTATTGAACGGGCCATGGCGTTCGCTTCTGAGGTGGGAAATACGCAGTTCAAAGGTTCTCAGGGATGGCTTCAGTCTTTCGTTAAACGGAACAATATCGTTTTTGGAACTATGTCAGGGGAAAGAGGGGATGTAAGCACCAAAACTGTTGATGAGTGGAAAGAAAAACTACCAACCATTTGCTCTGATTATCTGCCACACAACATATTTAACATGGACGAGACGGGCTTATTTTTCAGAGACACCACGAAAAAATCTTTCCATTTCAAAGGTAAATTTCATTCTGAATTTTTATATTTATTTCCTAAAGTATCTGTATTTATTTTTAATGTCAATTAAAAAAAAGAAAATGTAGTCTTGCTCTAATGTAGATTGTTGCACTTCAGCATACAATGCAGACGATTTAATCTGAAAATAATTAAATGGAGATTCAAAGATAAAGTCCGAGTAAATCATATTTATATTACATCTCACATGTGTGCCATTTAACAATTTCTCAAATTTGCCATACGTCAAAAATAAACTTAATAAACTGTATCACAAAATAATGTAATGCTTTTCAGGTGATGACTGCAGTGCTGGTAAACGCTCTAAGGAACGCATAACTGTGGCTCTTGCAGCTAGTATGGCAGGGGAAAAGTTGAAACCTTTGGTTATTGCTAAGTCAAGTAATCCAAGATGTTTCAAAAATATCAAAGTAGAAAAGTTGCCAGTTCATTACAGGAACAACAAAAAAGCATGGATGACAACTGAGCTCATGAGTAACTGGCTTCGCATCGTGGACAAAGACATGAGAAAAGCAGGTCGGAAAATTCTTCTATTTTTAGACAACGCCCCTAGTCATCCAATGTTGAAGTTGTCAAATGTTAACTTGGCCTTTTTTCCACCTAATACTACTTCCAGACTTCAACCTATGGATCAGGGGATTATACAGACACTCAAGTTGAAATATCGTAAGAAGCAGTTGCAACATATTCTTGTTAAAGTTGATAGCAACAACAAGGTTGGTTCACAGCTATTGAAAGAAATCTCGGTCCTAGATGCAATTTACTGGATTGATGCAGCCTGGAAAGACATAGAAGCAAAGACTATTGTTAAATGTTTTGAACATTCTGGGTTTATCTTCCCTTCTGAATCAGTTAAATCTGTAAACACGGATGAAAATCATGACAGTGATGATGATGATGAAGTCCCATTAAATGTCCTGAAACTCTCTCACGATTTATTTGGGTGTGAATTCAAGGACTTGATTAACTTAGATGTAACCTTAAGAACTTGTGATGATTCTAATAAAACAGACTGGGAGAGAACACCAGCTTTAGACATTCTGAAGGAACTGAGAGATGATAATACTGATGATCTTTGTGATGGTGCTTGTGATGATGATGATGATGATGATGATGATGATGATGTGCTGATGATTTGAAAGTATGCTCAGCAGGAGATGTGCATGAACATATTAACAATATAAGACAATATGCTTTGTTTCATAGTCACAATGACCTGTTAGATAGTATTATGTGTGTAGATCACATTTTCACACACATTTCTACTACAAAACAAAAACAAACGCGTATTGATGACTTTTTTAAAAGGCATAATTGTGATTATGAAAGTGTAATACATACATGATATAGTATACTGTTTCTGTTGTTATAAAACATGTTGTTATATCAATGACTTGTAGTATTTATATGGAACCCTGTATTTAATCTCGAAATTTTCCTGAATTCTATTGAGAGGCCACTTTATTAAGAGGCCACTTTTTGGCAGTCCCTTGAGTGGTCTCTTAATACAATTTCGACTGTAATTAAAAAAGTCTTAAAGATGGAGTGTCTAGGGAGTGTCTGACAATTGAGTAAATAAACTTTGATTGGTCTTTGGCTGGTCGGCGCTAAAGCATTGTGCATATCATTAATCAATACAGACATCTTAAGCGTGACGTAAGAACTGCTGCCCTGACAAAAGATCAAAGGTACCGGTATGTCAATATACATGTACATTGTCTTAGCACCTGGTGACACTTTGTTTTTAGCTTGGATATATTAAGAAGGGTAAATGTTTTTAGCAACTATTGTAAGTTTATAAGCTAATTGCAAAATATGATTTTAATTTATATATTGGGCGCTGATTAAATAACTGAACATTGTTATCAAATATCCCTGGTAACATTTAAATAAGATTCATATGTTTCTTTGAACATTATGTCATTATTTCTTTACCAATCAGTTCTTAAAATTGAGCCTGCATCAATGCTAACAGAACTCTAGACTAGAACTCCGCGAGTCGGATGTGTCGCCTTGTGAACAATGTAGTTTAGGGGAAATGGCCAGGACAAAAATGAAATATGAAAAATAAACAAGAGGGCCATGATGGCCCTGAGGTCGCTCACCTGTATATAGGCCCCCCAAACGTTGCAGGGCCAATTTAACCAAAGGGCTTTTATTTGCACAAACTTGGTAGACACCCATAAGAAGATGTTTCATGCTAAACATCTAAGTTCTAGCTCATTGGGCTATTTAAAAGAAGATTTTTTTTAAAAGTTTTTACTATACACATATAGTTAAAAAAAACAATGACACCCTGGGGCCGGGCTAGTTATGACCCCCAGGGTTTTTATTTGAACAAACTTTGTAGACACTTACTAGAATATGTTTCATGCTTAATATCTAAACTCTAGCTATTTGGGTTTTTTTCAAAGAAGATTTTTAAGTTTTTGCTATACACATATAAGGAAAATCAATGACCCCGGGGCGGGGCCAATTTTTTTGACCCCAGGTCTTTTTATTTGAACAAACTTTGTAGACACTCACTAAAAGATGTTTCATGCTTAATATCTTAACTCTAGCTATTTGGGGTTTTTTTCAAAAAAGATTTTTTAAGTTTTTGCTATACACATATAAGGAAAATCAATGAACCCCGGGGTGGGCCAATTTTGACCCAGGGCTTTTATTTGAACAAACTTGGTAGACACCTATTAGAACATGTTTGATGCTAAATATCTTAACCATTGCTCTTTGAGTTCTTTTAAAAGAAGATTTTTTAAGTTTTTACTATATGCATATAATAGGAAAATCAATGACCCCCCGGGGCGGGGTCAATTTTGATCCCAGGGCTTTTATTTGAACAAACTTGGTAGACACTTATTAGAACATGTTTCATGCTAAATATCTTAGCTCTAACTCTTTTGGTTCTTTAAAAGAAGATTTTTTAAGTTTTTACTATATGCATATAGGGAAAATCAATGACCCTGGGGCGGGGCCAATTTTGACCCAGGGCTTTTTTTTTGAACAAACTTGGTTAGACACCTATTAGAACATGTTTGATGCTCAATATCTTAGCCCATAGCTCTTTGAGTTCTTTAAAAGAAGATTTTTAAGTTTTTACTATATGGCATATAGGGAAAATCAATGACCCCCCGGGGCGGGGCCAAATTTTGACCCCAGGGCTTTTATTTGAACAAACTTGGTAGACACTGCACTAGAAGATGTTTCATGCCAAATATCTAAGCTCTAGCTCTTATGGTTTTTTAAAAGAAGATATTTAAAGTTTTTTCTTTCGGTTGCCATGGCAACCAGAGTTCTGCATGGAATTAAATTCTTTGAACAATTTTTAAAGGTGACCACCAAAGGAACATTCCTGTGAAGTTTGGATGAAATTGGCCTAGTGGTTTATGAGGAGATGTCATTTAAAGTAAAAGTTTACGGACGACGGACGGACGGACGACGGACGGACGCCGGACGAAAAGCGATCACAAAAGCTCACCCTGTCACTTTGTGACAGGTGAGCTAAAAATAACTAATAAGTGCAGAGCAGCAGTTTCTGTGCACTGCACTTCTTATCAATAAGATCTATCATTCTATGATGTTTCAAGTCCATAGCTTTCATACTTGAGGAGAAATGACCAGGACAAAAATAAAGTAAGAAAATCAACAAAGGGCAATAACTCAAAAAATAAGAAATGCAGAGTATCAGTTCTTATGCACTGCACTTTTTCTTAATGAGATCTATCATCCTATGAAGTTTCAAGTCCATAACTTTTATACTTTCGGAGAAATGGCCTGGACAAAAATTAAGTATGAAAATTAACAAAGGGCCATAACTCAAAAATTAAGAAATGCAGAGTACCGATTCTTGTGCACTGCACTTCTTAATAATGAGATCTATCATCCTATGAAGTTTCAAGTCAATAGCTTTTATACTTAAGGAGAAATGGCCCGGACAAAATTAAAGTATGAAAATAAACAAAGGGCAATAACTCAAAAAAATAAGAAATGCAGAGTACCAGTTCTTGTACACTGCACTTTTTCTTAATGAGACCTATCATCCTATGAAGTTTCAAGTCCATGGCTTTTATACATTAGGAGAAATGGCCCGGACAAAAATAAAGTATGAAAATTAACAAAGGGCAATAACTCAAAAATTAGGAAGAGCAGAGTACTGGTTATTGTGCACTGCACTTCTTAATAATGAGATCTATCATCCTATGAAGTTTCAAGTACATAGCTTTTTTAGTTGAAGAACAATGGCCCGGACAAAATTAAAGTATGAAAATTAACAAAGGGCAATAACTCAAAAAATAAGAACTGCAGAGTACCGGTCCTTGTGCACTGCACTTCGGGTTATTGAAAGAAGCATGCATACCAAGTTTGAAGTCATTCAGACTTATAGTGACTGAGTTATGCTCCGGACAAGCTTTAGGGGACGCCGACGCCGACACAGACGCCGCCGACACCGCCGACAAAAGTAACCCCTATATGTCACCTTTTCAAGGCGACACAAAAAAGGTCCAAATAATGCCATTTTTTTAGTTGAGTTGATTGTTATGGAATTTTGCAACCGTTTTTGGTCTATAGTCTATATAATTATGGTACTTGAACAAGTAACTTAAAAAGATACAAAGATACCTTATTTGAATTTTATGTTCATTTTAAGTGTGGGCTTCCTTTTTCTCAAATGACACCCTTTTGAAAAGTTTATGGGCCCGAAGGGCCCCCTGGGAATTTGTTCTAGATTGAACACTGGCTGATTTTATATACATTAAATTAAATGATTTAACAGACCAAGTATGACATGAAAAGTAAAAGAAGAGCACCACTAGGCGGCGCATTATATGCCCGAAAGTGTTTTTTTTTTTAGTAAGGATGCAGCATTTGTAAGACATTATATAAATTTAATAAAGTATATATTACCTCCTTCAAATAGCAATCCTCCTTTAAAGTTTAAATATTGTGGGCCAAATGGAACTTAAGTTATGCTCTGGAAACTGTTTTCAGTTTTGAGGTAATAGCGACCTTGAACTTTGACCTTGTGACCCCAATATCAATAGGGGTGTTCTACCCAATATGGTCAATCATCCTATGAAGTTTGAACACTATGGGCCAAATAGAATTAAGTTATGTTCTGGAAACTGTTTTCAGTTTTAAAGTAATAGTGACCTTGACCTTTGACCTTGTGACAACAACATGAATAGGGGTCTTCTACCCAATATGGACAATGACCTTTGACCTTGTGATCCCAAAATCAATAGGGTTTTTCTAACCAATATGGACAATCATCCTATGAAGTTTGAACACTGTGGGCCAAATGGAACTTAGGTTATGCTCCGGAAACTGTTTTCAGTTTTAAGGTGATAGTGACCTTGGCCTTTGACATTGTGACCCCAAAATCAATAGGATTCTTGTACCCAATATGGACAATCATCCTACGAAGTTTGAATATATTGGGCCACATGGAACTTAAGTTATGCTCTGTAAACTGCTTTCAGTTTTAAAGCAATAATGACCTTGATCTTTGACATTGTGACCCCAAAATCAATAGGGTTCTTCTAACCAATATGGACAATCATCTTATAACGTTTGAACACTGTGGGCCAAACGAAACTTTAGTTATGCTCTGTAAACTGCTTTCAGTTTTAAAGCAATAATGACCTTGATCTTTGACATTGTGACCCCAAAATCAATAGGGTTCTTCTAACCAATATGGACAATCATCCTATAACGTTTGAACACTGTGGGCCAAACGGAACTTAAGTTATGCTCCGGAAACTGTTCTCAGTTTCAAGGCGATAGTGACCTTGACCTTTGACCTTGTGACCCCAAAATTAATAGGTGTCTTCTACCCAAAATGGATAATCATCCTATGAAGTTTGAATATTGTGGGCCAAATGGAACCTTAGTTATGCTCCGGAAACCAAATTGCTAACGAATAGACGGACAGACAGACAGACAGACAGACGTTCTCACAGGACAGTAATTAAGTGGCTACTCTATTGTTCTCTCTATTGTTCCTTTTAGCTACACAAAAGAAAATAGCCACATAAAAGCATTACAGAATGAATGACATCAAAGAGAAAGAACAGTTACCTATTGCATCTCTCTAGCCACATAATTACTGTCTTGTGAGTGCGGATAGACAGACGGACGGACGGACGCCAGGGGGTATAACACAATATGCCCAAAATTTTTTCGGGCATATAAAAAAGAGAAGATTATAATTATAGTTTAAAATGGATGTGTCTTAATTATGTTCCCACAACTTCCATCTTCATGCACCTACAAATTTAAAAATTGTATCATTAAAAGGAAAATTTGAATCTGCAAAAAAACTTATATTTACACTATTTGTGTAAAATTAATAGTCAGTAGAGAATTATGAGGCCAAATATATAAGGTGTCAAAATAGTAATAAATACCAAATATCTATATGAAAATGGACTGTACACTGTTATCAGGTAATGTAGTGGTTTAAACTGATAAGATCAATAATCCATATATGGGTTTGATAAGCCTATCT